TCCTCGGATCTTCGTCCCACTTCTTCACCATTCAAGATGATATCAGTACCTCCCTCAGGCACGCCCATAATTCGCTCGAAATCTTTGGCCGAAATATGGACTTTCAACCCATAAGCCTGAATTGAGCTTTCTTCCACATTAAAGCTCTTCAAAAGGATCTCCAACAACTCACGTTGGAGCATTCTTCCTTTGACTTCAAGCATACGACCAAAGCCACATCTCTTAATGGCCTCTGATTGACAAGTCTCTAAATTTGAGACTACTGAGAATACTTTCCTAGGAGAACAGCGGGTGCTAAAAATTTCATGACTCTTCGTCTTCATTATAGAACAATTTTAGCAAACTGCAAAATTAAAACAACAAAAAAATTATAAGCATGCCTTGAAACACGAATTATAAGCATGCCGAAGAGTACTAACAAAATACACAAAGCAAGAGTCGTCCACCACTGATCTAAAGAAGCAACTTTCAGTTTTCACACTTAAACACATTCGAGAAAACGTGGTTATGACAAAGTTTCATTCGAGAAAAGGATCATTTAATCATTCGGTAAACACATTCTCCAATAAGCAATGGGGGTGCTATTAGTACCAAAATGTAATCAACAAGCAACGGTAACGACACTACAATACCAACAAGACCAAATCAACTCTTCCAAAATTTTCTCTGCAGACTCAGTTTGAAGGCAAACAACAATCCAACTTGTCTCAAGCCAAACTGAAAAGAATCAAACTTTGAGTATGAACTTTCTTATTCGATTTGCCTCCATAAAACACAAATCAAGTCTCTCCAATCAAAAAGTTAAAAATGGCATGCATAAAGGAAGGAACACAATCGCTAGCTAGGTCAGATTGGAGCAACTTTTATTGAGATCACGCATGGTTGGGAACAATAATACTGGAATGCAAGGTTCACTTGGTGAATCACGCCAAAACCAGCTGTGACCATCTCACGGGTTAATCTCACGCCCGTGAGATTAACAGATGAGCCGTGAGAAGTCCAGCATTTCAATTACACAAACACGGCTCATCTCACGGCCGTGATACTGTCGAACCCAACCCGTGAAAACCCCTGGAACTCCCCCCCCCCCCCTTTTTTAAAAAAATCTAACGGTACATCTCCCGGCCGTGAGATTTTCAGATGTGAGGCGTGTTTTTTAGTTTCAGCTGTGACCATATCACGGGTTAATCTCACGCCCGTGATATTTACAGATGAGCCGTGAGAAGTGCATTTTTACAGATGAATCTCTAATCAGAAAAATAATACTAGAATGCATAAAAGAATGAACTAATGATTAAGCATGAGGAGAAGAAGTCCAAGGTTCACTTGATGAATCACGGCATAACCTATCAATTGCATCACAATCTTGCTCTAATAGTAAACTGAAGTACTAATCACATAAACGTATTCGGAGCCAGCATTCAAACGCAAATAAAAAGCTCAAATGAATGCAAAGAATCACATAAGACTAATGCAAAGCTCATGCAAAGAATCACAGAAGACAAATGCTTCGATTACCCTTTTCTAGAATACATCCACACAACAACCATACTACAAATAGTTGCTAGCTTAACCACAATGGGAACATGATTAGGACTCCTCTCCCAGCGCTCACAAAGACAAGATGAATCGCATGCTTGGAATGACGATTATGTAACTCAACAAGGCAATAGCTCTCTCGACACGTGCAACTCACACCGGTTTTCCAAGTGAAATGGAGTTTCCATTTATGAAAAAGTAAACAAAAAAAGTTTCCAAAACTAATTTATGATATCATTTTCATGAGATAGCATTTAGCTATGGTGGAAAACCACATAAAGAACACATGATCTTTGCTTGGTTCATGCATGCTATTTCCTAGGCTCTTTCACCAAGTGTGAGTTTTCTTGGTGACAAGCATTTTCCTCTTTGGTACATGATTAAATTGTTCACTACCCAGCAAGGCAACCACAACCATGCACAACCCTCCCTTCAAGCTTCAATGTGTAAATCAACTCACAATGAACTTTAGTAGCAGGAAATCTATGGCTGTATGGTTAATGGAGGAGCAACCAAAAACCACATTACACCACGTTGCTTTGACAAAGACCTCTCTGCCCATATGAAAAGAAGCTTTTTGGAATTGACAACATGTTCCTTCCCACAGGAGACACAGCCACACCAAGGAAAATAGACCAGCAGAAGTAGAACATGCTACTTATCATGACAAGTTTAGAATCAACCAACTCACTCGTAATTGTGTAAACAATAAGATGGTCTACAAGATGAACTACAATGGCTTTCAGAAGGATTTCGATCAACATCGACCTACATCTATGAGGTACACAATTAAACCAATACCAGGACATCAACAAGCAGGTCCCATATGTGAATTGTTAGTTTGCTTTGACACTAAATCAGTCAATATATAGCTAATTATCAAGCTAAACACAAAGAAGATAGTACAAGGACATCAACCTGGTCAAAGGACATGACCAATTAAACTCATAAACCTAAAACGAGCATGGAATTTCAATCCCCCTACCGAAATGTGTAAATCTAGAACATCCCAACAACGAATGCAACAAATTCGGTCGATACAAATGCCCCCTAGAAGAATGAAGAACAACGGACTTCCTCCACCACCATTACCACCAAAGCTTCCCCACAAAAAGGAGAATCATTAACCACAAAAACAATGAATGTTGTGAATTCGTCCGATTCGAATCCTCCCACGAAGAAGATGGAAGAACTACAACAACAACATCCATCCAAAACTTCCTCACCAACGGAAGCATCATCAAGAAGATTGGATAACTTCTACAGCTGCATCAGATGACCCGGGTTCAAGAAGAGTTGAAGGGATTGAATATTCCAAAGCATGCATAATTTGCAGCAACATCATTCCAACAAAGACTACTCCATCATATCGATCAGCCACAACCATGCTCTAAATATCCTAACTAAGTTTGACCTTAATGTCTCATCATTCATGGATGATTCATAGGTCTTATAAGTAACTAAAGTTTAACGATGCAGCCTTTCTATCTACCATATCATATCATATCAATCCTCCCATGAAGAAGATGGAAGAACTACATCAACAACCACAACCGCAACCACAACAACAACAACCACAACTGCTGTGAATTCTTCAGACTCGAATTCTTCTACCCTAACAACAGAAAAACCCAATGCTCCTCCTCAACAGAAGAAGATTGAGGAACAACAACAACAACAACAACAACAACAACAACAACCTTCTAAGGATGTTGCTGAAACGGAGACAAATCAAGCACAACCTCAACAGCAAAAACAAGGTGAAATGAAGGTAAATGCTGCAAATTCTCCTTCAAAACAAGTGAAGGAACAACAGGAACCGCCATTGCAGCTAATTATCAAGCTAAACACAAAGAAGATAGTACTAACCGAAAAAAGTTGCGGTGGAGGAGGTAGGCCAGCGGTCTTCGTTTGCTATCGATGGGAAGAGGGCTGTGCAGGGTCTTCGTTTGCTATTGATGGGAAGAGGGGGTTCTGTGCAGAGTCTTCGTTTGCTATCGATGGGAAGAGGGTCTTCGTTTGCAATCGACGAAGAGATGCTCGCTCTCGTCGTCCCTTGCTCGCCGCCTTCACTGTGGTCGTCGGAATCCGGCTCGCCGCCTTCACTGTCGTCGTCGGAATCCGGAATCCGAATCGCTGCAATGGACAAGCTTCTTCTACTCGTCGTCACCCACTGCTCGCCGTCTTCACTCGTCGTCACCCAATGCTCGCCGTCTTCACTGTCGCCGTCTTCACTGCTCGCTAGCTGCGTGGAGAGGATCGAAGGAAGGAAGGGTTTCGGCGGTGAGAAAGAGGTGAGAAAGAGGATCGAAGGAAGAAGGATTGTAATTGGTTTCAGACAACCGGTTGTACCGGTTACAACCCACAAATAAAATAATAAAATAATAATTTAAATGAAATCTAATGGTTGATATAGTTTGAACATGATCTAATGGCTGTAAATGTTTTATAGTACCAATACTATAAAGCACACTAAAATGACTCTTCCTTCATATTTCTCTATGTTTGTTTTAGTATTTACGTGGCTTTGAAAAATAAAAACTTTATCAAGGTCATTTAAGTCATTTTAATAAATATTAGGGCGACTGATAAGATATTTTAGGGCGACGAATAATAATGCCCCTTAAAAGAAGGGTTCAGATTTTATTACTCATAGTTATGCACTCTATCTTGAGCTGTAAAAAATGTAAATATTATGTAGTAAATTACACTATCCAACAGTCTTAATCCTTACTAGTTTAGGTTTCAGTATTCACTATCCTGCTGCGATGATTAGGATTTTAATAATGCTTAATTAATCCTTTTTCCGAACTCATTTTGGTCAAATTAATCCGTTTCCTTATTAGTAATGGAGTCATGCATGATCGTAACACTATATATATAGACCCTTTAGATAACTAAACTATATCCAACTAAAAGTCTACAACGTCCTCACTTTCTTGACGAAGCAAAAGCAACCCATATCGATATTTGCTTCCACTCTCTCTTTCGTACGTTCAGCTTCCTCAGTCACCATGGACGGCCTCATTCCCATGGCTTACCGAGCCCTCAAGAAATACAACACTCGCCGCCGCTACCAATGCCTCTCCGCCGACAACGACGCCCAAGTCAGCGAGCAGCCACCCACCAAATCGGAGAATAACGGCAGCAGCGGATCAGGGCATCACCAGCGGTACGTCTCGGCCGGAGCTTTCCTGGAGTCGGATCATCATCACCAGCGTTGCAGTACTTCTTCCTCCTTCACGGTCGTTGCAAACGGCGGAGCTACTCGGAAGCGGCACAAGGGGACGGCGGGCCACCCGCCGGCGGCAGTTTCGCTGTGTTATACCTAATAATTCCTATTCCGCCCTGATGTAGATGCCGTAAGGCTGTACAGTTATGAGAATGAATATTATTAGTGTCAAATTATATTTTAATATAAGTGTTGTGTACGTATGAATATCAATGACGTGATGAACAAGTTAATTTCAAAATCTTCATTCCTTTTCGTTTTGCTGTATTTCTATGAATGAGAGGCACATCACAGACCATGAATTTTGTTGTATTCTTACATATGGGTTGTTTGATATTAATTTACAAAAGTATCGATTAGTCTGATTAATTTTCCAATATGTCAAAACACAAACTTAAAAGAAAGAAAAAGAGTTGATGCAACAAAAAGGAATATTCGTTTTGGGAGATTAGATTCTCATGTCACTTTACTTCTTGCATAGTTAATGAAGTACGTGAATCACTTGTTGTCCGCGTATTGAACAAATTGACCCATATGAATAATGTATAGATTTTGGTAGTTTTAGGTATTTATATGTGTATGTTAGATAAGTTGGATCAAATTTGATTAGCGTTCAAGTCAATTGGGGCCAAAATCAATCAGAATGGAGAGTCAAGTGGGGTTACCAATTGATTGAATATGGTCAGATTTTAACGGCTCCAGTTTCAAACATTGATGAGCAATAATTTTCCTACAACCAGCGAGAACTATGAACGTGACTGGGCCCAACAGAGGATCAAGCATGGACATTGGATTCTGAGGGAGAATGTTGAGTTCTAGCTCAGACCATGTTCTATGTCCCAGCAGAGAACAGGGCCAAGTTCTGGTATTTGCTCAACATTAGCACGTTCTCAAACTTCGCCCTTCTTTTGCTAGGCTGCTTTACAAAACGTGCTTTCTTACCAAACCAGGTCAGGCCTGCATTGCTGACACAGCACATCACCGGAGAGAAGAAACAGAGCAGCACGAGATTATGGAGCACTGCCTAGCATCGGCCGATAGAAGAGAACAGCCATGGCTGCTCTTTCTCGTGCATCGAATGCTACGTTTACTCTTCCTGTATGTATTACTATTTACTATGCTCCAGAAGGGTCATCTGATGAACCAAATCTTCAGGGATTACAGACACATCCTGACTTGATATCCAAGAACAACATTGGCATCCTGAATGTAAAGTGTATCTGCAACCTCTATTGATAAGCAGCATCTTATAAATAATGAGTGCTACTTACCCACTTCCCTAAAGTTAAGATATTGAGACCTGCAATGCTGAAAAACTTGAGAATAATCATCAACTAGATGCAAAGGTAACAAATAATTGTCTTTGAATGAAGGTTCAACCCCAGAAATGTTCTATACAGGGAAGACTTTCTTGTGCTTGAAGTAGAACAAGAAGGATAAGAACATAAAGCAACAACCGAGACCTGTCACAATCACGACCCAATGAAATGTCGATGGATTATCGAAAACCGAGTCCTCAAAATTCATCCCAAATACTCCCGTCACTACAGCAAACACTGTGGCCACGAAGGTAGCTGCTGTTAGAAGCAACTCGAATTGAATGAGCTGGTTCTGGATATTGCCCTGTCCATTTAAATAAACAAGAACTCTTATAAATGTGTCGCTTTTATCTAATTTGCAATCATATCATCATGGAAGGAAGTCAGATAAACCATGTCGTACCAGTTTAATGTTGATCAAATCTTCTGTATCATCAATGTATTCTTTGTGCTGCATCAAATGAGCAGAATAATTAAGATAGACTGAACACAATTGCACTTATTGCTTGCGAACTTTGATTTGTTTTGTAGATTTCTCACCGAGGATAACTTGCTGAGGGTGTTATCAATGGCGACAAAGTAAGCCTCGAGCAGCATTTCAAGTTCGACAATGTTATCACCATTACTCATAGTACTCAGACTCCCGTGTCTACTTGAATTAACAACACTGCTAAATGCTCTCTGCAATTTTTGGACACCGCTAACTGACCTAATCGGTGAACAAGGTGCTGATTTTGAACTCCCTTTTGTGTGCTCGGAGATGTCATTTTCAGAGTCTAAGTCACCTGCCTCATAAGCTTCAGATCTCAGTTTCTTCTCAGTGAGATACATCTCAGCCATGTCTCCATCATCGTCCATAAGTTGCTCTATCTCGTCGTGGACCTATAATTGCAACCTAACAAGCTAAATGCAATGAAAGAAGAAACAAACAGCAGCTAAACGACTGGAATGAAAATAAAACAGTCAAACAAGCTTTTGACTATTTGGAACGTAAAATTTGTTTTACCTTCTGGACTCTCTGAGTTAAAGCAAGGAGTTGGCCTTTGAGTCTCCTTACACGCTCCAAGTTTAGGGTACTAATGGATGAAGCTAGTTCGTCCAGTACTGGGTATATCTCCATTTCCAATTCTTTTACCTGTCACAAACGAGTTCAGACTTCTGAAAAAAGAACCCAGATATATTTTTTAACATTTCAAACCACAAGCCATGTGCATTCAATGATATAAACTCAAATGCCTGGCAAAGGCAACAAAACATTTCCACTGAAAATGTACTTTCCAAGGTAACGATCATGTATAGAACATACCTGAGCATCAAGGGAAGAACAAGTTAGTTCCAGCGCTAACTCTAGAGCTCCAAACTCAAATGGCAAGTCTTCTGTGTAGAACCAGCAACAAAGCAAGTTATTCAAGACTAATGCTCCCAGAGAAGAAGCTGGCAACATTAATCAAAATGCTGCGTAGTGAAATGGAATATATATTTACCAGCTTGATCCTTGTTGTTCTGAAGACGCCTGCAGAACTCGGCCTCATACTGGAGAACAGAATTATCCAGAGAATTCATCAAAATTACTTCTTCAGCTGTGATTATGCATCTAATCTGTTCAAGGTTCACCACAATAGCCTTCTCCCGTCCTAGGATGGCAGACGGATAAATGAAAAGAGGGTCTAACAGCCGCAAATCCCTAGAAGGAAGGGAACAATGTCTCATTATTGTGGCCTTATCAAGCTCCACAATCTTCGATGCCCCATCCTGGTCAATCTTTATCCAGGAACGACTCCCGTGCCCATGCCCTCTTTTCCTCAAACCAGGAAACAAAGAGCCGCCACGATTACCCCACCCTTCTACAATAACTCTCCCATTGTTCTGAGAATGGCCAGATTCCTGGTGGCTAGTCGGTAGAAGTGGACCTCGTGAGTCTTCCATTGGGCTTCAGTGTTCCTTTCTTCACGTCCCAAGCCAGAGTTCCACAGACCACTTTTGAGCATACCCACTCATTAAACGGTTGAAGCATCCCCCACTACAATGTAAAGAGCAGGAAACTAAATGTGCAGAAAGCGAAAGATAGTAGTGCAGTAAAATCAGACCTAACTTTTCTTTCCCAACATTTCTGACTTCTTCGTCAAAACCTGCCAAACACCAACAATACCCAATCAACACACACCATTGCCTATCATCTACTACGGTAATCTAAGGAAAGAAACAAAGTTATAGTAAAGCAATTGCATGGAAAAGAATGCATCAGAGGAACTTGTTGGAACCATTCGTACAATCTTTCCAAAGAATAGGAGTAAGATTAATCTTGGCACACACCGAACGGCGCCTTCAATCTAAACACGCGAAAACCTACAAAACTTCCCGTAAAAGAAATGGAAGGATTCCCCCACAGCGTTGACGAGAACTTGAGAGGACCAAAACAACCCCAAATCTCCTCTTTTAACAATCGGCCATCCACCAAATCGCGAAGTAAAATACTTTGCACGACACCCCCGCCCTCGTTCCATTTGAATATATACAAAATTGGTAAAGGAAAGCGTAAACCCAAAACTCCAACGGCAAATCAAAGAAGCCCAAATGAGAAAGCTCCAATCTTTAAACGGTATATAGACTTACCTAGCAGAGAGATGAATGTCGCAGACCATTTCCACGAGCGTTTTGAAGCTTGACGGGGAGACAGAGCGGACGGCCAGTTGCGAGATTGAAGGAGAGGCAGTGAAGGGTGTGAAGAAGGAAGGAAGAAGACAACTCGTTTGATGATTTCCCCTAATTGCTGTTCGTACGTCGGCAAGTAGATTCTTTTCTATGGCTGGGAGGCGGGGAGCCTGGGAGGGTTCGGTAAGGTAATTTCTGATACCCAGAAAACATACACGCAAGAACGGTTAAGTTGGTTTTCGTGCTAAATTTTATTATTATTATTTTTTTCTTTTCCAACATGTTATTCTATATTCTTTATTTTTTACCATAAAAATAAATTTTTTAATTGATTAGAGGTAGGGATGGCATCGGGCCGGATCGGGAGCGGATCGCCACTATCCGATGCCCGTCCGCTGAAACAAGCGGGTTTACTAGTGACCCCGCCAGTGTAACGGGTCAGAATTGGATACCGTCCCAGCATTGGGTGGTTTTCCGGGTGCCCGCGGATTGTTAATGGGGATTGCTTATTGTCGCCCTAATCGCCTAACTTAAAAAAAACTAAGATTATAATTTTATCCTCCTTTATTTTTTTATTCCAATATATTTTATTCCAACAAACCAAATAAAAAAGAAAAAAATTGACATTCGCATCAAACCGCCACCACTGCTGCCCCGCCATGACCTATACCTTCCTCAAGTATCATCTTTGCTCAACAAAACTTACATTTTCAAGTGTGTTAAGTTAACAATACAATTCTTTATAGTTTTATAGTAGCTTTCCATAAATGAAATAGACAAAACAACATAACTTAGCCTCAAGATAGGATGCGTAAGTGTATAACACATGGTTATGCACTCATTAATAACTAAATTTGGACCCTTCATTTCGAAAATTCAGATCTAATGATGGAGAATTAAAGGTCATTTTTATTTTCTTAGCTTTCTTAATCGGCTCATATCTTCTTTGTTTTAACTCGGAATTTTTTTTTTTTTGCACAGATGGAACGAGTTCGTTGTGCTCTACAAAATGAGATACATTTTCAATATTTTTTTAGAAAAAAAAATTTCTTGCCTCTCGGTACCAACTGCATACCATATGGTATCTTCGTCGTTTTTTAAAACGTTTGCACAGAAGGAACGAGCTCATCATGATCTATTGGACCTACAAATTTCTAGGTGAACAAATTACAGGACCAAAAAATACCACAAATACCACATAATACCACCCTGGTACGGGGTGGTATCATATGGTACACAATGTTAAAAGTCGTAAATGACAGTTAATATACTTCTACTATCATGTATTCAACCATCCTACAGTCTTGGTTTGTTCATACCACCATGGTACGCTTTTCAAACTATAAGTACGCTCTTATTTCAATACCAGTCAATACCATATGGTATAGACTGGTAAAAAATGGCTCAATTCTTTTTGTTCGAAAAATATATCAAAGTGGATATCATTTTGAAGAGCACAATTAATCTGATATTACTGTGCAAAAAAAATCGACTTAAAACGAGTGAGAAATCGTCTTTCAAAGATTAAGGAGGGGAAAATTAAAGGCTTTCTAGGAGAGAGGGATGCTGATGTCATGCTGATGTGGATGAGTTACTCATAGTTACTTATCATAAGGTTACTGGGTTCCCCATAAATTGATAATGATCGATTTCCCATGGGAGGAAACGAAAAGGAATGGTGGCGGGAGTTTAGGCGGTAGGGACAGACGACGCAGAGTCGAGAAACACACAATGAGGGAGAAGGACGTAGCGACGGCGGGGAGAATAACTAGGGTAGTGCCAACGGCAAATCACGAAAAAAAAAGAAGCATAGAAGACGGTGGAGAGAAACGGTGGCGGAAGGTATTTGGTGAGAGGGGTTCGGCGGCGTTGAGAGGATAAAGGATTTAGGGCGGTTTGTTTTACTGAATTTGGTTTAATTAATGCAGGATAGTTTGGTAGTTTTACATTTTAAATTAGGGCGATAGTAGTAAAGATAGGGCGATGTTTAGCCGTCTAGATTGTTAATACCCGATAAACAATAATAAAAAACAAAATTTCTGATAACTTAAAAATTGAAAAAAAAAATCCTCAAACTTCATTCATGTTTCATAGTTTCAAAAGAACAAAACCATACTGCATTGTTGCTGCCAGCAGCTCAGCAATAGCAAGCACAACAACTAAAACAAAATCAACCAAACATAATCAATTCCCAGCAGCAACATGAGTGTCGAAATGCAGTAACTAGAATCCAAAAGCAAGGAAAATGAAACTAGAATGTTGTCCAAAATGCAAACTAAAACCAATAGCAACCCCTATCAACTACTGAGTCCAACAGCAGCAACATTCAAAATTTCCAATAGCAGCCAACGGTGAGCTTTCATCTTTCAAAAAGTCAGACGTCCAGATCAACAAGCAGCAGCCAGCAAGTCTGCTGAAACAAGTCAACAAGCACAATGAGTTCATAGCTAAGAACTCAGAACTTGAGTTGAAGTATAAACATGAGTTTATAGCCAGCAAGTCTCCAAAAGCTCATAATGTATTAATGTTAGAAGATAACTTATCGAAGTTTATACCTTGGCTCCACAACAAAGAAATCTCCAGTAATCAGCCTTCATGGCCAAATTGTGATCTCATGAACACCATTCCTGGACCTGAAAAAGGAAAGCAAAATACATTAGTCATTATGCTCGAATGAACAAAGTCAGAACTATGAAAGATTAAGAGAAAGTCTTAGTGTCTTACCCCCAAGTTCTGCCTCTTCAACAGAGCTATCTTCAATGGACATAGTAGCGAATACTCCCTCCAATGCCTCCGCAGCAGCCTCAGAATCTGTACAAACAAGAGGATAAGGTTAACATATAAGCAAATACAGATGTAATCAAATCGAGGGGTATAGTTGAGTTTACCTCGTTCCATGTCTTCCATTATCCAGCTTCGTGTTTACATCATTGCTTCCACAGTTGAATAATGCAGTCTGCTACGGTGAGGGTCTATCAACATCCCACCAGAACTAAAAGTACTCTCAGAAGCAATAGAGGTGACTGGGATTGCCAAAAAGTCCCTTGCAATTGCTTCCAAGGTGGGATACTTCAGACCATTCAATTTCCACCACAACAGAAGATCAAACTCTGCTGTCCGTGGAATAATATCCTTAGCAAGATAGTGGTCCAACTCATTGGTAATCAAAGTACTCTTACTCTTTTTTCTTTGACTTACAAACAACTCAAAGTCAAGCTCGATGGCCGAGACAGATGTAGAACCAACCGAGGTTCCAGTTCCAGAACTAGATTTTTTCTCAGCTTTGGTTTGATAATCAAGTATCAAACCACATATAATTTGCTTGATATTCTCAGCCGCCATATCAGTATCATTATTGTCAAACTTTGCAGCATAATACTCAATAACTGATAGCGTCGTATTTGCACATGTTTGCATCCTTGTCTCCTGACCGTTTTAGCTTGAATTTGTGGCTCCTTGGCCTATTTTACGCTTAATTGTGTTGTTTTGTCATATCTCAGGTCCTAGCGAGTAAAGGGAGGCATAGGCGCAAGTTTTGGGTCGTTTGGTGAGGCTGGAGCCAAAACACGGGCAGCCCTGACTGAAACACGACCGTGTTCCCCAGGCCGTGTTTTTACTGCCGAGAGCATGTTTGAAAAGGCTTCTGAAGGACCAAAACACGGGAGCATGGAGGAAAAACACGACTGTGTCACTCATGGGGCACGACCGTGTTTTGGGAAATACATGGGTGTGTCTGCCTTACTTGAGGCAAAACACGGGCGGGCAGAAGCAAAACACAGTCGTGTCCTCCACTGTGTTTTTCCCAGAAGCGGGTTTTTGAGGCAGATTCGAGCCAAAGGAGAGGAAATCGACTTTTTGAGGAAAAAAACAGAGTTTTTAGAGAGAGAAAGTGCAAAGAACAAACCCTATGGGCTATTTGGAGTGGATTTCTCACCATTGAAGCCCAGATTGCATCCCCAGGAGTGAAGATCGACATCCTAGAGCAGATTATCCCCATCTTTATGAGTATGACTGTTCTGATTTCTGTTTCCTCTCTCTCTCTCTCTCTCTATGGAGTAGAACCCTCTCTCATTTGGGTATGAAGAACCCTAGTTCCATGTGTTAGGAATCTTGATTGTAATGACTTTGGATTGATATAATGCTTGATTATAATTGATTGATGCATGATTCATTGAGTCAATTGAAGCCTGATCATCTTTTCTTGATTTTTGTTGCAACCTAAGATAGATAGAATCCGATTAGGTTGTTATAGCTTCATCAATCGGCAGTAGTAGATTGGTTATACGAGAGTTAATCGATTTACTGCTTTGTACTGGAATCCAATTCCAGTAGTGAAGTTCTGTGTTTATTGCCTCAACAGTCTTTCCCGGTGAAGGCTAGTCGCTTGTCGGTTAGTCTGTCTGAGAGGGTTTGGTCAGCTTAAGAGATTCCAAGCTACTGTCGAATCTTCCGCAATTTAATCAACAGTAAATCAACCAAGGTTAATTATAACTTTGACCTAACTAAGGAGCTAGGGGGACTCATTCCTGAGTGACTCTTCCCCTACGTAAGAACTTCGAACCATTTCTTGCTTTCTTACTGCTTTTGCTTAAAACCACATTCAATCAACTTAGTTTGCTAGATAATAAATCATCACTGAGTAGGCAGTAGATCTAGACCCCGGGTTGATAAATAGAACTTGCCACTTTACTGCATTTTCGGGCTGCGATTACACTTGGTCGCAGTTTGGTGTTGTGTTTTAGCGTGTCAATAACATGTAGCTTGTACCTTGGATCCAAAACAACTGAGACAGCAAGAACAAGGTGGATATCATCCCAGTACTTATCAAACTTCATGGACATGTTACTAGCCATCCCAAAAATCACAAGATTGGGATCATTACCCCACTCAATCAGTTTTAGTCTAAGATCATAAATCTTTGGGGAAAAAGATTGGCAGTAGGATACTTGGAACCAGAGAACAACACAGTAATCTCAGAGAAAATGGCTAGCTTCTCAATTACAGTAGATGCAAAATTCCCAATGATCATTAGAAGGAACTGATGTGTATTGACTATCCCTCATGCTCAAACAAAAAAAAAACATCCTTATATGGAATAGCAGCATAGAGCATATGGAAGGTGGAATTCCATCTAGTTGGGCAATCAAGTACTAGTTTCTTCTCAAAAGACAGTTTCAATTGCTTAGCAGTTTCGAAGAAGGTTTGAACCCTCTTAGGTGTATAATTCCAGTAAACCACACTCTCCCTAATCAAATGTATATAATCCTTAATTGCATCCAAACCATCCCTCGCAATCAAGTTCAGAATATGAGTTGAACACCTCATATAAACCAATTTACCATCCAACAACATGTCACTAGTCACAAGCTTATTTTTCAGATGAAATATCATTAAATCATTAGTGGTGCAGTTGTCCAATGTGATTGAGGACAACTTACCATCAATGTTCCAATCCAAGAGAGAATCAAACAATCTATCAGCAAGTTTTTCACTTGTGTGAGGGGTTGGAACATACATAAACCTCATCATCATGTTACGAAGCTTCCAAGAGTTATCAATAAAGCGGCATGTTACTGCCATATACCCCCTTTTCTGATTTGAGGCAGTCCAGAAATCAGTTGTCACAGAAATCCCACCCAAGTTACCATCAAGAATGCTTTGATATTTTCCCCTTTGAACCCCATACAAAGACATTATGTCCTTTTTCACAGTGTTTCTACAAGGAACAGTGAACTGAAGTTGCAGTGAACAACATAACCGTTTGGACCCTATGTGATCAACCATACTAAGCGGGTATTCATGGAACAGAGTTCCTTCCTACACACATCAGAATTGTACTGAGAAGCAGAGAGTTGGACATTACCAGTAGATCGATAGTTGGGGCCAAGAATTTTCTGAGAACTATCATGTATCATTTTCTGGATACATGATTTGAGTTGGTTCCTCAAATGCGGAGTTCCATTGCTTTTTTCGCCACCAAGTGCTTTTCGGCAGTACATACACTTTTCCTTCATTACCCCAGTAATCCTCACTCTAGTGAAGTGCGGCCACACATCAGACGTTAACCAAGGTTGCTCTGTCAGTTCTTCCTCATTACCATTAGCACGATTATTTGCATCAGCAGCAGCTTGTTCAGGTTGGACAATTCCACCAACATTTTCAGCAACAGGTTCCACATTTTGTTCACCTGCCATCTGTATAGACACATGAACAAAAAACAAAATAATAGTTAAAAATCTGCCATGCATGTATGTATTAAACCGCTAATCCAAAACACAACACCGAATAAGTAGAGTTGAAACCCTTACCCTAGAGTCTGAAACCTGGTCTCTGCCTCTCTATCGCTGGAAAATTCATTCAGAACTCGCTACCCAGAACGAGAGGAGATGGCCAGACGATGAGATAGAAAGACTTGCTCAGAAGTTTGCTATATATAGAAGTAGAAAACGGGAAGAATGTAGAGTCAGTTCGACTTCTAATTTAGAAAGAAAAGGGGGAGGGGGGGGGGGGGAAATGAAAGCAAGGATAAGGAAATCATGGTGTTCCTTATCTATGATCGATAGACGATAGAACTCCAAGCGCCTCCTTTGGGTGTTTTGATCCACAAAATCACCAACGAATGATTATCGATTCGTGGAATTGGAGGAATTGAAGACGAGAGATTATCGATTCGATATTCTAGGTGAGGCTTTGATTGGAAAATGGTGAAAAATTGGCGGAATCGCGCGTTGATCGAGCTAATTTCCTGTCTGATGATCGTCATTCATTAGAGAGAGAATGAGAGAGAGGATTAGCCGATTAGGGTTTCAGAAATTGGGCGAATGAGGGTTTAGAGTCATCAAGCGGCGGTCGCTGTGTTAGACGTCGTTTATATATACATGCCAAAACGACGTCGTTTTGTGCACGGATAATCCGTCGGGTGGGCCTCGGGGCGGATATGTATGGATCTAGCCCCGTCCGCGATCCGCATTTGACGGACTACGGGTTACCCGCCATCCGTTAACGGGCCTCAACGTCAGGGAAAAATAGGCCCATGGCGGGCAGGCTTCGGACGGATACCCGAAAACGGGCCTTAGCATGTCATCCCTAATTGGAGGAGAGGGCTAGGAGCCTAGCAGAGCAACTAGAATGAATTACTGATAGAGTTACGCGAAAAGATACAATTTAATGAAACAAGAAACTTCCGTCAACAATATTTGGAAAATAACTTGAACAATAAATCATATTTAATAAAGGGATGGAAACTGTTATTATATAGATAAAAGTGTAATCTTCCTTCATTTTAGTAGTTAATTTTTAATTACTATCTTATTGTATATATATTTAAAAAACTTATAAAACGGCTCAAACCGGTCAGATCCCGCTCAGACCAATAATCTGCAAACCCCTTACTAGACCAACTCAATGACTTAACCCGGTTTGACAAACTTGGTGTTCCTTGTTTGGGCGATAGCTGACGAAGGTGATCGTTGCCCCATTTGCTACCAGCTTCCAAAACCATAGAGTGAGCCGGAATCGATCCAAGGATGGTGATTGCTTTCCCATAAAGGGATCGACAATAGTCACGAACCATTGCATGGAGGATGAAAAGAACCTCACGTCCATAGATCCTGATTGTAAACGGGATCTTCGTGAGGATGTCCATCGTAGATCCGGATGGTGGGTCAGAAAAAGAAAGCGTCGCAATGCTTTGTAAGAGCTTGAGCTCACATATGAAAAACAAATTAAAAGATGTAGGTTATTGCCAATGACGGGGTGGAGGTTCTAGCTCCCTCCTTCGTCAGAACTAGAGTGTGACAATTCTATTTTGAACTCGTTCTTGGTGGTTAATAATCACAACTAGTTAATCAAACTCGAAGATGCAAAGCAACGGGTTTACTTTGCCAGAGATCGACCCATATGGGGAGAAACCCATTCAACGACGTCTTTGCAATGGCTGGCGACTAACAAGGATATTCCCATGAGCTCTAATGACACCGGCGACCAGTCGATCTTGACATATACAGACGCCGGACTCCAATTTTGTTCACCGTGGCCAAGACGCAAATGGGTTGTTGTGAAAAGATTCTATCTTGATCTTTCGTGTCTATTACGAGGGATTTGGTTGTGCTCTATCCAAACTTGGAGTTATTTACCCAACATATTTAGTTGTGTTTGTGCCAATTCATGTGCTTAAATGCTTGAACATTGTCAAATACATCCCTATTGCGTTTCTATTTGATTTCGATATGATTCTAGAGTGTATTAGTCGATATGGTGAAAATTAGGTACAAAACAAGGTCACAAGTGTACAGAAGTGGCAAGATGCTAAATATCGTGGCCTAGAAGCCAAAGATCATGGTCGGGATCACAAGCCGAGAAGACCAGCTGAAGATCGCGACCCGAAAGCTAAAGATCACGACGCGATCTTGGAAGCTTAGGGCGCGAACTTCGCATGGAGGGAGCCTTGAAGAAACAGAGAGTTTCCCCAGTTGCATCACGGCCAACTCTTATCTTGTCCGCAAGAAAGATCACGGTCGCAACTCGCAGATCGCGACCGCGAAGTCAGCCCGCTATCTTCCCTTTTCCTCAGTCCTCGATGACTGGGTTTTGAGATCACGGCCAAGAGACTAAAGATCCCGCCCGCGATCTTATTTTCTCAGACCGCGAACTTCCCCGTGTCAACAGTGCCTATAAATAGAAGACCCCTTTCCCCATTTTAGGAGAGCTGATTTTGAGAGAAATTTTCTGGTTCTAGAGAGAGAAGAGAGAAAATATGAAGGAAGCAGAACATAAGGAGGAGCTAGGAGCAAGGAGGATCTTCCCCAACTTCAAGTTTTCTTCTATTTCTACCATGTATCTTCTTCCCTCCTTTATGGAGTAGTCCTCTAAGATACTAGTGGTTCTAAACCCCAAACCCTAGTTTTAGGATTTACTCTGTATGTAGATGTTTTAGGGTTTGAATGAATGAATGTGTTTGCCTAGTTGATTTTAATGTCACTCTTTCCTAAATGATGACGCTTGGGAAACTGGCCCAATCTTCCCTCTTAGTCTGCTTTATTACAACGTTGGGTATGGAGTTCTAGGGTTAGATGGGTATGCGCCATCTTGCGAGTTTAGGTGGTCGAGGCGGCCGTACCCTTGCTATATGTGGCTTTCCTAGGTGAAACCCGGGATAAAACCTCGGTGTGGACGGTGGATAGTGTCCATTGAAATGAGCCATATAACTAATGCCCCAGATACGATAGCCTAGGTCGAGGTGACTGGAATAGGGGTTTAGGGGAGGCACACTCGCAGACGTGTGGATAACGACGAAGGCCCACGGAAAAGAGCTTACTCACCACATTCGATGATCCTAGATATCTATATATGCATAGTGACCCTAAGCTAGAGGTAGGATTAGTACCCAAAGTACCTGCTTTTAGCTTTGATCAATCCTTAGACTAGAGTTTCCTCATATCTTCCACTCAAAACCTCAAAACTTGATTAACTAATTAGCAACTAGGTGGGAAGTAGGCTAGTGTACCGGGACTCGGGTAGAATACGACCTTGATTACCACTATACGACAACACCGTTCTAGGTTAAAGTTGACCTAGAATGGGGTAGTTGTGGATACGTGCAAACCTTTGACAAAAAACCTTCACGGATTGAAGTGATCAAGCTTTTTGGCGCATTGTCAGGGATCCGTGGTAACTAGTAAAAAACTATTAAGTTTTTAGTTACTCTTTACCTTGCTTTATTTGTTTTCTGTTGTGTTTGTTTCGTATTGTTTGTTTTTGTTAATTTTTTCGTGTTTTTTTTTTGTTTTGTTATGGAACAATCCAAGTACCACATCGGTTGTACAAGGGAAGGAACCCTTGTATATTAGTGTCCACTAAGACCAATTAGTACGCGGCCTTTTGGGGAGGACAACCAAAAGTAAATCCATGTGGGCTTGGCCCAAAGCGGACAATATCGTACTAATTGAGCACCCCGGTTCGACAAGTGATATCAGAGCCTGGTTCGACAGATCCGGGGAGATGGACGTCAATTTGGTGGTACCCTCATTCGGTGGACCTCAGGATTTGAGATCTGCGTATGGTTTGGTGGATCCACGAGAGATCCACGTTTGTTTGGCGGATCAAAGAGAGTTCTGCGTTTGGTAAAGTCCTTGCTTGTCGAACCGGGGTGCTCAATTAGTACGATATCGTCCGCTTTGGGCCAATCCCACACGGATTTACTTTTGGGTGTCCTCCCCAAAAGGCCTCGTACTAATTGGGCTTGGTGGAAACTAATATACAAGGCTACCTTCTCTTGTACAACCGATGTGGTACTTGGATTGTTCCATAACAATCCTCCCCTTAAGCCAAGGACCACGAACATCGTGTCTCACCTCACCGATTATCTTGATCCGCCAGACACCTTGTATCGATGGGTTTCTCGGTACAAGGATTTTTCCCAAGCTGACCTCCCTTGATCCGCCGAACCAGATGTAGCCGAAACGTGGATCTCTCGTGGATCCACCAAACCAGACGCGTATCTCAAATCCTGAGGTCCGCCGAATGAGGGTACCACCAAACTAACGTCCATCGCCTCGGATGTGTCGAACCAGGCTCTGATACCACTTGTCGAAACGGAGTGCTCAATTAGTACGATATTGTCCTCTTTGGGCCAAGCCCGCACGGATTTACTTTTGGGTCTCCTCCCCAAAAGGCCTCGTACTAATTGGGATTGGTGGACACTAATATACAAGGGTTCCTTCCCTTGTACAATCGTGGACATCAGTTTGGTGGACCCTCAAGATTTGAGATCTGCGTTTGGTTTGGTGGATCCAGGAGAGATCCATGTTTGGGCTTGGCAGATCAAAAAGAGTTTTGCATTTGGGAAGCAAATCAAAGAGAGTTCTGCGTCTGGTAAAGTTCTTGTGTCGAGAAGCCCATCGATACAAGGCGTCTGGCGGATCAAGATAAGTGAGGACACGAAGTTCGTGGTCCTTGTCTTGAGGGAAGGATTGTTATGGGACAATCCAAGTACACATTGGAAATATAAGGGAAGGGACCCTTGTATATTAGTGTCCACCTAGCCCAATTAGTACGAGGCCTTTTGGGGAGGACACCCAAAAGTAAAACTGTGCGGGCTTGGCCCAAAGAGGACAATATCGTGCTAATGGGGAAACCCGATTCTGACAAGTGGTATCAGAGCCTGGTTCGGCGGATCCGAGGCGGCGGACGTCAGCTTGGTGGACCCTCGAGATTATAGATCTGCATCTGGTTTGGTGGATTAGGGAGAGATCCACGTTTGGGCTTGGCGATCAAGTACGAGGACAATCCAAGTACCACATCAGTAATACAAGGGAAGGAACCCTTGTATATTAGTGTCCACCAAGCTCATTAGTACGGGGCCTTTTGCGGAGGACACCCAAGAGTAAAATCATGCAGGCTTGGCCCAAAGCGGACAATATTGTACTAATTGAGCTCTCCGGTTACGACAAGTGGTATCAAAGCCTGGTTTGGCAGATCCGGGGTGGTAGACGTCAGTTCAGTGGACCCTCGTTCGGTGACCTCGGGATTTGAGATCTGCGTCTGGTTTGGTGGATCCAGGAGAGATCCAGGTTTGGGCTTGGCGGATCCGCGTGTGTCTGGCGGATCAAGAGAGATTAGCGTTTGACTTGGCAGAATAAAGAGAATTATGCGTCTGGGAAAATCCTTGTACCGAGAAGCCCATCGATACAAGGTGTTTGGCGAATCAAGATAATAGCTAAGAAGATGACACAAAGTTCGTGGTCCTTATCTTGAGGGGAGGATTGTTATGAGACAATCCAAGTACCACATCGGTAATACATGGGAAGGAACCGTTGTATATTAGTGTCCACCTAGCCCAATTAGTACGAGGTCATTTGGGGAAGATACCCAAGAGTAAAACACATGTGGACTTGGCCCAAAGCGGAAAATATCATACTAATTGAGCACCACAGTTTGACAAGTGGTATTAGAGCCTTATTCGACATATCCAGGACGATGGACGTCAGTTTGGTGGGACTTTCATTCGGTGGACCTCGAGATTTGAGATCTGTGTCTGGTTTGGTGGATCCATGAGAGATTCACGTTTGGGCTACATCTGGTTTGGCGGATCAAGGGAGGTCCGCGTGGGAAAAATCCTTGTACCGAGAAGCCCATCGATAGAAGGTGTCTGGCGGATCAAGATAATCGATAAGGTGAGGACATGATGTTCGTGGTCCTCGAGTTTAGGGGAGGATTGTTATGCAACAATCCAAGTACCACATCGGTTGTACAAGGGAATGAACCCTTGTATATTAGTGTCCACCAAGCCCAATTAGTACGAGGCCTTTTGGGGAGGACACCCAGAAGTAAATCCGTGCAGACTTGGCCCAAAGCGGACAATATCGTACTAATTGAGCCCCCCGGTTCGACATTTGTCGTATTTGTTTTGTTGTTTGTTTATTTTGTTATCCAACTTTGTACGTCATGGGTTGTTGAGCTTGTGCTTTGTAGCACCATTCTATGCGAAAGAAGACCCTTTGATTCTGAAATCAAGAGGACCCTTGAGAATCTAAGAAGATTTGCAATACCTCAACCTCCACCAATGGCGGAACATCAAGCTCAAGTACCACCGAGGCCAAGGACCATGGGTTCTTACTCTAGGCCTAGTGTGGACAATGTTAAATCACCTATTCTTCATCCGACATTGCCCAACAATGATTATGAGATAAAGTCGAGCACAATTTCGATGCTTCAAAGTGCGGTTCAATTCAATAGGATGGTGAGTGAAGATGCACATGCGCATGTCAAATCATTTTACGAGTTGACAGACGGAACCAAGGTGAACGGGGTCCCTCAAGAGGCTATCCGACTAAGGTTATTCCCATTTACCTTGAATAGAGCGGCAAAGAAGTGATTGAATAATCAACCACATAAGTCTATCACCTCATTGGATTATCTATGCAACAAGTTGTTTGCAAGGTACATTCCACCTTCTAAGACGGTTTTGATGAGAAGTGAGATTACCATGTTCTGTTAAGAGGAAGATGAACCATTGTTTGAAACATGGGAAAGATTCAAATCCCTTCTACTCAAGTGTCATCATCATGGCATAGCTGATTGGTTACAAGTTGAAAGTTTCTACAATGGGTTAACGAAGGAATCACAAAGCCTCATCAATACAGCTAGTGGAGGTGCCATTCGGAACAAAGAAGTCGGAGAACTTCAACAACTAATCGAAGAGATGGCCCTCAATAGTTACGATTGGGGTGATGAAAGATGGGGTAAGAGCATATAAAAGGGAAGTTTATTGAAGATAGAAGAACCATCATCTCTATCGGCCCATATTCAAGAACTTTCCAAGAAGATCGATCAAGTTGCATCATCAATGAAAGGCAACGGGAAGCAACTTATGAAGTGTGATTGGTGTGCTGACTCAAGTCATATCATGGAAGAATGCAAGTCGATGATTGAAGCCTCTATTCAATTCGAGTAAGCCAACTTTGTTGGAGGTCAATCCCGAGGAAACAACCTTTATAGCTCGACTTATAATCTGGGATGGAAGAGTCACCCAAATTTCCTTTGGTCTTCTTCGAAGAAAAGGAAACCTCCGGGGTTTCAATCTCAAGCTCCAATGCAAAATAAATACACGAGACCAAGTCAACCAACATACCAAGGGACATTTCAAGAACAAAAATGACCCTTCGATGGTCGACTTGCTAAGTTTGAAAACTTGGTGGGGAAATTTGTCACACATTCTAACAAGAAGTTCGAAGCTATTGATAAGTTCATAGAAAATATAGAAACCAAATTCTCGAGTTTGGAAGCGGGGCAAAAAAATCAACAAGCTCCACTTGAAACCCAACTAAGTTCATTTGCTCAGACTATCACATTGAGACCTCAAGGAGCTCTACCAGGAAATACCGAGCCTAACCCAAAAGAAGGATGCCATACGGTAACTCTAAAAAGTGGTCGGCCATTGAAGGAGATTCCCACGCCAACTCCAAGGATCCCGGTAAGAGAAGTTCCTCAAGAGGTTGTTTATGAAAATGAGTTAGCTCGGGAGGAAGTTCAACCTTCCGTTGATGTCAATGTTGAAGATGAGGAAAAGTCTAAGGAGACTCATGAGCCTGAGCCAACACCAATGTTTCTTTATGATGATGTTCTAGATGACCATCTCCTTTATCTGAGATGGCTTTCCAATTTGGTAAGTTAGTTTTGTATTGGTAGGAGAACATGTTCAGAAACCAAAGCTAAAATGAGTGGGGCTGTGTTAATACCTGGTTGTGTGTACTCTGCAAGGTGGAGAATGAATCTAGAGACCATCTGTTTAGTTGTTGTGCTTTCAGGACTTCCCTTTCCAGTTTCTAATCGGTATGGCTTCTTTAAGCTTCAAATTTGTATTTTCTTCTATAATTCTATTACAATTATCTTTGTGACATATTCAGGTTTGTTCCATTTTAGTTCTAGATTGTAGCAGAATTTTCTTGCTAGGTGTTGAGTTACTTTTCGTTCATGGACATTTGTTAACGGTGTTTATGACAATGATTGATTCATATGCATTTCTAACTGGTCATATGGATTTATTATGCTTAGAATCGGTAGGTTATCCTTTACAGCTCTAGGTGTCTTAGTTTTGTGTTATTCTACTGGTGATTGATGGTTATTCTAGTGGTAACGTTGCTCTCCAAAAGATCGATGGTTTTCGTTGTTTTTCTAATCCATTAATGAGATTTTTTTTTGTTACAAGGGGTATCCGTGGGTGCCCATTATCCATCCCGTACGGGTGTTGGATATATGTTTACTCGTATGGGTTTGAGACATGAGATGGAGTATCTTCTTCAAATGGGATTGGGTACCCGTTTCAAACGCGGCGGGTACCTAGTTCCGTCCCGTTGCCCACCCTAACTTCAGTTTAATAGAGAATATAAATCCTCGATCCGTTCCTCTTTCGGTTTTGCTGCATTGTGTTTTTATTTTTTTCTGCTCATTTCTAGATTTTCCCATATATAAATTGTACAATTATTCAATGAAAAAAAAACTGTATAATTGTCAATGCAGAAGAAACATCTATAACCCAATTATGTGTATTGAATTAGTTTCTGGAATTTATTTCAATAATGTATTTACACAAAAGATATTCTCCAAGCTTACATTTCTGTCTCCTTTATTTGAATTACATCAGCCGCAAGCTTAAACAGAAAGAATGGTTTCACACTAGGCCTAATCTTTTAACACAAGTAATTAGAAGTTGCATAGTTAGCGCAACCTGGTTGTTTGACATCCTTATTATCATGTTCATCTTACAAAATTTTATCTTATAAGAAAATTATTGGATTCATGGTTGATTTCCTAAACGAGATAGATAGAAAAGATTGTCATCACTGAGACCAATTGGGTGTTAGTGATATCCACAATGCTTACGTCTTTAGTTTGATGGTTGGTAGGGAAGATAAACTAAGAGAGGAAACACAAGATATAAAATAGTAACACCTAAAAATTCATTGAGTCACATAACATAATTTCTAGAACTTTTCCTTAGTCAAATTCCATGGTTAGAGTGACAACAAAGTAAGAGTGGTTGACTATGATTTTGAGTGGTTACTATGTCATCCGGCCAATTGGCCGTGCTCAAAGCTAGTACTTAGTCTACACATCTATATAAGGGAATGTCAAACAAAAATTCTTGCCACATCAGCCGGTGCTGTTTATACCGCATAGTTTGGAAGGAGTCATTCGTCAATTCATCATTGCCTTTTTCCAAAAGGCTCGGTGCTATTACTATTTCTTAATGTTGTCAGGACCGAATTGGAGCATTACCCGGTAATGGAAACGGCTCGCACTTTAGTGGTCCAACCGACATTAGACCGTTTAAAAATCGTTAGAGAACCGGTACCTAATAAACGTTATCAGTATAAATAGTGGACATTTCTTATCAAAGCTTATCTCTTTCCTCCGAAATTGTGAAATGGAAATAAGGATTCAGTTTGAGAGCCCAACGTTTTTGGTTTATTTCAATTTTCAATTTTCTGCAATTTTTTTAAATCAAATTTAACGGCTGAATGGTAAAAACCGGACGAGCGACTCGAGCGGTTAACCTCCTCGGCCGCTCGCCAACCGCTACATAAAACCGAAGCGACTTTTAGACTGTTTCGAGCCGATTTTGTGACCGGGTAGTGGTTACCGGTCGGGCCGAGCGGTTCAACTCGGCTTTAATAACACTGCTATTTTTCCTTTTCCGTTTAATTAATAACATTTCAATTTAAAATCCCATTAACTCTATTTTCCTTTTTCTTTTTACAGTCCACGGCCACAAACCAACTACTTCCGTTACAAACAAATCACTACTTCTTGGTAATGTGAACAGTGAACACACAAAAATCAGTTAGAAGATGGTGTCAAGCAGGTGGATGCGGGAGGGTAGAACTGGGTTCAATCATTATTGGTTATGTAATCGATTGAAATATTTTTAATATGATGAATTTTCGATCTCTAAACAAAATAATATTGTTTTGGTGCATTTAATCAATACATTTTCTTAATTGTTTCTTGAATTGAAGTAATTTGTTGAACTCAAGTATGAATATTTAGATGTTTATGTTATTTGCTGGAATCAAATATAAAATTTTGGATGTTGAAGTTAAATGTTATATTTAAATATAATAATTTTCATTTTGTTCGGAATGTTTTATTTTATTCAAATAAGGATTTAAAATTTAGAGAGATTATCTTCAAATATGTTATACACATGTCTACCACTTTCCTACATGTTTTGCTAAAATGGACATGAACTGGCATAAACCGATTGTATCACCCGTCGGGCAACACCATTTACCAAATCGACATAACTTTTGAGAACCTTGATGAAACGCCATCTAAACAATAAAATTAAACTAATTATTTTTTTCCTTTTAAATTGTTTCTACTTCGGCCTATCTCCAAATAATCATTATGATCCAAACAAAGAAATAAATAACTAAAAAATTGTAATCTTTGTTTTAGATCAAAAGCTTATCGTGTATTATTGAACTTAGACGGATCCTTAATAGATAATAAGAATTGGATTTTCAATGGGTACAGAAATTGAGTTTTCTATATATCAATAAAAATGAGGTTTTGAATAAACAACAATATTTGGCATGTCTTTGTGTTTTAAAAGTTGAAACCGGATCAAACACCTATAACCCTTCATTTATTGAAAAAGTCAAAAAGTGTATTGTACAACAAAAAAGTATAAAATTCGATTTGGAGCTTCTACAAAAATTTATTTTAAGAATACAAGATTATTATCACAATGATTTTTTTCAAATTAAATTTTTTTTTCTTTTATATTATTTAAAAGCTAACATAAAATATAAAAGAAATCCAACATGATCCATTTTGAATATTTTTTATTTACATTTAATATCAGAATTGTTTTAGTAATTTCAAATCTCCTTTGATATACAAAAATAATTTTAATTGTTTATTAGCATAACACTCAATTATTTTTTAAATACTTCTCTAAAAGGTTACAGCTCTAAGCTGTTTTTGTAAAAGATATAACAGGGCCAAATTAGCCTAATAAGATTCGTTTTGTTATAGGATACAACACAGTGGAGTGAAAAAATGTGAAAAATGACAACGGGAGATAAAAATCAATTTTTGATTAAGCGTGTATACCATTGGCAATTTTATTCATTAGTGAAAAAGTTATTAAGGTGGAGATAAAAAAAAATTATCTTGAAATTTTAATTTCTTTTGTCTGTGTATTTATGAGTTATCCAATTGCATATTTTATTATGAAAATTATAACAATTTTCCTAACTAAAATGAAGAGATGTTAATTCATTATTTTAAACAGATGAAAATGTAAATGTATCTTATTTGACAAAATAAAACATTATTCACAAAAATGACGATCTGGCCAATCGGCCGGGCCTCATACTAGTAATAGTAATTAATTGGGTTAATAGCATTTTATATCCTTCTACTTTTGCAAATTAACAAACGTACCCCTCTACAATGTTTTGCATGCGCGTACCCTTCTAGTATTAAAACGTAACGAACATACCCTTCCGTCTAAATTTCTGTTAAATGACCGTCTAATGGACTGTAAAAAGACCCAATTACCCCTCATTAACTCCTAATATTTATTTAGTTATTTCTTTTCCCTAACCAAATGAATTAAAAATTATAACCTACAAACTCTTAAATTTCTCTACGACAGGCAGACGTTTGGTCTTCCTCAAGTCGGGCCGGCACTGGTAAACGACGGCGGCGGGCAGGAGGGTTTCTATACGATTGACGGTTTGGTGAATCTACTGCGCGAACCTCTTCTCCTCCGATTGTGCCTCCGTCCTCCGACAGCCTCTTCTTCTCCGCATGTCAACTCTGCCCAGCTTCCCAATCAATCAGCATCCTTTCGTCGATCAATCCTCTTTTATTTCCCTCTTTCGTTTTTGTGTAAATATTGTGGGAACCCAAATTTGAAGTCTGACCTCCAACGTAACCAGATAGATCTAATATTCATATTTATCTTCTCTCGTATTTGCTTAAAAATAAACATTACAACATCAATTGAGTTCGATTTAAGGAGACAATAGCTTACACCTCAAGACAATTCCAACACAGTAGAGTGGATGGGTAGCAGGCTAGCGGCCGAGTACAGGGTGGCCGAAGTCTCTGGCGCCAGTTGCCGGAAGCACAGACGGAGATGATCGGGTCACCAACTGTTGTTCGCGGGAGAAGATGATCGCGTCGCCAACTGCTGGGAGAAGAGGGTCGCGTCACCAATTGTTGTTCGTCGGAGATCGAGCACCACCGTTGTGCGTTTGTGTGGAGAAGAGCCGTGCAGAAACCCTCCTGCCCGCCGAACCTGCTCCCGCCGCCGCCCTTTACCAGTGCCGGATTTGATGGCCAACTTGAGCAAGACCAAATGTCTCTCTGTCGTATAGAAACTTGGGAGTTTGACATTTTCTGCTATTAGTATACTCTTCCTTCTTCTCTTACATTTCATGGAATGCAAAAATTTAATGGCAAAATTATTTTAATTGAAAAAAATCCATTTTCAAGAACTGAAATTTACCCAGTAAATATCATAAATTTTGTCTGAGATTGCTCTTCTTCATACTTCATTATCTTCAAAATTGTGTACCCACTTATGAGGTTTGCGATGTTGTAATCGGTGAGCTTGATCTTTAACTTCATGCTCTCGGTTTGTATGGGATGAGAAGGTGAATGCTCTCTCATTTTGTCACTGTCTTTGAGTAGTTTCTCAATAGACATTTCAAAAAATCTAGCTCCCTCACGATATAGGACAATAATTTAGATTAAACAAATGTTGTCTACAACTCACATTTAATCCTAAAGTTAAAAAATATAGAGATTCTTGGTTACAGTGTTTTTCTGTAATGAATGAACTTGAAGTTAAAAACAAAAAAAAGTAGAGGTAGATTGTTACCTAACTGCTATTGTCATTGATGTTGTTGTAAATTCTTATAAATATATTCTGTCATAGTTTTCTTTGACTTTTCTTTGAAAAGTTTCAATTAATATGGTTTTTCTTACCCATTTAAACTTATAGTGAAAATGAATGAGATATAGTTCGCTAAATTTGCGAGAAATTGAAAATCTCTTATATATAGCTCTTGAGAATTGTGGCAGTGGTAATAATATAACTCTCTCACTAATATTTATAAAAACCAAGCGAATTTATAAAAAAAATAAAGCAAAGGGAGTTGTCGATTTGCCGCTATAGTAAAAGAAAACTATACATCACAAACCTAAATCTAAGGTAGTATGATCTCATATATTTTTTATCGTTACCTAAAAAAAGAAAGAGAAATTAATCTAGCGTTGATCGGATAGTCTTTGGAATGAAGCTAATAAATGGATGGCCAACCAAATACATAATTATGCAACTCTATAAACTCACTCGATGAGATAATATATAATGGAAAAGACACATATGTCCTTCCGTGAGTTGCGGTCAGGCTCCCAATATTTATTTTAATTCACTCTCTCCGCAGAATCTCCATATATTAGATAGATAGAAGATAGATAGATAGATTGGCCTACTCTTGATGGTTCATTCTTGGTGCTTGGATTCCATGACTTTGATCCATGGATCTATATTATGTACTCTGAACCAGGGTTGTTAATGAACCAAGTGGCTCATTAACGACTCGGTATTCGATACGACAAAAACTCGTTAGATACTCGATTCATCTTAATCGAGCTGGCTTGTGAACAAACTTGTTAACTAAACGAGCCGAACTCGAGTCATATCATGTTCAGCTCGAAAGAACAAGCTCATTTAATGGCTTGACATAAGAACGAATTGGAATTCATGGACTTTATATATTGAAATTGGGATAAATATTGTGTTTTAGTTTGCTAGACTTTGCTACAGGTTTGAATGTAATATTGTACTCAGTTCTAGCTCAATCTTGAGCAATCACGAACATTTTATAAGCTGGACTCGATATTGAACTCGTTAACCTTATTGGCGAGCCAAGCTCGAGTTTGAAAATATTTTAACGAGTCGAGCATGAACTATGGTAAAGCTCGGATCGGATCCCCTACTCTAAACATAACATAATACATTAACCATTTATTTACTAGCTTATTTCAGCCTGCAGTGCGAGGTTATAATAGGACAAATGAGTAGGTACCATTAAAGCATCTTCATCCATTTTTGACAGAGGTCGGGCAAAGATCCGTCAAGAGCTTTGAGAGGAGGAAGGTCGTATCACAAATTCAAAGAAAACTTTTATGGTGTGGGTCATCGATCATAGTCATAGACGCAACTTACCATATGAACGAGCCATTCAGAATCCTCTATATTGGATCTCCTCTAACTCTAAGCCAAGTGATCAACCGCCAAGCGTCGTTCATTGGAGTGATCCACATTGTCTCATCTGCACGAATGCGAACAACGTTCATCGCTATGAAGTTCAATATTTAACTGCAAAACGCTAAGATTTGAGTAATGAAGTGGTTGACTGCTTTTCTATCCGTGATCATGTTCATCAATCGCTGACATGACATGGGCGCCGATCTAATCCAAACTTGTGTTTTTTGGAATTTTTATTGTAGGAATTTTTCTTTAACTACTGCATGTTAGAGAAAAATCAAGACATTTGATGAAGCTAGAGATCCCTCTATCGCCATACCCCTGTTTGCCTGGATTCATATATGCATAGGTGATGGGTGCAATGCAACCTCAAAATTTTGGGACTTGAAGTTAAAAACAAAAAAAAGTAGAGGTAGATTGTTACCTAACTGCTATTGTCATTGATGTTGTTGTAAATTCTTATAAATATATTCTGTCATAGTTTTCTTTGACTTTTCTTTGAAAAGTTTCAATTAATATGGTTTTTCTTACCCATTTAAACTTATAGTGAAAATGAATGAGATATAGTTCGCTAAATTTGCGAGAAATTGAAAATCTCTTATATATAGCTCTTGAGAATTGTGGCAGTGGTAATAATATAACTCTCTCACTAATATTTATAAAAACCAAGCGAATTTATAAAAAAAATAAAGCAAAGGGAGTTGTCGATTTGCCGCTATAGTAAAAGAAAACTATACATCACAAACCTAAATCTAAGGTAGTATGATCTCATATATTTTTTATCGTTACCTAAAAAAAGAAAGAGAAATTAATCTAGCGTTGATCGGATAGTCTTTGGAATGAAGCTAATAAATGGATGGCCAACCAAATACATAATTATGCAACTCTATAAACTCACTCGATGAGATAATATATAATGGAAAAGACACATATGTCCTTCCGTGAGTTGCGGTCAGGCTCCCAATATTTATTTTAATTCACTCTCTCCGCAGAATCTCCATATATTAGATAGATAGAAGATAGATAGATAGATTGGCCTACTCTTGATGGTTCATTCTTGGTGCTTGGATTCCATGACTTTGATCCATGGATCTATATTATGTACTCTGAACCAGGGTTGTTAATGAACCAAGTGGCTCATTAACGACTCGGTATTCGATACGACAAAAACTCGTTAGATACTCGATTCATCTTAATCGAGCTGGCTTGTGAACAAACTTGTTAACTAAACGAGCCGAACTCGAGTCATATCATGTTCAGCTCGAAAGAACAAGCTCATTTAATGGCTTGACATAAGAACGAATTGGAATTCATGGACTTTATATATTGAAATTGGGATAAATATTGTGTTTTAGTTTGCTAGACTTTGCTACAGGTTTGAATGTAATATTGTACTCAGTTCTAGCTCAATCTTGAGCAATCACGAACATTTTATAAGCTGGACTCGATATTGAACTCGTTAACCTTATTGGCGAGCCAAGCTCGAGTTTGAAAATATTTTAACGAGTCGAGCATGAACTATGGTAAAGCTCGGATCGGATCCCCTACTCTAAACATAACATAATACATTAACCATTTATTTACTAGCTTATTTCAGCCTGCAGTGCGAGGTTATAATAGGACAAATGAGTAGGTACCATTAAAGCATCTTCATCCATTTTTGACAGAGGTCGGGCAAAGATCCGTCAAGAGCTTTGAGAGGAGGAAGGTCGTATCACAAATTCAAAGAAAACTTTTATGGTGTGGGTCATCGATCATAGTCATAGACGCAACTTACCATATGAACGAGCCATTCAGAATCCTCTATATTGGATCTCCTCTAACTCTAAGCCAAGTGATCAACCGCCAAGCGTCGTTCATTGGAGTGATCCACATTGTCTCATCTGCACGAATGCGAACAACGTTCATCGCTATGAAGTTCAATATTTAACTGCAAAACGCTAAGATTTGAGTAATGAAGTGGTTGACTGCTTTTCTATCCGTGATCATGTTCATCAATCGCTGACATGACATGGGCGCCGATCTAATCCAAACTTGTGTTTTTTGGAATTTTTATTGTAGGAATTTTTCTTTAACTACTGCATGTTAGAGAAAAATCAAGACATTTGATGAAGCTAGAGATCCCTCTATCGCCATACCCCTGTTTGCCTGGATTCATATATGCATAGGTGATGGGTGCAATGCAACCTCAAAATTTTGGGACTTGAAGTTAAAAACAAAAAAAAGTAGAGGTAGATTGTTACCTAACTGCTATTGTCATTGATGTTGTTGTAAATTCTTATAAATATATTCTGTCATAGTTTTCTTTGACTTTTCTTTGAAAAGTTTCAATTAATATGGTTTTTCTTACCCATTTAAACTTATAGTGAAAATGAATGAGATATAGTTCGCTAAATTTGCGAGAAATTGAAAATCTCTTATATATAGCTCTTGAGAATTGTGGCAGTGGTAATAATATAACTCTCTCACTAATATTTATAAAAACCAAGCGAATTTATAAAAAAAATAAAGCAAAGGGAGTTGTCGATTTGCCGCTATAGTAAAAGAAAACTATACATCACAAACCTAAATCTAAGGTAGTATGATCTCATATATTTTTTATCGTTACCTAAAAAAAGAAAGAGAAATTAATCTAGCGTTGATCGGATAGTCTTTGGAATGAAGCTAATAAATGGATGGCCAACCAAATACATAATTATGCAACTCTATAAACTCACTCGATGAGATAATATATAATGGAAAAGACACATATGTCCTTCCGTGAGTTGCGGTCAGGCTCCCAATATTTATTTTAATTCACTCTCTCCGCAGAATCTCCATATATTAGATAGATAGAAGATAGATAGATAGATTGGCCTACTCTTGATGGTTCATTCTTGGTGCTTGGATTCCATGACTTTGATCCATGGATCTATATTATGTACTCTGAACCAGGGTTGTTAATGAACCAAGTGGCTCATTAACGACTCGGTATTCGATACGACAAAAACTCGTTAGATACTCGATTCATCTTAATCGAGCTGGCTTGTGAACAAACTTGTTAACTAAACGAGCCGAACTCGAGTCATATCATGTTCAGCTCGAAAGAACAAGCTCATTTAATGGCTTGACATAAGAACGAATTGGAATTCATGGACTTTATATATTGAAATTGGGATAAATATTGTGTTTTAGTTTGCTAGACTTTGCTACAGGTTTGAATGTAATATTGTACTCAGTTCTAGCTCAATCTTGAGCAATCACGAACATTTTATAAGCTGGACTCGATATTGAACTCGTTAACCTTATTGGCGAGCCAAGCTCGAGTTTGAAAATATTTTAACGAGTCGAGCATGAACTATGGTAAAGCTCGGATCGGATCCCCTACTCTAAACATAACATAATACATTAACCATTTATTTACTAGCTTATTTCAGCCTGCAGTGCGAGGTTATAATAGGACAAATGAGTAGGTACCATTAAAGCATCTTCATCCATTTTTGACAGAGGTCGGGCAAAGATCCGTCAAGAGCTTTGAGAGGAGGAAGGTCGTATCACAAATTCAAAGAAAACTTTTATGGTGTGGGTCATCGATCATAGTCATAGACGCAACTTACCATATGAACGAGCCATTCAGAATCCTCTATATTGGATCTCCTCTAACTCTAAGCCAAGTGATCAACCGCCAAGCGTCGTTCATTGGAGTGATCCACATTGTCTCATCTGCACGAATGCGAACAACGTTCATCGCTATGAAGTTCAATATTTAACTGCAAAACGCTAAGATTTGAGTAATGAAGTGGTTGACTGCTTTTCTATCCGTGATCATGTTCATCAATCGCTGACATGACATGGGCGCCGATCTAATCCAAACTTGTGTTTTTTGGAATTTTTATTGTAGGAATTTTTCTTTAACTACTGCATGTTAGAGAAAAATCAAGACATTTGATGAAGCTAGAGATCCCTCTATCGCCATACCCCTGTTTGCCTGGATTCATATATGCATAGGTGATGGGTGCAATGCAACCTCAAAATTTTGGGACTTCAACAGCAGCCTCGTTACCAACCCATTGCTGACAAAAATGGGTGAAAGCTAGCTGACGAACCATTCTGAGATTCTAATATGGTTTTGCTAAACATCTCACAATTATCATGTTTCTGTAAACACTAAACAACACCCGTTTGGCAAGACAAAGGGGGCTACCGCCGCAGCCATGACAAGCCTTCTTCCTCTGCTGGTCTTTTTTTGGGGAGTACTCGATCCTCGATCATTGTCAACAATGCCAGCATCGCGAACAACGAACACAACTCAAACAAGAGCAACTACAACGACACTTCTTCCACGAGCAGCACAAAAAGTTGTACCAACGCCGTTTCACCTTCTTCTGTTGTGCTGGTTCTTGGGTATGCTCACTGTTCTGTGCCTTCTTAGCTGACTCTAATCTTGCCTCATCGCTCAAACTGCATACAACCCAACAGAAAATGGAAAATGAAAAATGATGACCAATTGGTGATTCCCAAATAGAATCAAGGCTATTTCTCCAACAAAAATGTTCTACTTCCTAGACACAAACACGATCCCCTAGCTGACTAAAGTTTTAGGCGGAGAAGGAGGGAGATAGAGAGAGAGAGAGAGAGCGTACGTGGAAGAAGGGTGACAGCAACACCATCTTTTCTTGCTACTACAGTTCCAACAGTAGCAGCAATAGTAATTCCCACTACAGTTCGAACCGAAGGAGCAGAAATTACATGTACAACAACAACTTGGCTTCACACAGTAGCGGAACGAACAGATGCTGCTACAGCTAGAACAGTAGCAACAGGATAACGATGATGGCCGCCATCCACACTTCTTCTTCATTCTACACGATGATGATTTACACGAAAAGCAAGACCAGCAGCTATTACAGTTACAACAGCAGCCGCACCATAGCCACGACCACCAGCTGCCATTGCCACTAGTATCGCCAGAAGAACGATAGTAGCATGATGGCCACGACCAAGTGCTAACATTTGAACAGTAGAAAGATGAACACTCCCAATCCTTTTTGCTCCTGCTCGACACTATAATAGATCTTTCCGTGTTCTCATTACCACCATCGTCGTCATCCATAGTAGAGCTCGGTTTAGTTCTGTCAAGTTCCATCTAGTTACCACATTATATTTAGGCGGCATACCCACTTTTTGCTTTCACTAAACATGTTCAATATACTAGTATCACAAGGTCACCTATAATGTAAACAACTAAGAACATAATTTTTTTTTTAGTGAAGCAGGTAAAAGAGGGTAGAGATCGAGAAGAAGAACTTACATTGGAAAAGCAAAAGACCGGGTGCTGTTCTGGCTCCGGTCCGAGAAGTTGGAAACACTGGTTGACCTCCACGACACGGTGGGCACTTTCTTCTGATCACTACGTTGTTCCTCTGCTGCCCTTTTGGCATTCTCGGCCGCATGAGTAATTTTAATCTCTTTCTTGGCTTGAATATGCTTATTTTGAGATTCTACAACTGAATGAGAATCACCTGATCCTGTTGCTGCTGCTACTACATCTGCTTTAACTAGCTCCGCAATTGGGAAAGCAGTGGGGCTATTCGGAGAATCCTCATCGTCGGGATGGTTAGGTGTGAATGAGAACACTTCATTCGACTTGGAATTTTCTTCCAACTTGCGGGCCTCACTGATAAGCAGTGCTTGTTCTCTAGAGAAACTAGTACTAGTCCCTACGTGAATGCTAAACAACGATTCGTTGGAGGCAATGCTCCAATCGTTCTGAGCATCGGATGAGCTTCTCTGAAATATAGACTGTGGTATTCGATGTGGGTCGTACCCTTCCGATCTCTGCATTACTTGAACAGGAGGGGATTGGGTAGGCAAAATCGCTAGTGTCGTATGTTCACTGTCGATCTCGGGAGTAAGAGAACTGCTCTCTTGTTCCCCTGCGTTGGTGTTCTGTTCAGAAACTCCACTTTCTATTGCTAGTTGATCTTCATTGTGATGACTTCGATGGTCCAATTCGTCAATACGCTTATCATTTTCCTGTGGTGGAACTAAGGAAGAGGAAGAAGAAGATGATGATGATGATGAGGATGAAGCCATTTTGATAATTGGAAGCCTGATGGGATTGTTATTGCCTTGGTCATCACCAACTTCATCGACACGACTTCCAGCGGCAGGACAGTCCATCGATGATGATTCCAAGTGGCCGCTGCTAGAATTCCCAGCGATGACACCTGAATCTATCTTAAACGAACCATTATCGCTGCAACTCTCGTGGTCAGTTGTTACCTCGAGATGGACTGGTCCCGAATGCTTATTGCTGATCGCTTTCCTGATTATCTCAGGATCCATATCAAAGTGATCAAGGCTGGAATGTTTACTGCTTCCATCTTCCGCATTAGATGATATCTCAGGACGCAGCTCCAAAGAGCTACCACTACTTTCAGTCTGAATTCGAAGCTTTGGATATGTCTTGGGGCTGCCAAGTTGTTGTTGTTGTAGTTCATCCTCATCATCAAGAACAGGATTCGACTGTGTATCTCTGGTATTGCTTCCCTTGTCATTCCCCACACCCATAACTGTAAGAAAAAAAAAATACAATGTTGAGAAAAATAACAATAGTAAACTGTTCAGCTCCTTTCATACGAAGGACGTGAAATTCAGAAATTATGTGCTAATCATTCACAAAACTAGGAGAATCTTCATTGGGCTAGTCAGAAATTCATCGAAGTGGGGTCAAAAAAATGAAAGTTTTTTTTTACTAATATATAATGATTATTCTAATCTCTGTTTACCTCTTTTCAAACATATGTAGTTTGCTATCATTTGAATCAAAGTTCAATTGCACATGAATGATTAAAATAAGTTGCAGATTTCATCAAATTCAGAAAATCGGAAAAGAATTCATAATGTCCAATGTCCAAAATGAAAAAATTATTTAACTATTTGCGCATACAGTTTTTCTAAATGTCCTTTCTAAGTGGGATCTGTGGACCCACAAATTACAATTTGGCTCCGCTAATGAGAATCTTGTTATGTTATGCAGAAAACATGTATTCTCAATGCACATAGAACGCTGGCAATACGCATAACCCAGACTCATTGCGGCATTTCGTCAAACATATAATGGATATGTTATCAATAGAGGAGCGTGAGAATGAGATTACCAATCAAAATTTTCAGATAGAACAGGAACGGAGAAAAGATAACATATATAAAAGTTTTGATCAATAGCGGCCAAAGGGTTAAGAACTTTGTACATGGAAAGGCTAAGAGAAAGGAAAAGGGGAAGCTTATTATGTACCTTCCGCCATGGAGGGGAGCAAATCCGATCCGGGACAGCCGCTTGAATCAGATCGCCGGCGGCGGCAGCATCACCGGCTGCTCGTTCCCCCCTTTGAATGATCTAAACCCAAACAATGTGAATCAGATAAGAAATATAGAACAAAGGAAAAAAAAGAGGAGGAGAAAAGAGAGAGAGGGATGGAGAGAAACGAACCAAATCCAAAAAAAAAAAAAAAAAGAGGAGAATGTAGGTGGAAGGAAGAAGCTAAATTTGAGTGGGGAAGATCTTACTTTTAGGCAGAGCAACTGATGGTATTTGCTCCCTTTTCTTTGTAGCTACTGAATCCCCCAATTTCCTTGTTTGGATCGAACTTTTCATTATGGTAATATGAGGAGGAAAGAGCTGCTTGTTAGGGTTTGGTTCTGTTGTGGATTTGGGGTTGGAGAGTCGAAATCTGATGACGGAAGGCTTCCCGATCATTTAGCCTGTTTTCTTAACTAACCAACTCCCTCACTGGTGAAGAACAGATAAAAGCACTAACTGAAATGGACATTTCGCGCACCAGTACGACCTTTTTTTTTTTAAACACACGGGTTTCTGGACCGTCGATATATATTAATATTATATTCTCAAAATCTCTTTTTTTTTTTCTGGTAGAATATTCTCACAATCTTCCAACGATTGTCAACCCGCGGGTCGACCCACGGGTTGACCCGTTTTGATCCTGGCCCGGTGAGAAAAGCGAGCCTTACGCATTCGTTGGGTCGACCGCTACAAGGTACCGGGTTGGAGGTCAAATTGTGTCATATTTTTCTTTGATTTGTGAAATGCGCTTATTTTCCGATTTTTCTTTTCGCCTAATTCAATTTTTGGAATCCTAAGTTGAATATTTGAATATTGATGTTATATAAGTGCGTCTAAATTTTCGCTATATATTGGATCTAAGTACGACATGTTATTTTGGTGTAATATTATATGTTACTCACATGTTAGATGAGATTTGATATAATTTATCAGGATAAGTACAATATAATGACTCTTTTCATATTTTCGGGCTAAATCGGGTGACCCCTTAACCCCCGACCCACTAGCTCGACCGGGTCCGGGTCAACCTGCAGGTTGACAACCTTGTAATCTTCAACTATCATTTTTCTTTTTATTATAAGGGTTAATATATTTGTATGGCCTGAATTTTTCACATAATAAACTAGTGGCGTAGCCAGGAATTTTGCTAAGGTTGGCCCAACAACAAAAGAAATTCATAACATAACTTATATTAATGTTTTACAATGAACATGACGTATTTTCATATTCAGAAGAATATGTAAAATACATTCATCATTCAAACTATCAAGATGATGAAAGCATAAAATTTGTTCTCTTAGACCCGAATAATCTTCTAAAGAACTCAAATTGAGTAAACTTTCGGTATATGGAAAGTTGGGCTTAGAATGATTTATGGGAAAATGTTGCGACATTGGTGGTGTTGAACTAGGATCATGTCTATCTTGATTTACTTACTTTAGGAACAAATAAATTTTCAGAACCTTTCGGCTTGGGTGCCGGTACAAAATTTCACCTTGTAAAACCATGCTAAAACCTAGGTAGTATCATCGTATCACGACATCGTGATACAATAATACAACACAATGATACGACCAATTTTTACAGGACGCGTTTTATATCCTATCCGCTACCAAAACTTTCTATTTCGTAACTCAATTTAATTATGCTAGAAATTAAAAATTAAAAAATTAACTACGTAGTGAAGACTAAAAAGCTTTTGGGTAATTTATAAGTGGAAGAAACCCATTCCAATTATAAAGAAAAGAAAGGGTTCAAGCCCCGTACAACACATACATATTACATATACATATTTTTGTTAGGGATGACAATTTCGACCTGACCCGTTTTACCCGATTTGTTTGTCTTGTTTTTGGGTAGGTCCGACCGGCCTCGTAGGCGGGACGGGGCGGGTATGGGTACTCTCATCGACCTGACCTGCTCTAACCCGCTCCATTCTCGACCCGTTCTTGCCTAAATTACATGTAATCTTAGTCAAATTACTTAGGATTTTTCTTTTATTACATCATATTTTAGCTATAATAAAGTTGTAAATTAGTGAAAACCTCAATTTCTTTAATACTTTAACTAGGTTTATCATAACATTGTTTGTTTTCTTGGTCTTATAATAAAAATTACGAATATTTCTAATGTTTTTCATATAAATTGCATACTCATTGGGTCGACCTGCCCCGACCCGCGCATCGTGATAAATTACCAGACATGGACCCGACCTGCCACGAGGTGGGTCTGGGTACCAAGAAACCCGCCCCGGACCTGCCTCATTGGCATTCCTAATTTTTGTCTTATTGTTCCAAGCCCAAGGTGGTTCCATGGACCCACCCACTAATGGGCTATCTCCTCCGCTGTAATAATCATCTGACCAATTTTTTCGATCTATAACTATATTTTCCACCTATTACCATTTATTTTTTTCATTTTGAATTAAAAAAATGGAAATTAAATTTTAAATTTCGCATCTCCTTCCTGCAATGTCAACCCTCTTCTTCCACAACTTCCCCTATTCCTCCACTTCCTCCTCTTCACCATCCACCTCCACCTCCTCTTCACTATCAAGATGATTAAAGCATAAAATTTGTTCTCTTAGATCCGAATCATCTTCTAAAGAACTCACATTGAGTTAACTTTCGGTATATGGAAAGTTGGGCTTAGAATGATTTATGGGAAAATGTTGTGACATTGGTGGTGGTGTTGAACTAGGATCATCTCTAGCCTTTCTTGATTTACTTGCTTTAGGAACAAATAAATTTTCAGAATCTTTCGGCTTGGGTGTCTGTACAAAATTTCAGCTTGTAAAATCATGCTAAAACCTAGGAAGTATCATCGTATCACGACATCGTGATACAATAATACGATACTAGCTTGTAACCCGACCCGTTGGTCGGAGGAGCTGAGCCGAATATTGAATTATTGGGATAACCCGTAGATTCAACCATTAAGCTAAATTGGTCTAATGGTGAGTACCGCCTAGCATATCCCTAATAATCATACCAAAGTGAATATATTGGAACATAAACAGTACATCAAAAGTTGGTACAACCATGAAGTTAGACCATTAAAAACATACCAATGAAATTGAATAGCATCGAAAAACTTCAACTTCATTATATAATTACATGAGATCAGAAAGAGAACACCATTAATTTGATTTATAAAACTTTCATCTTGTCGTCATTGTGCTTTCTGGTTTTTGTCAGGCCATGATAAAATCTAAGGAAATCAAGAACGAACAACACGATTTGGGATAGGAACCGCCGTTGTCGTATTCCTAGAGAATGGTGGTAAACACGGACTCACCTGCCAAACTGGTTTGGATTGAGATTTTTATCGGGTATCAGGGAACCATGTGATTATAAATTAGACTTGATCAAAACGGGTCAAAACTTAAAATTCAGCCTGTTTGACCGACCCATGCAAAATTCTAATTATTCGTTACTTTTAAACTTTCTATTTGAAAATAAAAAATAGTGAAAGAAAATAGATGACTGCAATTCGCCATTTGCACATCACTTATTCGGGAATAAAACCATAGAAATTCAAAAGAAACTGAAAATGTTTAGGATCGTTTTAATGTTTAAAATAACCAAATAGATCTTTCTGTTTAGTTTTTTACTAACAAATACCAAACGATTCCCTATAAAATACACTATAATTTTATCATTATGATATCAAATAATTATATAATATATATTTGAAATGATAAAAATTGGACTAATTGGGTTGGTCGAGATTGAACCATTGAATAACTTTAAACTACATTATATTTTAGCCACTAAAATATAAAATAATATAAATAATATATATTATGCTAGAGAAAATAGCTTGTTTTAGAATGTCAAACCAATGATGTTCATTTGTTTTACTTGATGGCCAAATCCGGTGTAGGTCACGCCCATTCAACTCTTTTATTTTATGGTTAGCGGTTAGCCCTTTAGATACCATGCATTAGTTTATTGTTAAATTTTTTTTATTTTTAGCATAAAAAGAAGTATTATTTTTGCCTTTTCATATATATTTTATCACCACGGAGAAATACAAGGGGTTAAAGAAAAAAATTGACACTCCTGAACCCGTTTAAATCCGCATGTGTACGGTAAGTTGGCCCGTTCCACAGAGGAAAGAGAAAAAAATTAACACTACCTATTCTACCCTTCCTACAAACGCTCATGGAGCAGGGAATTTGAAATGGGGGAAGGGGTTTTTCCTCCCTGCTATTATATGTTTTTGATTTAAAAGGATGCAACAAATGTACTTAGTGTGATTGGTTATGTTCCTTGCTTTTCTTTAAAATGGACATGGTTCGAATCCTAGTACGTGTCTTTTTAATGAATAAAAAAAAGTAATTGTGAAGACCAAAATGTCCTTCCTACTTTCACTCTCGTTGCACGAAATTTGAAATGGGGCTCCCGTTTTTCCCTTCGGTGTATTATATTATGTGTAGATAGACAATGATACGACCAATTTTTACATGACGCGTTTTTTATCCTATCCGCTACCAAAACTTTCTACTTCGTAACTCAATTTAATTATGCTAAAAATTAAAAATTAAAAAATTAACTGCGTAGTGAAGACTAAAGAGCTTTGGGTAATTTATTAGTGGAAGAAACCCATTCCAATAATAAAGAAAAGAAAGGGTTCAATCCCCGTACAACACATACATATTACATATACGGAATTACATATACATATTTTGTTAGGATGGCAATTTTGACCTGACCCGTTTTACCCGATTTATTTGCTTATTTTTAGGCAGGTTCGACCCGCTTCGTAGGCGGAACTGGGGCGGGCATGGGTACTCTTATCGACCCGACCTGCCCTAACCTCCCATTCTCGACCCGTTCTTTCCTAAATTACATATAATCTTAGTCAAGTTACTTAGGATTTTCTTTTATTACATAATATTTTAGCTATAATAAAGTTGTAAATTAGTGAAAACCTCAATTTCTCTAATACTTTAACTACGTTTATCATAATATTGTTTGTCTTCTTGGTCTTATATTAAAAATAACGAATATTTCTAATGTTTTTCATATAAATTGCATACCCATTGGGTCGACCTGCCCCGACCCGCGCCCCGTGATAAATTACCTGACCTGGACCTGACCTGCCACGGGGCAGGTTTGGGTACCAAGGAACCCGCCCCGGCTCATTGGCATTCCTAATTTTTGTCTTACTGTTCCAAGCCCAAGGTGGTTCCATGGTCCCACCCACTAATGGGCTATCTCCGTCGCTGTAATAAACATCCTGACCAATTTTTTCGATCTATAACATTATAGCCTGAACTATACCCCAAAGTTACAAAATTGGCCAAATCCAAAAATTGACTGCTATCTTGAACGGTCAAAAGCGTTGACTAACGGTCACTGCCAAATCAGCAACTTTCACTTAAAATTTTATATTTTCCACCTATTACTATTTATTTGTTTCAATTTGAATAAAAAAAATTGAAAAATGAATTTTAAATTTCGCATCTCCTTCTTCCAATGTCAACCCTCTGCCTCCACAACTTCCCAATGTCAACCCTCTTCCTCCACTTCCTCCTCTTCACCATCCACCTCCTCCTCCTCTTCACCCACCTCCTCCCCTTCCTCCGCAGCCGCGTCACCTCCCCACCTCCTCATCGTTCCCCCGACACCGCCATCACATCTCCCTCCATCACACCTCCCTCTCTCCTCTCAAACCAAAGGACGACGCCTTCATCAGCTTTCATGGTGACGACGTCCGCAACATCTTCCTCAACCACCTCCACCACCACAAGAAAATCCTCACCTACATGGACGACGCCGACCTCGCCCGAGGTCAATCAATCTCATCGTCGATAGCTTCCTTTCCTTGAGCTGATTCTCGTTGTGGCTCGAAAAATGGTGGAGCTAGGTTTTGCTTTGTGGCAATTGGATTCTTCTCCCAAGGACACCTGCTTCGTCGGCGGAGGTTGTGTTCTATGATTCTTAGGGTTTTCATCTGTTTGCTTTAATTTTCCCGGTTGTCTCTTGGTGCAAGTTTGCTTTGGATTTTTTGTGCTGACATGTCCGCTCTGGTCCGTTATCACTGTCCTTTTGTCGGTCTCCATGGGTGCCAGGATGGTCGAGGTAAGGGTCTTACTAAATCCTCCTTGCTCCAGCACTTTAAAGATTGGCATTGTCGCGGTGAAGCTATGGCTCTTACACGTCAAACTTTTTCTGATAGTTTGACGGTGTTTTCTAATGCTGAAACTACTCTCAAGCGGATGGGGGGTTTGGATTTGTGGGGATGTCTTATGTCTTCGTACTCACGCCTTCCGTTCTAAATGTCTACATGATGAGAATGTTTTTATGGAGCCTCCAGATTGTGGTGACGACCTTGTTCGTTTTACTATTTATGATATTCCCATACCTGCAGCTCCGTCTTCATCGGTTCCCTTATCTGATGCTAGGGTTGAGCCTATGGGTTGGTCTATCTCTTTGCTTGATCGCTTGTTCTCTATGGGTCTTCGCACTGTGAAATCTATCCCTCTTAAGTGTCGCCTTGGGTTTGCGAGGGCTCTGAAACGGGCTTTGGATGATGTGGGTGTTTCTCCCGGTGACCTCTCCTGCTGGATTCGCTTACTTGTGTTGCCTCTCTGCGTGCTTAAGACCTTTTCTCTGCGGAGTAATTTTGAGTGTCGGTCCGCTATTAGGCGCCTTCGTCAAGAGGAGAGTGTTAACAGTGCTATTATTGCTTGGGGGTCTGGTGGCAGTTTGCAGCTTTTGCGTGAGACTTTAGATGAGGTTCCCCCTACGTTTTCTATAGAGGAGGATCTTGTTTCGTGTGAGCTCAACCTTCGGCAATGTCTGAGGAAGATTTGTGATGGCATTATACTGTTGTCGTTCGGCTGCTTTCCTCATCTAGTGTTGCCCCTTATTCTGATGCCACTCTTCTGGCCTTGCAAGATAAGCATCTTGTTGCCCCATCTCCCTCATTAACGACTTCACCTGTGAATCATCATCCTCTTGTTTCCTCTTCAGTCGTTGTTTTGGATATGATTAGGAGCTTTCCTCGTGGTACATCTTGTGGGAGGTATGGTTTTCGAGCTCAACATCTTATGGATTGTTTGGGTGGTGCTGCTATGGCTATCTCGGATTATTTGCTAGCCTCTATTACTCGAGTGATTAATCTTTTCCTTGAGGGTCGATGTCCGCGGCCTCTTGGTGAGTACATTGCTAGCGCTCCGCTCGCGCCACTTGTTAAACCAGGGGGTGGTATCCGTCCTATAGTTGTTGGCACTGTTTGGAGACGTCTTGTTTCTAAGGTTGGTGCTTGTCTTGTTGGCCCTACTTTATCTGGTTATTTTGCTGGTCTTCAGTTTGGGGTCAGGGTTTCTGGTGGAGCCGTGAAGGAGAGGCTATTTTGCATGCCTTGAACCAGTTCGTTGAGGCCCGCGGTGGTGATGTAGGTCTTTCTATGTTGTTGGTCGATTTCCAGAATGCTTTCAATTTAGTTGATCGTGGGGCCATGCTTCAGGAAGTTCATCGTCATTGTTTGGTCCTGTCTCAATGGGTAGAGTTCTATTACTCTAGCCCTGCCCGACTATATTATGGGATGCATAGCTTATGGTCTTGCCAGGGGGTTCAGCAGGGAGACCCTTTGGGCCCTTTGCTTTTTGCTTTGGTGTTGCATCCTTTAGTGTGCAAGATCAGAGACTATTTTGATTTGAGTATGTAGGCTTGGTACTTGGATGATGGCACTGTTGTGGGGGACACTTTGGTTGTTGGGAAGGTCTTGGACATGATTATGACTGAAGGCCCTCGAGTTGGCCTTCATCTAAATGTGGGTAATACAGAGGTTTTTTGGCCTAGTGAGGATCCTAGAAGTCGGCTTCCAAGTGGTTTCCCTGCCTCTATCGCTCGGCCTCCACACGGTGTCACCGTTCTGGGTGGTCCTGTCAGTTCTTGTCCTGATTTTAGTAGTGAGCTTGTGGCGAAGAGAGTTACTAAGACCATTGAGCTGATGGACTTGGTTGATGATCCACAGTGTGAGTTTCTCTTGCTTCGGGCCTGTACTGGTATTTCTAAACTCTACTTTGTTTTGCGTACTTGCTCCCCTCGTATTTTTGGGCCGACCCAGCTATCTTTTGACACAGCACTACGATCTAATTTAGAACGTATTGTCACTGCTTCTGGACCCGGGTTTGGTGATTGGTAGTGGCGGCTTGCCACCTTCCCTTTTCATTTGGGCGGGCTTGGGGTTTATGCAATTGGAGATGCCTTGCATGATGCTTTTTTGGCGTCTCGTTGAAGTCTACAGAGTTGCAAGCTAAACTCCTAAGTCCTTCTGGTATTCTATCTCATGGCCCTGCTTTTGATGACGCCCTACGCACCTTTAACGAGTTTACAGGTTCTGATCTCTTATATGACCCTAGTGGAGTTGCTGCTTCAAAACTTGTGAAGAAATTGGTAGATATGTATTTCGCGAAGGTTGTTACTACTTCAGATTATGTTTTCTCGTTGACTAAGCGTCAGGTGGCTTTGTGGAAGTTTCAGAAGAGTGCACACTCTTCTGACTGGTTGCGTGCTGTTCTTATTGTTGGTTTGGGCTAGACTATGAATGGGAAGACATATCGTAGTGTGCTTAGCTATCGACTGTGTGTCCCGTTGTTTTCGGTATCTAAGCCATGTCCTGCTTGTTCCCGTGTCTTTCCTGGTGATGTCTTTGGTGATCATGTTGTGTCATGTGCTGGTTATGTGGGCATTAAGCATCGGCACAATCTCGTTCGTGACACCTTATTGGACATCTGTTACAAGTCTGGGATTTCTGCAGGTAGGAAGGTTGATATCGGTTTGGTTGATGGACATGGCGGACCCCTTCGTCCTGCGGATTTGCTGCTTTATTCCTAGGACAGGGGGCGAGATGTGTGTGTAGATTTGACTGGATCTTCACCTCTGACTCAGACTGGGATGACCGGTTTTGTGTCTGACCGAGTTGTTGCTGATGCTGCTCAGCGAAAGTGTGCCAAGTACCGGGACTTGTGTATGGCGGCGGGTTACGGTTTCTTGCCCTTTTCTTTTTCTTCGCTGGGAGAGTTGGATACAGACGTCGTGGCTTTGCTCAAGAGGATCCATAAATTCTCCATGTCTCAGGATGTAGGGGCTCGGGCGACCGCGTACATTTTTACTATACTTAGTTTTTCTATAGCTAAGGGAGTGGGGGCGCAGATTGTATCTCGACTACCCACTAATTTTTTGTAAACCTTTGTTTGTTCTCCTTCCACTCATATTAATAATAAATACATTATTATAATAGGTGGAAAATATAAAAAGTTTTAAGTGAAAGGTGCTGATTTGGCGGTGACGTGGCGCGTTTGACCGTTCAAGATAACAGTCAATTTTTGGATTTACCCAATTTCGTTACTTTGGTGTATATTTCAGGCCATGATGTTATAGATCGAAAAGATTGGTCAGGATGTTTATTATGTGAAAAGTTCAGGACATACAAATATATTAACCCTTATTATAAAGAGTCAAAATTCACTTGAATAGTGATAATTGTCGACTTTGTGATAATAATAGTTAATTTTTTAGAAATATAAAATTTTTTAAGATTTTGGAAACATGTTTGGAAAATTTAGCCACTTCAGATAAAAACTTTAATGTCGTTGGAAATTTTGACAGTTATATTATATAGACGCTGACAACGATGCCACCTTGCTGCTCACATACCATGCCACATGGACACCACATCAAATTTTAATGGCAAAATATACCTCTATAACTATAATTACCGACTTTATGACAATCATAGTCAATTTCTCATAAATACACAGAATGTCAAATTTTCGTCCAAAACTTTAATGGGGTCACTTTTTTTTTTAGAAATAATGGAGTCACTTTAGATACTGACTAGACTAACGATTTTGCGGACTTGGCAACACTTTAAAAAAAAACATTGTCAGGTGGAATTAACTATAAAAAAACGAAAGAGTCATCCATCTCCAATTGCGTCGAGTTCCTTCCCCTTCCCCTACCTCGAAATGCCCGCCTCAACCCCTTTACACCTTCGCCCACCATATTTGACTTGTGGCTCCAACTAGGTCTTCCTCTACCATTGACCAAAGCAAGAACCGTTGGGGAAAGGGACTCGGAAAAGGATGATGGTGGGGCTAGAAGAAGAATAGGATGGATAAATAAATTTATAAAAAAATAATTAAAATATGATGTAGCGTCCACGTAGCATGGCTTGTCGAGTTATCACTGACGTGTGTGTTAAGATGACATCCTCGCCAGCTTCTTGTTAATGTAATTGACATTATCTCTAATGGCGTTAAAAAAAATTAACGCAAATGACGAAATTTATCAAACATGATTCCAAAATATAGACATTTTGTGTATTTTTCATATTTGACTATTAATGTCACAAAATAGATAAATATAGATGTGCAAGTGAATTTTGTTAATTCCACCGGGTAATATTTTGTATTCGCCAAGTCAAATTAGTCTAATAAGCATCTAAAATTAATTCGTTAAATTTTTAGATGAAATTAGACATATGTATTTCCTGATAAATTGCCTATTGTTGACACAAGTGGATATTTTGTCAAATTTGGGCACAGTCCCTCATTAATCATTAATGAGATTCTTGCTCCAAACGAACCATAGACTTCGTACTTGTTTGTAAATAGTTATAATTTTAAGGACCTATTTGGTTATTTCTAACTAGAGACGAGGGAAGATGATGAGCAGAAGTGAGCCGTGGCTGCAGTTCGAAATAGGCGACGGATGATGATGAGCATAACTGAGCGAATTTGTGCTATAAACTGAGTTTTCAGCACCGGAGTGGCTGGCATCAGTCTTCTAGCACGGCTCGTCGGTCGAACTTGCCCTTCATTCATAATCAAATTGGAATGGCAAGAGTGTCTTTTTCTGCTAAACGTGTTATTGGGGACCTTGCTTTCCTCGACTCTTCGCCCTTTCCCAGACTATTGGATTCTTGTGTTGCGTCCAGGTCCTCGACAGATACCCGCCGTGTCCATGCGAGTATCATCAAATCTCGGTTCACATTTGAATTTTTTATCCAGAATAAGCTCATTGATGCGTATGGAAAGTGTGGTTGTGTGGGGGATGCTCGGAAACTATTCGATAGAATGCCTACCAGAAATACTTTCACCTGGAACTCAATTGTGAGCACGTTATTGAAGTTGGGTTTCCTTGATGAGGCTGTGCGGTTATTTGAGGCTATTCCTCAGCCAGATCAGTGCTCATGGAATATAATGGTTGCTGGTTTTGCACAACATGATGAGCTCCAACAAGCTCTGGGTTATTTTGCTGGGATGCATAAGGAAACTTTCGTGGATAATGAATATTCTTTCGGCAGTGGTCTAAGTGCTTTTGCAGGTCTGAAGGACCTTAAAATGGGTACCCAACTTCATGCTTTGGTCTTCAAATGTCACTACTATGTTCATGTATGTATGGGTTCCGCTCTGGTTGATATGTATTCTAAATGTGGTGTTGTGGATTGTGCTCTGAAGGTTTTTGATGCGATGAAGGAAAGAAACATTGTTTCTTGGAATAGCTTGATCACTTGTTATGAACAAAATGGTCCAGCAAGGAAAGCTTTAGATGTGCTTGTTAGAATGATGGAGAGTTCCTTCAAACCAGATGAAGTTACTCTGGCTAGTGTGGTTAGTGCGTGTGCAACCTTGGAGGCATTGAAGCATGGTATGGAGATACACACTCATGTAGTGAAATCTTATAAATTGCGAGGTGACCTTATTCTAGGAAATGCATTGGTGGATATGTATGCAAAATGTGGTAAGATTAGTGAAGCTAGACGTGTTTTTGATAGGATCCCTGTGAGGAATGTGGTGTCTGAAACATCTATGTTGAGTGGTTATGCTAAAGTTGCAAGTTTTAAATATGCAAAACTGATATTCACAAAGATGATGGAAAGGAATGTGGTGTCCTGGAATGCTCTGATTGCAGGCTATACTCAGAATGATGAGAATGAGGAGGCTCTCAAACTCTTTTGTATGCTGAAACGGGAATCTATTTTCCCAACTCACTACACCTTTGGTAATTTACTGAATGCTTGTGCCAATCTCGCTGATCTGCAGGTTGGCCGGCAGGCCCATGCTCATGCTTTGAAGCATGGATTTGGGTTTCAATTTAATGAAGATCAAGATACTTTTGTCAGGAACTCACTCATAGACATGTACATGAAATGTGCATCGGTTGAAGAAGGTCGTCAGGTTTTCAGAAGCATGGTTGAAAAGGATGTTGTATCGTGGAATGCTATGATTGTAGGGTGTGCACAGAATGGGAATGGGCTAGAGGCTCTTGCTTTATTTAAAGAAATGCTTGTGTTTGAAGAGAAACCAGATCATGTCACTATGATCGGTGTCTTGTGTGCTTGCAGTCATGCAGGACTTGTTGAGGAAGGACGTCGCTAATTTCTCTCCATGACAAGGGACTAGGGGTTGGTGCCCATGAAGGACCATTACACATGTATGGTAGACTTACTTGGTCAAGCAGGTCACCTAGATGAAGCCAAGAGTTTGATAGAGACAATGCATGTAGAGCCCGATGCAGTTGTATGGGGTTCTTTGCTTGGTGCATGTAAAGTTAGTCCCAATATTACTCTAGGGAAGTATGTTGCAGAAAAACTTTTGGAGATTGATCCCACAAATTCTGCACCTTATGTTCTTCTTTCAAATATGTATGCCGAGCATGGCAAATGGGGGGATGCTTGAAAAGTGAGAAACATGATGAGACATCATGGAGTTATTAAACAGCCTGGTTACAGTTGGATTGAGATCATGGGTGACATGCATACTTTCATGGTGAAAGATAAAAGGCATCCACAGAAGAGGGAGATTTTTTCAGTGTTAAAAGACTTAACTGAGCAGATGAAGCTAGCTGGATATATTCCATCAATGGTTTAACGTCCACAACTTGACTTCTCCGTCGAAGGTTTGACTATTCATTATCTTAAATGTATTAGATTTGCAGATTTACTTTGTGACGTCGTTTGATTGAAAAATCTTACTGTTAATATTTCAGCTGGTGTTCGAAAAGTATTCATTCCAAAAAATATGTGGCTCATTGGGGTTGCTAGCAAAGGTGAGTAGATAATGTTCTGTGTGTTTCATTCCTGCTGAACATACAGCTCATGGTTATTAGCATTCTTATTTATCTCACAGAAATGTAACTCTTTAATATGGCAGTAACAACATCATGGCTTGGATAATGTTGTATTGCCTATGTTTTTCGTTTGTTACTGCATACCACAGGTAACTTGCCACACTGGTTCTTCTACATTGACCTGTGACCATACATTGTTAGATAAGATTAGGACCCATTGATATCTTATGCTTCTGCAGTTCGGAACAATATATTTTCTTTTGTCAGGGCTTTGGTTACTATGTCGTCTCTTCTAGCTTCTCTTTCTCTTTTATCGATTTATACATGTTAAACTATTTTTTGGAGGATTTTCAATCTTGTTGGAGGATTTTCATCCTTCAAGCAACAGGTACTCCTTCCCTCCAACTTCCTGCGCCCATTCATAGTAACGACATGTCCCCTTAAACATCATGTTAAAAAACACCATTGCGTTCGTTTTAATGAAGGGAAAGATGCCACAGACGATTTCGGGGACATTGGGCACATCCAAGACGCGAGGGACCAGCTGAAAACCTTCTGCATAGGGGAGCTAGATACATCAGCTGCACCACCAGCCATCCCAGAACTCACAAATGTCTCCAAAGGCCAGACATCATCAGATACCGTGAAGAAGCTCAAGGACTTGACAAAACAGTACTGGGTTGTACCTGTAGCAGTAGTCGGCATCTCTGCGGTGGTTGGCGACATCTTGTACTCGCATAAGAAGTAGAATCCTTCCCTTCTATGACAACATCTCTCCATCACTTTCTTAGAATGTTGCCGCAACAAAAATTTTGGAACTAATGCACAATGATTATTTGGAAAGTGGCTCTTGTCTCCACCATTTCCTGTAGTTTTTACTTTTTACTTTGTTACAATTCGATTGTCCAGCAAGATTGAATCACATGAATGAGTGCTGATAGAAGCTTTAATTATGGTTTGGGATGGATCATTTGATGTCGGTATGGTTTCTCTTGTATTTAGAGGAGGCATATACTAATGGTTGTTGACGCCTAGATTTGATTGCCATTAATAGTTGGGTGAGCATCCTGAGGATTGTTACAGATGATAATTACCAATTTGGAATGGAACAACTGTGATTGAACTTATAATAACCTTTCTATATAGCTAATTGTAGTTTTCTTTAGAATTTATACTTATGGGCTTCTGGCATCTCATAGGGTGGTCGAGATTACTAATTTGATGTTCTCAAGTTTCACTTAGCATGATAACATCACATCTCTAGAAATCACTACTTTCTTTAGTAGTAGAGAGTAGAGACTTTAGGAATAATTTTTTAAAGATTAAGGCACAGAAGAAAAACATAATTATTTGGTAAATGTTTAGAGAAAGTAAAGTTGATAGGATATAATATATTTCTTATTCATAGAATGTCTGGGAACTTAAGCGATTAGCATGAGAAGGAGAGAAAAATTGAAAGTAGTGAAGTAGTAGTAAAGAAATGTGACGTTTTATAGTGAAAATTAAATATAGCTATTGGAAGTTGAAATAGTGGTAGAAAGAATTTGGAGGTTGAAAATAAAAATCATTTTTTAATATATAAATGGCTATGTCGAAAGGACAGGCCCACAGGATGTGCGGGCAACACCGATGCAAACTCGTACAAAACCTTCTCTCTCTAACTTTCAAAACCTTTCGCCTCTCTCTAGCTTTCTTCCTCTCTGTTTTTTCAGTGGCCGCCGTCGGCACCTTCTGGTGACCGGCGGCGACCCATCCTCTTTTTTCCCGTCTTTCCTTTCTGCTTTTCAGTCTATTGTTGTCCTTTCCATCCTCTTGTGGGACTTCCTTTTTTCCACGCCTCTCTTGCAGATGGCTGCTTCTGCTTCCTACTCATGTCAGATCTTCAGATATGTTCATTTGAGATGATTTTGCTAGAGTCAGAGGAGGTTGAGGTCCCCTTAGCCTGCCTTCTCCTTCATGTTTCTGTTCCTCCTTCTTGCTTCATCTCTTTGGTCAGGCGTTTTGGAGAAGATCTAGGAATCCTATTGCGATCATCCCGTGGTTTCAGTCTCATGAAGCTCGAAGGTGAGAATCACTCCATTTGGGCTCCTGCCTCCTAATCATCTTTCTTCTTGAGGATTGTACTTTCGTGGTGGAGGTGGTCTTTCTCTCACTGGGTGGCTTGGGTTTTCAGTGGGTCCAGGCGTGGTTGGTATGAGCTCTTGGTTGGCTGTCCTGCTGCTTTCCCGTCGACGGTGGTGAAAACTCTCTTGTGTGGCTGCTGCCCCTCCTCTTTTGGAAGATGGATTAGGTTTTAGGGTTTACTCTTCAAACTTGCATCTGTATTGGGCTTTGCTTTGCACATGTTTGGTTTGTTTGGTGGGCCTTAGGCCTAGTGTTGTGTTTCTTCCATGGGGTCTAGGTCCAAAATCTGTACAATTTGGATTCATTTAATGAATACCCCCTTTAAAAAAAAAGCAACACCAATGCCAACACGCCTTCCTTCCCCCGAATGCTAGTGTGACTCAACTCCCTGCCCAGTGTGACTGCCAAGGAGAAACATCGTGGGGGGGGGGATAGGGTGAAAATCGGTCCAAATACCATAATTGCGAATACCAAATAGTACCTTAAGCTCAATCACAATCCCAAAATAAATTCGGTATCCCAATCCCCAACGTTTTGTTCGGTAACGATATATTCCAAATACCAAATTAATTCTCTTCAAAATTATAAATCAAATATACAAACACAAATACTTCTCCTCTGCCAATAGTTTCACACACCATTTTCAAAATATATAAAAACAAACACCTGTGCCAACACATGCAAAACGAATGAGAAAAAAAATCTAAAGTATAATAACAACAAACTTGAAAATGTGGTACCTAAGATGCACATTGACAAACTAAAGCAACAAAATGAATCAAGGGACAACTAAGTAGCCCGTAAACATACTACAAGTAATAAAAATGAGTTTGGTATGGGTCGTCAAATAGTGAGGGAATGATATATCATAATGTATAATTAACTGACCATCTTGGTGGTTGATGATATTTTAGTAGTGAGTTATGGGTCGTCAAATATTGAGTGGGAGGGATAAAATACCCATGAACTTATATTTCAATATTGATCGGTATTTCAGTATAATACCAATCGCAATCTCGTAATAGTTAATACCAAATAGCACCTTGAAATTCTATTTCAATCTCATGAAATAATACTTGTATTCAGTTATATGAAATATCAAGAAATTCGATATTGAATTCAGTATATCCCAAATATCGGTATCAAACTTCCATCATGTTCATACTCCATTTTTTTACACTTAAGCATTTTTCAATGCAGATTGGAAGAGGTTTTGTGCTACCTTTTGACTTTCTAACTCCTTATTGGAGATGGCCTAAGTAGCAAAATGGTAAAGTTCCAGAAATGGATGGACATGGCTTAACTATCCTTGTGGGTGTGCGAGGAGGCACTCACGCACATGGCCTCCATAACCTTCATTATGTATAATGCTAATTACTTTTATGGAGTATCAATTTTTAATTATACATTCATAAAAAGTTAATGTATTCAATTTTGATTATGTGTCTTATACAATAAAAAATAATCTCAAAGTCTAAAATAACGAATGACACATGAAAGAAAAAACTTGCTTTCGTATTATACTATTTTTTCAAACCATATAAGCGAACACATTCTTTATCCTTTTTTTAGAGATAATTAGAGAGATGAGATTGCCTATGCCTATTATTATTAACTCTTTTTTTTCATAGGTAGATCATAATAGATAGGGTGTTACAATGCGGTGAAAATGAAAAAACGGTAGTCAACCAAATGGGTTGCTACTGATACAAGGGCCGTTTGTGCCACGCAATGGGCATCCCTGTTAGTATGCCAAGAAACATAAAAAATGAATAAATGCAAAAGAAAACTTCTTTCGGCAAACTTCTTGAAGAACCTTCTATAAGCCGATTTATGCCGAATACAAAACCTGCAATGCAACACCCAGCAAAAATACCAAATACAAGTGTATAATTAAATATATTAGTGAGTAAGAAATAAAAGTCTTAAACTTGTAACTATCTGAAGCGATCTGCATCTAGGATTGAAGCGATCTCCAAATTTGTAACTACCACAGGAATTTGGATGCGAGAATTGGAATCACGAAGAGGGAACGGAATCGCCATTGCTATACATTGGTCCGCCAAATTGCCAGCCCTTGTGTCGAGTCAATCGGAGATCAATTGGCGATTCGGGAGAAGAAACTCGGGCATGACCTGAAGAAGAATGGATTTCTACCATATTTATGGACAAAGAATCATGCAAGCTTGTCCTGGAAAGAAAGAGGACAAGACTACGAGCATCTAGGATCAAACGACAATTGATTCGGAGTCCGGACGAGGGAGAAACGAAGCATTGAATATAGGGGAACAGGTTCGGCGGAAGAAACACGGGCTGACTACCCTAAAAACACAACCGTGTTTCATCTGGCACCTGCCAGTTTTTTTTATGCCGAGCCTCTCTTGTGAAGACTGCTGAAGGGATTCAAAACATGGGCGGGACAAAACACGGGCATGACTAAACACGGGCGTGTTCCCGATCGTGGTTTTGCCCCCTGCCCGGGTATAAGTCTATTTTCTGCAATTTTTGAGAGGGGAGAGCTGGGTTTTGGATCCCAAAACACCCAAGGGAGGAACCAAAGAGAGAGAGGGAGATTTGAGGGCACTCTTGGAGTGGAATTGGAGGATTTCTTTGCCTTGGGAAGCTCGAGGAACAAGCCTGAACTTGAAGACTGATCATCTGAAGATTCTTACTGCAGTCTCTCTCTTCTCTATGGAGTAACTTCCCTTCACTTAGGTTTTGAGGAACCCTAGCTATGTTTGTTTGATTGGATGATTGTATGGGTGCTCTTACTTGATAATCATGAGTTCATATTATCTATGCATGTTTTCCTGATTCAATTCTGCTTTAGTCGAGATTATTGATTTTGCTTTGATCCTATGAGAGCGAATACCTGATTAGGTCAATAGAGCACCATAGATTGGTAGTATTGGATCGATTGCTTTAGTTGAGGGTCGATTCACTGCTTTGTATCAATTGATAACCTCATTCGGTAGAGGGAATCTAGTTCAGAACGCCTTGATCGGTTGTTCTAGAGAAGGATACGTCCCTCTAGGCAATTGACTCAAGAGGGCCTTGTTCCTTTAGTCGAGACTCAAGGTCTAGTTAAGGATTCTTCGCATTGTGAAATGAAAGTGAAACATGTTAGAGATCATCAATCATTAATCTGGCTAGTGGCTAGGGGGAATCATACCTAAGTGAGTTTCCAACCTGTAATTAGATTAACTTAAACTATAGTTTGCTAGAGTAGTTTTAGTTGTTCTATCTTAATCTGGTTTGCTAGATAATGAAATGAAGCTGAGTAATAGTAACTCTAGAGACATGTGGATTCGATATTTATTACTTGAGCCACTATACTGTAGTCCCTTTTATTGGTTACACTTGGCCTTTGTTAGAAGTTGTGTCATAGCGAGTCACCCGCAACCGTCACGCCTCCTGCCGCTAATGAGCCATAGTGCGAGAGCGCATTTGCCGTTGAAGTCAATCCCGCCCGCCGTCTTTTCTGTCTTCTGAATCTTGCCTCCATCGGCGACTGTTGGCGTGGTGGAACACTCCAATCGCTCCTTAGGGCATCTGAACTACTGTTTGTCTCATGCGGGCTTGTTCTCTCTGGCTTGTAGACGCAATCGAAGGCTCCCTAACCGATCTCATTCGACTTGGAGAAGAAATTGGTGGTCGCTTGAAGCGTGGGGGGGGGGGGATGGAGAGGTTTGGAGTTTCCCTATTATTACTAACGTTAACTACAATAAAACACAAGCGAGCAACAATAAAAAAGAAGTAAATTAATTATAAATAGTTCGTAACATACCTAATTTTATACTAACAATGTATCACTTTCTTTCTATCTTCTATTGTTTTTTCTATTATTTGTTTCTACTTTTCGATTCTTTTATATTCTACTCTCAGACTCAATTAAGTTTTCATCATCTATTCAGGAGATTTGTGTTAATTGATTATTTATTAATTTAATTACTATTATAATTTTTTTAAATAATGTTTTAATTATTGATTAGTAATTTATTTACATTTTAATAAATTTTTATAAAAATAATTTTGCTCACATTCCATTATTGAACATGAACTCCAATTCCAGGGGTCATTTGCTTTGTGGATTTGAATAATGAAGGTTTTTGTATAATTTGGATTTTGAAAAATCATGGATATACGAGGGTTTTGGGCTCATTATGGATTTGAAAAATACCATTGTTTGTTTCATGAATTTTATGATGGATTTTGTTAATTAAATATGTTTGCATAAAGTGAAATTTACTTTTGCTGCCCTCAATGATATAAGAAGAAAAAGAAAATATGAGAGGTAGGTTGGTAAAAAATGATGGACTTCAAAATCCATCATCAATTTCCACCTAAAAAGTAAGATTTTCAAGTTTGTGCGATCCACGAATTTGGACTCTCAAAGTCGATAGGTTCCATGATCCAAATCGTTCACCAAACCATGCCGCAAAGGACTTCATTTTGTAATGAAATAACTACTAAAATGGTACAAAAGTGAAAAGGCCAACTTAGCGGGAAACAACTGCCTTAGGCTAAAATACATTATCACCCCCGGCGGCAGGTTCCCGGCGAAGATGCAGCCAATGGCCAATATATACATTACCCTAGGGAGTAGGGAACCGTTGCGGCTTTTCCTATTTTTATGTTTTCGTTTATTTAGACGACTAGGAAGAAATTCTATCCTCTTTATCTCCCGCTAAAGAGCTTATCGAGTCTTGAGTGAGTCATTGACTCGTAGCGAGTCAACCCAGTATACTCTTAAACCCCTAAAGGCTGAGACTTTGAGCTGCAAGGAGTAAAACCCCTCCAGGATTATCTTACAGTGCACAACGCGGAGAAAGATAGTCAGGAGGAGCATCATCCATGGCGTCCCTTTCTTTTGCTCACTTCCCTTACTTGCCCAGGTTCTTCTTTCTTTTATCACTTTTCACTTCCAGCTCGGCCAGTAGTTTGAAATGTTGTCTAGGAGTGATGGGTAGCATTTTGCGGGTGATTTCTTAGTTGCGCAATGAATTAACTTATCTTCAATTCTCATGCTTAAGCTTAATATTTGGTGATTTTGCTTTGGGGGTTCTAAGTTTTGTGCTAGTAATCTGTTTGGCCATCTGTGAAATGTTACAGATTAGTGAACTTGGTTTCTTTCTGCAGTTGGCAGTCAACTAGGACAAATCATCAGCCAGTGAGCTATGCCCAACTCCAGGACATTAGATTTCGGAATAGGCTGAAGAAAATTGCAGCCATTTCAGGTGACGAAGGAGCAAGTGAGAATGGGCGAGTTGTGAAGAAGAAGAAGAAGGCTACCAAGACAACTAAACGAGCCACCACGCGAACCAAGAAGAAACCAGTGGTTGCTGATGGTGCTTCAGAGGAGGAGGATTCAGATACTGATGATGTTCTACATGTGGAAGCTGTTCGATCTGTACCCGGTGAATCTTACAGGAAAGGAACTAGGATTACAAGAAAAAAAGGTACTCTCGTACATCTTGAATTACTTGGAACCCTAACGTAGATTTCTTTATTCCAATTTTAACTTACGAATACTATTTAGCACAGCTCTATCTGCTTCTGTTGAAACGGAAGAAGAGAAACCCGACAAGAAAGTTAGGAGGGGGCGGAAGGCGAATAAGAAAGATGAGATTGTGAAGGATCAGAGAAATGAGTCTGATGTTAGTGATGGGGATGGGGAAGGTTCATTTGTTTCCAACAATGTGGAGGATTCGAGCGACGATGGAGATCTAGACTTCTTGGATAAAGATGAAGGGGAGGACATAAGCCACACTTATGGTTGGCCACCACTTGTTTGTTGCTTTGGAGCTGCACAACATGCTTTTGTACCTTCAGGGAGGCGAGCTAACCGGCTTTTGAACTATGAGATCCATGACAGGATGAGAGATGCGTATTGGGAGCCCGAGAATTTTGTGAGGGCACCCGGAGGATGTGCTGGTGGTGTGGCGGTTGCTCTTGCGAGCCTGGGTGGTAAAGTTGCTTTCATGGGGAAATTGGGAGATGATGACTTTGGTCAGGCTTTGCTGTATTATATGAATGTGAGCAAAGTTCAGACGCGTTCAGTGAGGATGGATGGTAAAAGGGCAACAGCAGTATCACATATGCGGATCGCTAAGAGAGGGCGCCTCCGGATGACTTGTACAAGACCTTGTGCAGAAGATTGTTTAACCAAGTCTGAGATAAATATAGATGTGCTCAAGGAGGTAAATAATTATGTATGTGGTGCCTTTGTTTTGGTTCTCCGAGAACGTCGCAATATTCTATCCTTGAAGCGTTTGAATTGTCTGCTTGTTTTGTGGTCTGACCTTCTGAGAAAGCATTGCAACAAGGAGAAGTCTGATTCTTTTTTCACACTTCTTGATTTTGTAAGGGAACCTTTGTTCCTTCTGCATTTCTGCTTTGCATTCCATTCAGGGGTTGTTTAGGTTATTCGTGCTTTTTTTATGCACTTCATATATTGAATTGGCTTCTTTATATTTATCATAGCTTGGACAAAGTTCCATGTGCCTTGCTTTTTCTGGCTAGCTAGACATGCTTGACAGGTTCTCATGGTGATTTCCCGTAATTTTTGTGCAGGCAAAGATGTTCTACTTCAACACACATCCTCTGCTCGAGAGAAACATGAGATCATCTACGCTGCGGGCGATTAAGATATCACAAAAGTTGGGAGGAGTTATTTTCTATGACGTAAACCTCCCAATGCCACTGTGGCAGTCTAGTGAGGAAACCAAGGAATTCATACGAGAAGCATGGAACCTTGCTAATGTTATAGAAGTAACCAAGCAAGAACTTGAGTTTCTGTGCGGGATAGAGCCCACTGAGGAATTTGATACAAGAAACAACGATGTATCTAAATTTGTCCATTATGAGAAAGAAGTAGTTGACCAGCTTTGGCATGAAAATCTTCAAGTCTTGTTTGTAACCAATGGTACTTCTGAGATACACTACTACACCAGAGAGCACAATGGTTCGGTTCTTGGCATGGAGGACCCTCCTCTTACTCCTTTCACCTCTGACATGTCTGCATCTGGAGATGGCATTGTTGCAGGTACGTGGATGGGATAATCTTTCAATTTCTAGTTTCTCCATGGATCCTTTTTCAGCCACACTGAGTTGGCTCGTGTTCTTTGGTGATTCCAGGTATGTTGAGAATGTTGTCAGTTCAGCCACACCTCATTACTGATGAAGGCTACTTGAAACGCTTGATCCGATACGCAATAGACTGTGGAGTCATAGACCAATGGATGCTTGCAAGAACACGCGGGTTCCCTCCGCATGAAGAAATGGAAGACGAAGAAATTGAACCTGATGCGAGTGGTATGCGATCAATTACTGAGCAGGAACACAGGACGGTGTTGTCACCAAGCCAGTAATCTTACATTTTTCTTTTTCGACAGGGCCGGTTTTCTATTTTATTACCCTTTGTAAATCAAAGTTGAGTAGTTTTCAGGGTTCTTGGCCTCTGATTCTTGATTGAACCATGTAACACAAACCTTATTTTTGCTGAGCTAAAAGAATCTTTCTTGACAAATTTAAGAGGTATCTTCTGATTTATCACATTCACAGGTTACAGGGGCCAAGTGGCCTGGCCCTACCTTCAAGCAGCAAAATTATATAATGCAAGGAAAAAAACAGCATTGCTGACCCACCTGGGAGTATCTCTGGTCAGTTTTGATTATTGTTGGCCATACAAATTATGCAAACCCCACACACTTCAGTAGAGTCATTTTCCTGAAAGAGATAATTGGGGCTGTTCCCATCAAGAATTTGATATTGTGATGACGATGAAGAGTAGGTGATGAATTGAAAACTAATCATGAATGTGAACTTCAGAATGATGTCAAGCTTAGCCTGATATTCTCATTTATCTTGTTTTTTCCTGTATAAAATAGAAGTGAGCATTATTATCAGTTCCATAAACAATTGACTAAATCAAGTTTATTAAGCTGACAACTTATCAGCTGATTTATGACAAGTGGAGAGTACGTGTCATGGTTATCAGGAAGAAAATGCAAGATAAGCCATGTTAAAATCTTATTGCACCTGTTCTCCATGGAAGTTGAAACTTACTAACTGAACTCTTCAGTAACATAATCTTGGAAATGAAGCTACAGAGACACCAAAAGGATTAGAAGGCTTTGCACTAAAGCCCCATCATTTTATTCTTAGTACAAAAAAGGGGGATAGATAATCACACTTCTTTCTCCAACTCAGATTAGAGAATAGAATGGCCAAAATGGAGAGATGTATGCCAACAGCAAAAGCATAGCAGAAGGCAAGTAAAAGGAAGAAGGATCCATTGGAGTTGAATCCCACTTCTTTACTACCTACTAAAACATACACATTGCAACAAATTGAGCTCCCTTCTGCCCTTCCTCTATTCTGAATGAGAACCTTGGAGCTTCGAAGTAGCTAACTTGTCCAAGAACCAGACCAACTTCCCATTCCTCGGCTGCACCATTCTTGCAGGCAGTGAAGTCTTGCCATCATCAGGTTCAGTTTCATCAATCGCCAAGTGTACAGCCTCCGCTTTGCTTTCGCCTGCTGCAACTACTGCCACGTTGGAAGCCGAGTTGATGACAGGTAAAGTGAATGTGATTCTCTCCGGTGGAGGTTTAGGGGAATCGGTAATGAATGTAACCCACTCATCTTGCTCGATGAGCGCAGAGTGGTTAGGAAATAGAGATGCTACATGACCATCAGGTCCCAGACCAAGAAGCACAAGGTCAAACTTAGGGCAGTCACTGATGTCAGACACATCGACTGTCCTCATTTTCACCAGCTGTCGGATGGCAAACTCGTACTCATCGGCTGCATCCTCTGCCGAGACTGAGTCATTTATCGAGTGTACATGACTTGGAACAATTGGAACCTGCAATAGCATGACAGTGTGAATATTTCTCTGCATTGTCCATTCTATAGAGTTTTTTAGTTATGACAATCGATGAAAATGTCTGACTTGGAAGGTAAGCAAAACAGCAGGAAAGGGTTTCAACAAGGTGTTTTGGGAGGCAGACGTTGAGTGATATACCTTGGACAAAAGGTTATCTTTTGCTAACTTATAATTGCTATCAGCATGGCTCTTTGAAACCACACGTTCATCTACCCAAAATATGTACCATTTAGCCCAGTCTACTGTCTTGCTATAAGGAGCTTCACAGAGTTTCCTGTTACACACCCACCATGGAACTTGTGAAGTAAGAATCAACAGATTGTAAAACAGCAAAACACAAAACCCATCAAGCATAAATGAAAAGGAATAAAAATTTACCCCATGAGACCAATGAGAGAACCACCAGACAAGGCAATGGCAAATGCTCCTCTCTCTTTCACACAAGCCTCAGATAGTTCAGCAATATAATCTGCCAAATCTGTGCTCAGCTCATCCAAGCTCTCATGAATCCTCACTTCTCCTCTTTCTTTATGAACCCCAGAAAGAGCCATCCTTTCAGAAAAAAAGATTGCAGAACAGCTCAGTTAATACCAAGATATTGACAGTAAATAGAACAATACCAGGAAGCAAAGTCCAGCTATCATTGTTTCCTGATAATTGATTTGAGAAATAAAGAGTTCATGAATTTAGATCACTTTCCATTTTGCTTGATTAATATTTAATACCCATCCAAATTAACTGAAGTTTATGAACCCTCTCTTAGCCCAAATAGTAACACTTCCAATTAACATCAGAATGTCAAACCCAGCACTAACTGTTATCATCACAACCGGAAGATCAATGCAAGGGGAAACAGAAGCCATTACAAGAAACAAGAACAGTAACCCACAAAATTCCATCCGAAGTAGTACATTAACCAGAGGGGATTTCACCATGAGAAAAAGGCATATGCCCAGATCATCAAACATCCTCAAGAAAAATATGGAAAACAGAATTACAAAAGACAGAAACCCACCAAGATCCCAAAATTCTTTTCCCAGACAAAGGGGAAAGGACCATCAATTTCAAGAAGGGGAAAGCTGCAAAGAAGAAGAGGAAGGAGAACGGGGAGGGAAGAGGAAACAGACAGATAGTTTGCCTGAAAAAAGAATGGAGGAAGAAATCCCCGTCAAAAGACACTGACTTGAAGGGGGAACAGGGTGAACCTTACAGCAAGCGATAGCGAAATAATAATACAGAATACATATATAGTTATATAAATAACAGATTCTTCGGTCCAACTGTTCTTATTAATACTGGCTCTTGTAATTTGGACAAAAGAACAGAACTTTTTTTTAACCTTCTGGGTAGAGCAGCAGATGTTAGCAAGTAGCAACAAAAGGAAGAAGAAGACTAGAAGTTGAGAGGAGAATTTTTTTAACCTTCCGGGTTTCCAGTTTCCACGTGCAGCCAATGATAGAGACAAATCACACAAAATACATTGAAAGTGGAACAGAATATATTTATATATTTATATAAACAAATTATTACCGCGCTCATTTTCTTGGATTAATTCCCTAAATATTGTTTTTTTTTTAATTTATCACGAATATAGTGTTTTTAAAAGTATTTACAACAATATTGTGTTTTGATGGAGGGAAGTTGGCGACGGCGCCCGATACTCAGCAAATAGAGATTTTAAAGGTAAAGCCAGCGACGACGCCAGAGACTGGGGCGCCTTCGCTGGCTTCCTTTGTTTTTTTAATTCCCCTCCCTCACCCTCTCGCACCAGACACCCTCCATTCATCCCTTACCCACCTCCTCATCCTCCTTCTATCCCGACCCCTCCTTCACCCTACCAGCGCCGACGCCAAAAACCAGAGCGGCGACGCCCAGCTTAAGGCGGCAGCGCCTCAGACCCAGGAGGCGGCGCGAGGAAGAAAGCGGCAGCGCCCCAGCAACAGCGGCGACGCGGGATGTCCGACGACGAGCAGCAGGCCCCCGGCGGCAGAGGAAGAGGCCGAGGGCCTGCGTGGCAGCGGCGGTGACGGCGGCGAACGCTACAGGGGTGAGTGCCGGATTCTCTCGCCGGCGACGGCCGGATTCTCTCCGGCGGCCACTTTTTCCGGCGACATTTTTTTTTATGTTCTAATATTTTTTTTTCAGTTCCTAGGCTTATCGATCCTTGTTCGATGAGACCACCACCTGCGACGATCGATACTGCTCCGATGGATCCGGAACTTCTTTGGGGGCATGGTCACCATCGGATTGACGCAGTTTGGGCAAATGCGGTAAGTTTTTTTCAAACTATTTCTATAGTTTTATTAGCTGAATAATATGATAGAATAGAATTAAATTAAATTAAATTATGATTGGAATTAAATTATATTAGGAATAGAATTAGATTAAGTTACGATTATATTATATTAGAAAAAGTTTAGTTTAGATATATAAATATAAATATTAGGTGAATTGAAGGAATTGAATTAATATAGTTTTGTGCATTAATTATAGGCTGGTGATCGACCATTCCACATTCGTCATACTGGAAATTTAGTTCGATACAATCCACTGTACCTGCCGTATCTCGTTGATGCTGGCCTGTCTAGTGTTCTGCCACTAGCTCCTCTTACCGGTGATCCATGTTTGATTACTGCGCTCGTAGAGCGTTGGCGACCCGAGACATCGACATTTCACATGCCGTTCGGTGAGGTGACGATCACCCTAGAGGACGTTGCCACACTCACCGGATTAGCGATCGACGGTGATGCCGTCGTAGTTGACATACCCGACGAGGACTGGTCGGGTATGTGTCTTCGACTGTTAGGACAGGCTCCTACTGATCTTGGTGGCGGCTTCATCCGGATTTCTTGGCTGAGGGAGACTTTCGATGAGCTGCCGCTTTCTGCATCACCCCAGACGACAGAGCAGTTTGCAAGAGCGTATGCGCTATCTCTGATGGGAGGTGTCTTGTTCTCCGATCGGTCTGGAGGTTCAGTCCACCTGCAGTACCTACTTTTGGTGGAGGATTGGCACAGAGCGGGGAGGTTTGCTTGGGGAGCAGCTGTGTTGTCCTACTTGTACCGTGAGATGGGTAGATCGGCGCTGCAGATGACGGCATCTTCTTCACTGGGTGGTGACTTTGGTGGATGGGCCGCCTTGCTGATGATCTGGACGTGGGAGCGGTTTCCTCATACATCACCACTACATGCGGTGACGGGTGAGCAGATTACTCAGGACGCAGTGCCACGTGGCCTTTGGTGGCTTCCGGCCCACACCCGTCAGCATGGAGATCAGTTCTACTTGTACAAGCTGTGGTTTGACGAGTGCACGACATTCGTGGTTAGTATATATAATTTCGTTTTATAGAATAGTTTTAATTATAGATTTAGGAGTAATTATGTGACCAATCCTTGTGTGCAGTGGCGTCCGTACTATCATAGAGGTCAGGACTACAGCGGTACTGCGATCCAGTCCCACACGTTTCGAGCAGTTGTTCCGTTGATATGCTTCTCATCGCAGATGTGGCATCATCCAGATCACGTGCTCGGACAGTTTGGGATGATTCAGGATCGGCCTCATCCTCCACATTCCGCGGCTGAGATTAGATTTTTTCTTCGTCAGGGACAGCAGTTCATACAGGCAGCCAGCGAGTCGATTGAGCTGTGGGACCGTCGACATGAGTTCGTAGCGAAGACGAGCTACACTGACGAAAAATTAGCTTACCACTCGTAGCATCCAGAGTGGTACAGAGATGTCACTAGACGTTTAGGCACACGGAGAGTTGCTGCACTGAACGCTGCGGTGAGTTTTTTTAGTAATTTAAATTTGTGTTTTAATTGTTTTTAGATGTATAGAATTTCTGATATTTTCCATTTAAATTTGCAGTACGACTGCATGGAGTCCGTTCAGCAGGGTTTACGTGATGGGATGAGATCAGGAGGGCTATCATATGACCAGATGGGGGAGTATGTTGACCAGTTGGCGGCAGGGGTTACAGATTTAGGTTTTAGTGGTCGCCAACATCCTGATACAGAGCCGATACAGCGGTACCCCGATGAGCGCAGCTTAGCTAGCTGGCCAGAGCGTATGACTCAGTCATCGGCCTGGGGCGTGCCACCGCCACAGTTCACAGAGGAGCCCAGGATGAGGAGACAGCGACGTGAGCAGCGTGACGTACCTCGAGGAGTGAGGTACTCAGATCGTCAGCCCGTCAGACCTACATCGACCTTCACATTCCAGCCAGTCAGGCCTACTTTTACCGGATTTCAGGCAGGCACCAGTTCTTCTGGCCCTCAATTTCAGCCACAGGAGGATAGCTTTCACACACCGCAGCATACTACGATGGGAGGCGGGCACATGGGATCAGGTAGTACAGACCTGCCACATTTGGAAGTCGATGAGTGGGAGCGTGTCGGTCTGCAGCTTCAGGATCAGGACTTCCAGACATCTCATTGGGCATATGAGTAGCAACGACGAGAGGGTGCACCAGATGAGCATGTTCAGTCTCAAGTAGATGATATGTTCGGCACACAGGATCAGGATGATGGGGCGGAGAGAGATGAGCAGTTGCCTCCACGAGATAGGAGGCCAGCGAGGTGTGGTACTGGCGGCCATCTAGTGGCAGAGCATGGTGGTCGTCGTGGTGGTCGGCGTGGTGGTTGAGGACTATTTATTGTTATGTAATTATGTACTTCCTTGAGACTATTATTATGTTCTTTGTGACTATGCATTATTATTATGTACTTCCTTGAGACTATTTATTGTTATGTACTTATTTTGGACTATTTTTAATCTGATGTTCTTAGTGCTATTGTCTAAATTGAGACTTTAAATATAAAACCAACAAACATCAACAACTAGTTCAGTTCATAAAAGTCCAAACAACAACTTTAAACAACAACTCCAAACAACAACTTCAAACAACAACAACTCCAAACAACAACTTCAAACAACAACAACTCCAAACAACAACTTCAAACAACAACAACTTCTGCGAGATAAATCGAAAGAAAAACAACAACTGTTACATTCAAACTAACTTCTCAGCCACGTCTATTCCCTCTACTTCCTCCTCTTCTACCACCTCTCGCACTTCGTTGGCCACCACTCCCTCTTCGGTTGCTCCCACTCCCACTTGCTTGGCCACCACAGGTTGATGCATTATGTCCTGCTTGGTTACAGTTGCTACACACTTGCTGTGATGAACCCTCCCTGGGCCAATCCATCTCGTTGTGAATTCGTGTTGATCTTGGCCTCCCCGGCTTTCTAATCATGTCCAGATTAGGATGGAGAGTAGGGTCATTATGCTTCTTCCAACCCTTAGGTTCACCAAGAGGTGCGAAACTTGTCCCACAACAAGCCATCACTGTTTCCAGCTTGTAGACATTGTTGACAAACCTATACGCATTAACACCCATTCGGTTGCAAGCTGCAATGGCATGAGAGCAAGGAATTTTATTTCCTTGAAATTTACCACAGGTGCAAAATCCTGTCCGGTTGGGGTCGTCAAAGTGCACTGTGAGTGTGTTTGACCCCGTCATGTTGAAATTGTTGGGAGGAGTATGAACTACATAGATGCCTTGACTTCGATCAAGAGCTGTCACAGAATGTCCAACTGCCTTTTGTGACCACGCCTTCATCAGCTCTTCGCACTTGGTGGAGAATTGTGAAGGACCACTCCTAATTTCTGCTCCTGTCTCCAACCTGTACTTATCGAATTTCTCCACCAATCGCCAATAGGTATGTTGCACAAGAGAAGCTATAGGAAGTGCACGAATACCTTTGAAAATACCATTGACGCTTTCTGCCATGTTGGATGTCAGGATAGACCAACGACGCCCACCATTGTAGTTATCGTGTGCTAAACTCCAACGAATCTGATGTTGATCCACCCAGTTATCACATGAAATATTTCTATTAGCGGCCACCTTCTTAAATTGCTCAACTTGACGATCAAACTTCTCCAACCGTTTTTCTCCGGCTAACAAAATAAAATAAACCACCACACGGGTTAGATAAATTCATGACAAAATTACATGAAAACAAGTAACAAAATTATATGAAGAAAGCTTACCGACTCGAAATAGTTGATTATACATAATTCTGCTTTTAGTCTTCCTTTGCAAATTGCTTGCATAGTGTCGCATGTACCACCTCCACTCCCAACCTCTTCCGATGTAATTCATGGCTTCATAGAGTCCTGCATGTCTATCTGAGATGATGCATACATCATTTCGATCAGTCAAACCCTGAACGTGACTTATGAACCATGGCCAACTATCAGTATTCTCACTCTGGACTATGGCAAATGCAATTGGAAAAATCTTCTTCCGTCCATCAAATGAGCTCGCCATGAGTAGCACTCCTTTATACTTCCCAGTAAGAAATGTTCCATCAACAACCATAACGCCTGGACAATTCTTGAATCCATCTATACAAGCTCCATAAGCCCAGAATACTCGCTGAAATATTAAATGACCTGGTTGAGTCGAAGGAACTCTTACCCAATGAATCACCGATGTTGGCATTTTTCTCTCGACCACCCGCAAGAATGTTTGCAAAAAATCATAGGATTCTTCCCAATTTCCATGCAACTTCTCCAATGCTCTTTGTTTCCCATACCAAGCCTTCTTGTAAGTAACTTGCATATTAAACTTATCTTTCAACTCGGCCTGAACAGTTAGAACACTCAGATTTGGTTGGGCACGTACCAAGTGTTTGACGGCCTCAGATATCACGTCGACATCAAGATGGCGATGATCCGTCGGTTGAGTCGTACTGCTACAAGTATGCACCAACTCGACCTTTCTCACGCTCCAACCGCCTCCCATTTCTCGACATCCAAACCGCACCATCCAAGGACATTTTTCCTCCTTGTGCATCAAACATCTGATCTTCCAGATTGAAGGTGACGACTCCACCACGTTATACTGAAAGTTGCGTTGTAGTGCATAGTGTTTCATCGCCACCTGTGCAGCTTGTTTCGAGTGAAATATTTGCCCCTTGTAGAATTCTCCATCAAAACCTTCAACAGTAGACCCTGGAATTACGCCATATGAATCAGCATATGATAATTCATCGTCCTCTTCATTACCCTGCAAGTAAAAATATGGAGGAAAATTAGGTTGTTCTCCTCCCTCCCCGTCGTCGTCGTCGTCGTCGTCCTCCTCCTCATCATCGTCTTCCTCATCTCCGTCATCACCGTCATCATAATCATGATCGGATGGCATGCTCCATGTGTCATCACCGTTATCATCGTCTTCCTCTCCACCCCGATCCTCACTAAGCTCAGCATGTATCTCAGCACCCAAACAATAAGGATTTTGTGCCATAAAATTCCAAAGCACATTTAAGCTATCATCATCGACAATAGGCATTGCATAATGAAATAAAACACCATTCTGCCATTCTGGAAGACAGTAGGTGAAACCTGTAATCACAACACTATCTTGTACTGTTTTGTCTCTAATCCGTATTCTCCGAATTAGATGATCACAAAGTTTCTGATAGTTCACCCTGGATGGAATAGTCATATGGAAACTTAGACCACCAACAAAATGGACACCCAAATTGTCTTCTACTTTCTCTGATCGCCACCGAACAGCTAGTTCAAATCTTCTAAAACCACTACATAAAAAACAAACTCACTAATTACTAACTAGACAAAATCATTATGATGAATACATGAAAAAAAATAAATACGACTCTTACCTGTTATTAGCCATCTTCCCAACAACCAGACAGTAACACCAGAGCTTCTTTCAGAACTTCTTTCAGTTTTTTGGTGATGAAGAACCGAAGGAAAGGTGCAGTATATATGGTGAGGGGTGGTGCTGGAGTGGAACAAAATGGCAGCGACAAAGCCACAGTCTGGGGCGCCGACGCTATTACCTTCTTAAAAGCGACAAAGCCCCAGTCTGGGGCGCCGCCGCTGTGTTTTGTTTGTTTAAAATGCATCCAGTGGCAGCGCCTGAGTCTAAGGCGTCAGCGCTTTAGACATATAAAAAAACACAATATTGTTGTAAATACTTTTAAAAACACTATATACGTGGTAAATTAAAAAAAAAAACAATATTTTGGGAATTAACCCCCTTTTCTTTCTTCAACTTCTAAAATCAAAGTAAATGTCCAGTAAAAAAAAAATCAAAGTAAATGTAAAACTTTGCCCTACTTTAATATAAAAAGACTCATATATGAAATAAATCATATCCTCGTAACATGAATATCATATTCCTATAAGAATATATGATGTTTGAATATGATATTTGTAATACGTGAATATGTTATTTGTTTAGAAGAATATGGTATTTGTTTTAGAAGAATATGGTATTTGTATTACATGAATATGATGTTTTAATTACTCTCATAAAAATATTGTATTTGTGTAATGAGAATATGATATTTGTATTACGTGAATATGTTATTTGTTTTAGACGAATATGATGTTTGAATAGCGAAATGGTCAATCTTGATCCGAACCATGTAAAATACGATGGTTAGTACCAGGTCCGACCATGTAGAATATGATGGTCCATACCAAACTGAGAGGAGGGGAAGGCAAGGGGCAATTCATTAAGGGCATTTAGGACTTTTTATATCAATTTAGGGCGATGATTAATAAAAAGTAGGGCGGTGAATAACAATCCTCTAGATAAATCACACATTCATAAATATGAGAGAGATTTATAATTTATAATAAAAATTTAATCTCAACTAAGAAAACATATTTTGGGGTGAAATGGATGAGTCATTGGAAGAACCCTAAAGTTAAACGTGTTCAGTGTGGAGCAGTGCAAAAATGGGTGATCAAACGGAAAGTTATCATGATGCACCAAAAAGCAAAACCGTGAAGGAACATGCCCAAAGCAAAAAATATCTTGGTCAGAAAAAGCAGGATGTTACAAGTGGTATCAGAACCTCCATGTCCCTCTTGGGTGATGGTGGGGCAGCAAACCTCAACGAGTACGTTGAGCCCAAAAGGGGGTGTATGTAATAGATTAGGAAAATCTCACATTGACAAATCACGAGAGAGATCTATGATTCATAAGGAATACACATTTTGGGGTGAAACTAGATGAGTTCATGTAAGAACTTTGAAGTTAAACGTGCTCAGTCTGGAACAGTGTAATGATAGGTAACCACATAGGAAGTCATCATGATGCGTCCAAAAGCAAAATTGAGGAGAATATTTTGGTCATAAGGGTCGGGATTTTAAACTTCTTCGTTATTAAAAACTTCTTCCAAAATTTATAAAGATAAAAGTAAATGGATAAACATTGAACTCTCTTCTTTTTTTATTCGATTAATTTCTTCGCTTACCAATTTGTGAGATATTGGTGGTGAGCTTCCTTGGTGGAGTCTCTTGATGACACGTGAAAGTATCTATACCAGACCCCCCGTATTTTGATCCAAAGTGCATACATTCTCATCATTAGCATCATAATACATTGAATTATAACTATGATTGCTTCAAGTGTGTTGTAGAAACCCTAAGATTGCTTTTATATGATTGTTACGCTTTTGGTAGCGTTCTGTGCATTTTTAGGGCAAAGTAGTCTAGTGGACCACTTGGAAGACGTAGGGAACATCCAGACCAAGTTGTTGGAGCTAGGATTCGAAGACCAGATGCCTGGGTGAAACGGCGCCAGGAGTTCCTTTTTATTAAGGAAAAGGGCGACCACGGTGCCCTTTTAGGGAGCCTGTCCACTTCATTACGAAGTTATCCCGAAGCATCCTGATTCACTGGCCACGTGTTTGGAGCACTCTGATTGGCTGGATGACGCAAGAGCTGCGAGTTTTTCTCCGCAAAAGCATAATATGTAGAAGATCTATAAATAGGGCTCTAGAGGTAGAGTTCGAGAGGAGTAGACGAGAGGTCAAGAAATGCTCGTTACTCTACTGATATAGCAACCTTTCTGACTTAGAATGAGACCACCCTACGAGGGAGAATCGGCGCCCAAAATGACATCCTTGGGCCTATTTTCTCTGTTCCCGGCACCGATTCCAGTGGGCCTCCTAGTGTCTTCGTTTCCATGATGAACGCCCAAGAATCCCTCACATTGGCTGGCTACGTTCTTTAGTTTCTTAGGTATGTGAACCCTAGGGGTTCTAACCATGTAAACTAGATGATTTGGTTTAATACGATTGTTTGATTTTCATATGTGTGATGTTTGATTTCTTATATTTTGTTATTTGTCGATTTAAATGGGAGCTTAAGACGACATTGCACTCCTTCAAGGTGAAAGGGTCGAAATACAAGTCATTTTGGATGGGTCTAGACTATAGAAATAGCAGTCCTACTCGATCGATCTTCATTCGATCAAACAGTGTGATTCCTCAAGGGAGAAATCCGAAGGGTCCTTGTTGCCCATTAGTTCGGGCAAATGCTTCAACACAAGGTGGGATCTAATGAGATAAGAAATTGGCATCTCATATGTTACTAATCATCGAGGGCACATGGTTAGGACTTAGGAGACTTGGAGGGAGCTTGCACATGCAACGCCTTTCTTCTTTGATCTCTCGCTTGTTAACTAGCTTATCAATTACTTTTCTGCAACGCTTTACTTTCCAAACTGCGAAACTTGAGGACTTCAACCTCCACAAACCGGCCTTTTTTTCAATAGAACCGCACCTCACTTTCGAAGTAAGGGTTCTACAAGAGGCATGAAGAAATACGGTCCTGGCCTTAGGGCTAAGTAAATTTGGTACCGACACTATAGTGGACATCACCTCTAGCACCATTGGTGGCAGTCACTGTTGGACTTCACTATTTGGTATTTCGCTGGAAATCGTATATGTAGATTTGTATTTACGAAGGCACCAAGCGTTGGGAGTATAGTCTTGTTGGAAAATTCATGAATAAGTTTTCATCTATCTCGGCACTAAAATATTGGACGAATTAGTTATGGGGAGGGTGGAGCGGTTACGGTATTGTGGTTGGGAGTAGTTGCTGTTGTTCCACTTCCCGATGATGGTTATATGCCAATGGATGTTCGAAGGGGGACTATGGCACCACGCAACACAATATGTTGTTATTGCACTTGTGGGATATGAATCTTAGATATAGATAACTCGATTGTTCTTGTCTGGTGGAACTCTCTAGATTGCCTTTGGAATTATTCTAGTAGGAGGTACTCGAATTTTTTTCCAGTTTTACAGCTAAACCAATATGCATGGACCTTCCCAAAATGCAAGGATAAGGCTTGGTTGAAAAACATATGTGCTAAATTGAGTACTTCTACAAAAAGAATGGATAAGCTGAGAATTACACCTGATGGGTTGCCTAGGTTCTGGTCTATGGTTGAGTATTGTAACCTTCCCTTAGCTTGTTCTTAGCTTGGCTTTTGCCATGAATCATATTCACATGACCTAAATGTCCATATCTCTATTGTGGTTCCTGGTATTATATGCTTGACAAACTAGGATATGAAGGTTGAATCGACGACAATCCGGAAAGCAGAGTCGTGAGGGAAGGTGGAAGTAGAGAAATCATAGAGATTTAGGATCTCATCAGAGAGGAGGTTTCAGGAGACGTTGAAATTGATGAGTGATGACGATGTGGTAGAGTTTCTCCCAGTTGGTATCCGCCATTTTTGTATACATCGAACAAGGGCTAGCTTCTCTCACCAACAAAGAAGGAAATCCATGCAGATAAACCCATATCCAATATCGACGACGAGGGGAAGCTAATCAAAATTGCATTAATAATTTATAGAAAATGAACTTTTGATGACAATCCGCGAAGCTTCAATCTTGTTGGATATTTTGTGAATGAAATGTCTTGCTCATCGAACAATTCGCGTCAAAGAGAGAATCATCGATTGGAAGGAATTGTGCGGCGGTAGAGGGTATGAGGAGGACAATTTTGATGTGAATTCGATTCTATATGATGAAATTGAAGGAGAGATCGATTCCATCATGGGAAATCTGAGTGCGGTGAGTTGCAATTTGCAAAGAGGAATCGGTAGATTAGAGCCAAATTTCGGTGGTCGATGTCCTCCAAATCTCACAGGCTCGACTCCACCAACTATGTACCGAGCTCTAGCTTCGATGTCCTATCGGGCAACACAGCGAGCAATTGCAAGGCGATGATGAAACATAGTATTCCTATTTCGGGGAATAAGAAGAAGAGTAGTAATAATACTAGTAAGAAGAAGAAAGTGCAAAATTGGAAAAGAAAGAATCGAAAGTTGATGCCGAAATTGAACAACAATGTGATTTTGATGGCATGGCCAGGGAAAGGGTTGTCGTTTTTGGAGGAATTGGATGAGGAAGATGTTTCTTGTTTTTTTCATTATTTTTCAGTTAATTAAAAGAAAATGGATGATGTCAACCTGACATAGTCAAGACGAAAAGTTGCCACATCATAAAAAAGTAAGTCCATTCAGCATCTCTGGTGGTGCTGTTAAAGTTATTGATAAAATGATTATATTTATAGTTTTTTCAAAAGTTGACTATTATTGTCACAAGGTCAAAATTATGGTTGTCCATGTATATTTTTTATATAAAAAGATACTTTGATTTCCACTTCTTGTTAACACAAGAGTAACCAACCCTTTGGATAAGAACATCAAAATATTGTAATGAGTATGCTAAGGATAGAGGGAAAGCCATAGCCTTTTTTAGGGACACCCTTGAAATTTTCTAAAAACATTATCGACCATCATCGTATAGTAGTTTGAGTTTGGAGAAGGAATGGTGGTGATGTCAGTGAGACAAACTCTAAACATCCATGAATCTTATTAAAGTTATAAGGTTGGTACTGTTTCATAAAGATTACTCTAATCTGCACTACAGTTATTTACTTTGGTTAACCTAGCAATCTATCTTCAACACGTGGCTATGCAGTGGGAAAAGGATCATAGTTCAAATGTGGTTAAAATCAAGATTGACACGTTGCTCCAACCGACCCTCGATTTATGTTCAGAAAAACTAAAAATGGTAAAACTATACATAAGGTCGTACCTAAAAGTTAATATTACGTGATTATAAATCAAATATGGGTTAGCAAACAATGCATCAAATAGACAAATACCCGCGAGCGCACATAATCTACCTAGTTGTAATTATCAAATACCATGTCATCCATTCTTCTACAAATCATTTTTATGTTATGTTTAAAACATTAAATATATTTGTAAGGTACAACAAAGTCCAATTAAAATTACAGCTACTACTTTCTCTCTCTAGTCTCTATCAATAAAACTTGCGTTGCATTTTTTTTAAATCAATACCCACCTAGCTAATAATTTATATTTAAAAATTTCCACCATCCTTTTGAGAAGAAACATGAGGAGCCATAACCAAAGAAACAACCAAAGATTTCAGACCCAGTTATTCCTGACAGCTTTCTATCATTTTCTTTCCATGGATTCCAAAAATGAGTTCTGTTTGTTGCCCCTACTATTTATTTCACCCATTTCACACTGAAAGCTACTTCTCAACCTCAAGGGAATAATAGGCTAATGTCATCATCTAATATTCAGAGAGTTATCCACACAATCTGTTTATTATTTTTATTTATTTATAAAGCATATCATCAAACTACATGCACTTCATCTATTGGTTCCTTTGTACTTGATTACATTTGATGGAGGTACAACCATATCTATATAACCCTATTCTAGATCTGACACATGGTGGCAAAGGTTTTAATTTTGTCATGCTATTAAGAAGGGGAAATGAACAAATGAACTATCCAAACATTGAGTGAAATGTGATAATTTCGATAATATGGATGTGGAAATGACAATGGGTAGATTGATTCGATAATTGGATCTAATTGTCATTACTCATATGGTTAATTGATCGAACTTAAATGTATCCAAATGTACTTTTAATAGTTTTGACTTTGAATTATGTTTGAATTGGTTCTAATTTGGCTCAACTTATTTGGGTCATACCCCAAATGAGTCTATTTAAATCCAAATCATTATACACACAAACAAATAATATCAATTACTTAATTAACTATCTTCAACCCAATACAACTTTAATGTGGGTGTTTCTGTTTTTTGCTTTTGCTTGTTTCATAAAAAAAAAGGCAAAACAACTTTAAAATTGGGCATTCTTTTTTTTTTATGAATCTACTCCAAAAGTAAATTTTTTTTTTGTCATCCTAAATGTAAGTGATATTTGTAACTCCTTTTAGAAAAAAGGATATTTATGGAAAATATGGGAGCAACATATTTAGAATATGTTCGACGGAGTTGACGGATACAATAATGAAGCAATAGAGCAAGGAACTCCTTCCACAGAGGAGTTGACGTATACACAGATTCAGGAGGGTATGACAAAGAGTATTCATAATCAGATTGAGATGATAAAGCTGGCAGATGATGATGCTTTGGTAGTAGAGGATGAAGACATAGGTCGGCTATGGTCCAAGCTGTAAGCCTTCTAGGGCTAACATGCATATTCGTGTCCCCAAAAAACCGAACCTGAAATCAATGAAAATAGCATTATCAAAGTTTTGGAACTTACAACAGAACTTTCAAATATCAGAAGCAGGGGATCAGTTGCTCGAATTCCATTTTATGAACAAGAACGACAGAGACAGGGTGCTCCGTGGTGAACCTTGGCACTTTGAGAACAACTTACTCATCTTTATGCAAGCTGATGCTTTTAAGCAACCCAGTCTGGAAGTTTTTCATGTCATGGAAATATGGATACAAATCCATAATCTCCCAGCCGCTCTGCGAACAAACGAGATGATACATAAGATTGGTGCAAGGTTTGGTAAACTTATATGGATAGATAGCAGAAGAGAGAATGCCTGGAATGATGTGCTGCGCATAAGGGTGGGGAAGGATATTCGAACTCCTTTGAAGAAGGAACTGAAGCTCAACCTCAAAGGTACAATTCAGACGTATGAAGTCAAGTATGAGAAGATCCCTATGTACTATTTTTCATGTGGATTAGTAAGACATCCAACACTCACCTGTCCTAACCCTCCACCCGATGGAAAAGATTTGATTGGACCAGAGCTGAGGATGAAAATGTCAAAAATAAAACCCTGGCAAAGCATACTTGAGAGAGAAGAAGCTGGGGAACTGTGGCAGGCGCTGAGGGAAAAATTTGACAGAGAAGCGACCACACCTAGAATGCAAATTGAAGAGGTTGATTACAGAAAAAGGATGGAGGATGCTAGCTTGGATGCAATAAAAAGAAGGACGATGATCCAGAAAGCGGAACAGGAAATGGCGATGGCACAAACTACTAAGAAAACTACAACTGGTTTTGAAAAAGAACAATGGAAGGGGTCAGCAGAGGAAATATAGCATTCTAAACATCCAAAGGAAGGTGAGGAGCTTGATATTAAGGTGACCAAGGAAAAGATTCCTGAAGTGAAGCACAAACAGGATGATAATAAAAGTGAGAACACTCTATCAAGCATCACCAACCTCGATTTCAATCCTGGGTATATGCCAACTAAGGAGTCACAAAGGAAGAAACAAAATCAATGGAAGGAGATTCAAATCAAGTGGCAGCAGCGCACATACAGTTAACCCCACAAAAAAGAGTAGTAGTCAATAACACCAACGAGGGTGCTGCTGATTCTCCTAGCAAGAAGCAGAAGATTGATGACACAAACACTTTAGTGGATGTCGAAGTGGCGGACCCTGCCAAGAAGCAGGGCCGCCCAACTCAATGAATATACTAAGTTATAATTGTCGGGGTTTGGGGACTCCCCTGGCAATTAAGAAAGTGGGCAATTGCTCCAAAGACAAAACCCCACAATTGCTTTCCTCATGGAAACAAAAAAGAAGGAGAAAGAGTGGGAGGAAGTAATCAAAGATCTTGGATGGGAAAAAGGAAAAGGTATAGGTTCTGTGGGAAGAGTGGAAGGACTACTAATGGTCTGGAAGCCAGAGGTCTAGGTAGTGGTCAAATCTAAGTCGACAAATCATATTGATGTGTGTGTGAATGAAGGAGGAAGATAGTGGAGACTAACGGGCATCTATGGGTGCCCAGAACAAGATAACAAACACATGACATGCACCCTACTTAGGCAACTACGGGACATGATAGATTTGCCATGGCTAGTCTGTGGTGATTTCAATTTGATCCAGAGCTATGAAGAGAAGAACGGGCTAAACCTAGCAAATGTACAGGAAATGGATATGTTCAATGATGTCTTAGAAGATTGTGAATTGGAAGACCTTGGATACTATGGAAAGACCTTCACTTGGGATAAAAATCACACTGATGACACTTACCTGGATGAGCGGTTGGACAGAATGGTAGCAACAAGTTCATTGAAAACACTCTTTCCACATGCACGAGTTCATCATTTAAGAAGGTGTGGATTAGACCACACACCCATCTACCTGCAGACACAACTGGTCAACAACAACATTAGATGGGGTTGGAATTTTTGGTATGAGACTTTTTGGCAAAAACATGAAGAGTGCAAATAAGTCATGTGGGATGGGTGGACTGAGGAACAAGGGGCATCTGTCCTCAACAAGATTAAAATTTGTGAAAGCAAATTGATCAATTGGAGCAAAGAGACATTTGGGGATCTTTGAGAAAGAAAGAGGAAAGCTTAAAGAGCTCTAGAAATATTGGAGAAAAGGAAGAAGAATGCAACGATCATAATTCAAAGGAAGGCCATTGAAATGGAGCTAAATGAAATACTAATGCATGAGGAAATGATCTGGAAGCAAAGATCTAGAGCTGATTGGTTGCAAGGAGGGGACAAAAATACAAATTTTTTCATAGGAAAGCCTCTGATAGACGAAACAGGAACACTATCAGCAGGCTGGTTGATGAAAATGGAGGGATAAGGGAGGGACAAGACAAAGTGGCAAAGTGTTTAAATAACCATTTCAATCTCTCTTTACTACAGGTAACCAAGTCCCTATTAGCAAGATACTGGAAGCAGTCCCCCGCAAAGTCACAACAAAAATGAATGAAGAGCTGCTGAAACCGTTCACGGCCGAGGAAATTTGGAAAGCTTTAAAAAGAATGGGAACTCACAAGGCACCAGGGGTGGATGGAATGTGAGCTTTATTCTTTCAGAAGAATTGGGAAATCGTGGGACAAGATGTGACTAATGAGCTTCAGCATTATCTTAACACATGACCCTTCCCTCAGACTCTCAATCACACACTACTGGTGCTAATTCCTAAGAAGAAAATGGCAGAAAACCCGGGGGGACTATCTTCCTATTAGCCTTTGCAGGGTGTTATACAAGATACTATCTAAGGTGTTATCAAACAGGCTCAAACACATTCTGCCTGAGGTGATTACTGAATTCCAAAGTGCGTTTGTTCCTAGGAGGCTAATCACAGACAATGTGATGGTGGCTTTTGAATGCTTCTATTCAATGAAAGGGAGGACAAAAGGAAAGAAGGGATTTATATCGGCTAAACTGGACATTTGTAAGGCGTATGACAGAGTTGAATGGGGTTTCTTGGAGGCTATAATGAAGAAACTGGGGTTTGATGATAGATGAGTGGCTATGATGATGGCTTGCGTCACAACAGTGTCTTATTCTATACTGGTTAATGGCCATCAGACTGAAACTATTGTTCCTACTAGAGGCTTGAGGCAGGGAGGCCCAATATCCCCATATATGTTTCTATTCATTGCTGAGGGCTTGTCTGCTCTTCTTTCAAAGGCGGAGAGGGAGAAAAGAGTTGAAGGCATTAAGGTCAAGAGAGGAGCTCCCTCCAACTGACACCTACTATTTACAGATGACAGTGTACGATTCATGAAGGCATCCAAGCCTGAATGTGAAAAACTAAGAGTCATCCTAAATTTCTACGAGCAGGAATCCGGACAAAAAGTTAACTTAGATAAATCAGAAATCTCATTTAGCCCTAATGTGGAAGAGAATAAGAGACAAGAATTGGATATAGTTCTCGGCATGAAGATGGTGGACTATCATACAAAATACCTGGGCCTCCCTACTGTCATAGGCAGAAGAAAGAAAAAAAAAATAGCTACCTAGTAGATAAGGTTTGCAGGAAAGTGAAGCTATGGAAGGGGAAGCTGCTAACTTTTGGTGGCAAGAAAGTACTGATCAAGGCAGTGGCTCAGGCACAAGTAACCTTTTCTATGCAGGTCTTCCTCATACCTATCTCTGTAACACAAGAAATTCAAAGCCTGGTCTCTAAATTCTGGTGGGGCCAAAAAGACTCTGAAAGAAGGACTCCCTGGGCCAGTTGGCAAGAACTCTGTCGCCCCAAAAAGCAGGGAGGACTTGGATTCAAGAATCTACACGAATTTAACCTGGCTCTCCTAGGGAAGCAACTATGGAATCTGATACAAAACCCTCATTCCTTGGTGGCCAAGGTCATGAAAGCTAAGTATTTCCCCTCCCGAGAGGTGCTGGAATCTGAAGAGGGATATAATCCTAGTTACATCTGGAAAAGAATTCCGGCTGCTAAGAAACTGATGAAGGATGGTTTAAGATGGAGGATTGGATATGGAAGTAGAGTCGACATTCGGCAAGACAAATGGATTCCTAGCTCAACAAACTATAAAGTGGTCTCTCCATTCTCTGATTTTTCCTCACACACTTCTGTAAACGAGCTTATTGATGCAGAGTCGAGAACTAGGAACCAAGTCGTACTACAAACTCATTTTCTTCCTCATGACAGAAAACATAATGAAAATCCCTATCCCAAGATAACCAGCTCGGGATAAGAGGATTTGGAGTAAAGAAAGGTCTGGTATCTATACAGTTAAATCGGCTTACAAATTCCTACGAAGCAGTGAGGAAAAAGAACTTGGAGAAATCTATTCCCAAATTAATTGGGAGCAAATATGGAAACTCAGATTCCCCCCAAAGGTTAAAGTATTTGTGTGGAGATGGATTCGTAATATTCTGCTAACAGGGGCAAACATACTGAAGAGAACAACTAAAGGATGTGAAGAGTGTCCCTTCTACGGCCAAAAGGAGACTCAAAATCACATCTTTTACTACTGTGGCTGGGTAAGGAGAGTTTGGTGCCCTAGTGTTCTAAGCAATTGTTTTGAGAAAGGGAAAGAACTGACCTGTGAAGAATGGATGGTATGGGTGGTAATCGGTCGATATTCGCTATTCGGTATACTGGCAATTGAAATTATGTAGCCGAATACTGATATCGAAAGTTATCCGGTATAACGGATACTGGTTAGTCGATTACCGGTGTTTTAACCGGTATACCGGATAGATTGTTTTCTTCCAAAATTGCAGTCATTGAATTGTGAGCTCTAAAATCGCTGAAAATAAACCTTTCGGATTGAACTTACTTCCAAATTTCCAGCCCCTGCTCCAGCCAAAACCTCGGGTTGTTTGACTTTTACTTCCCGTCCAATACAATGGGTTCTTGCAATGCCGCCGACAGATCCATTTTCCGCCCCTCCGCTCGCAATTCGGCGGTCAAACCAAGGCTGCTCCAAAATCCTCTCCAGCTTCCTCCTTTAGTGCTTCCGCCAACAAGCCTCTCTCTCGACCTGCCTTCAGGTAGGCATTATTTATTCACAACTGCATATTAGTTCTGTAATTGCATTGTTTCAAGTTTCTTCTTTTTTTTTTGTTTGTGTTTATTGTTTATGATTTCTTTCTGTTTTTGGATTGGGACGCAGATTTCCAGTCGAGATGAGTTCTACAGTGGAATCTATGAGTTCTGCGGTGGAGTCCATGCGGTGGAATCCACCTTTGCCCTTATTTCATATATGTTATTTCAGTATTCCAGTATACCGAATTACAGTTGGTATATTACCGAGTATTATCCGGTATACCGTTATGCCAAATCACGTCATCGAATACCGATACCGCCGGTATTCAGTACGGTATCCGGTAATACCGATTACCGGTTTACCGATTACCACCCTTATTGGATGGCAAACCCCCAAGAGACTGAATACGAGGAGCAGATCGCTCAATTCCTGGCAGCGCTCTGGTTTATTTGAGAAGAACGCAATTGTCAAAAGTGGAACAAAAAGAAACTTGAAGAATATGAGATAATGGGGAAAGCAGAAAAATGGTTGTTGGAGTTCCTCGAACTTCAGCATGCAACGAGGGAGAATGGACCCAGACAGGAGATTCGATGGAAACCTCCGGATCGTGCTGACAACAAGATTAATGTTGATGCCGCTACCTTCGCCGGAGCAGGGACTGGACTGGGGTGGTAATTCAAGACAAAATTGGAGGGTTTTGCTTCGTCGGAGTATGGAGGTCGTGAATTCAATGGACGACGGAGTTGGCTGAGATCCATGCCATTAAATTCGGTATTGAGGTTGCGATAGAGAAGGGATTTAGACCGGGAGAGATTGAAACTGGCTGTCTCAGAGTAGTGTAGCAGACGAGAAGGAGGAAGAGTCTTTAACGGAGGAAGGGGCAGAATGTGAAGAAATGAAAGAAAAGCTCGCTGGTCTAAATGGGGATTTGATGATCCGGTTTTTGGGCGAGGATAGTAACCGGGCGGCACACATAATGGCCCATACCCAATGTGGGTGGGATGAGACTGAATTTTGGGAAGCTAGACCCCCTATTTTCATTGTGAACCAGCTTATCTCTGATACCTGTAATATTTCGCACTAATGAAATAATACAGGTCTATTTATAATAAAAAAACATATTTAGAATATAATTTTCACGGTACATGCCAGCTAGCATAAAAATATCCAAGTGATTTATCTTTGATTTACTGTTGAATAATTTTAGATTATTATAGATTAGTTACAAGTATCTCGTGGTTGGTATATTTATCTTTGACTTACCATTGGTAAACATTGGCAGACCCAGTTGTCGAAGAGGTGTGTCGCCGATAAAATGTGATAAAAATATAAATAAATAAATAAAAATAATAATAAGAAATTAATTCATAAAGTTCACAATGTTGCTTAATTACAACGAACCACGATGACTTTTCATATCCTAAATTATTTGTAAAATACATTCATCACTTATGTTGTAAACCAAACCTTTTTCGATATGCACAACTAAACAATCATTGATAAACTGGTCACTCAACCAATTCCGAAGATCGTTCTTGATTGCCTATATAGTTGAAAAGGCTTTTTTGCAACTTGCAGTTGCATCACATAAAGTCAATACCAACTTCAAAAGCAGTAAATTAAAGGACAATAAGTATTTTCATCCAAATATTAGAGTGAGGTTGATGATTTGTCTTCTTTTATGAGGGAGAATCGTTTTTTCCTGTCCAAATAGGGATTTGAGTGGGACATTTAAATTCATCTAGCTATTAAAAAAAGAGAAGGGAAATTAGGAGTTAATCGTAGTCGTAGGTAATTGAAGGCTCTGCTTAAGACAAAGTTTTAATAATTTCCATATACATAAAATAAATTTCAATATGGAGAACGTTTTAGTTACATGACAACAATAATATGTTTACATCCTAATGGAACGCTTATGAGTGGAAAATAAAGATGTGTCAAGAGGTTTTGTGTTGGAATTTTAGTACCAACTAACCTTATTTTTTACCACAATTTTTTATGGAGCTGTGTCAATTGACACACCACTCATTAAGCTAGGTCCGCCCCTGTTGGTAAACCGCTCTCTTCTTTCAAGTGTATATAACCACATACTTGCGATTGATTAAAATGAGGTTGCAAATCATATAGCATATCAGAGGCTATTGCTACCTCATTGCGTTCATAATTTCTTTTTCGCTTACTTCATCCTCATCGTCCCCCATGTAGATTGTCTACATTAAGATTAAATGGATACATGGACCTCTATTAACAACTCGAGTTATTGAAACCAACTGGTTTATGGTATCTGATGCAGCGAATACCTGGGTAAAACCGATAAACAGTTGATCCCGCAGGATAGCGGAAAATCGATCGTCACTAACCTATTGATTCACGAATAGCTAGGTTAATGGCATCAAACACGAACTCATAACTCATAAGGAACTCGGCTTGGGAAGAGACCAACGACGCTCTATTGTATTATTGTTCTCAAAACTACTAAAAACCTTCTTTGCTGTTAACGACAAGTATTTATAGGGCAAGAAAAGAAACCCGCCCTACAATAAGACTCCAATTCCGAAACCATAACTGCAAAGCAATAATAGAAAATAAACAAGCGACCAAACCAAATGCATGGCAATAACAGTAGCATGCATGTCCTGCTCTGTCCTGCTAGCCCACACTTCATCTCGCTCGATCGTGCTTCTCAAGGAACTTGCCCACCACCACCTCTGCTGCATCCTCCTCCTCAGGGTGGACAGAAATCGCCCTCAAATTGTCTTCATCGGAATCATCTCCAGCAAACGGAACAAGATATTTGACATTTAAAACATCCGATGTACGGATGTGGCTTGAGAGATTCAGGTGATACTCATTCGGATTGATTTTCTCAATGATCTCGACAAGCCCGATCTTTCATGCGAACAGCTTGTTGTAATCACCTGGAGACAAGCCATCCTTGGTAAGGACAACCCATACATAGTCGCCAACTGCAAACTCAACATGATGTCGTTTCTGATTGGCCGCCACTTTGTATTTGCTGGCCGTACTCTCCAGGTTGGCGCGAACAGCCGGATGCATGCCCTACAAGTGAAGAACAAAATCGGCAGCCTTCCTATGGAGATGAGTCTTATCAGGCAAGGTCAGCAACTCCAGTGGCCCCCGCGGGGTACACGAATAGACCACCTAGAGCAAACTGAACCCTGTGCTTCGATTAACGTCATGGTTATGGGTAAACTCTGATTGGCATGATTTCAAGTCTCAACTCTTCACATGCTCACCCACAAATCATGCAATAAGTTTCCCAAGGAATGTTTCACCGTCTCCGTTTGGCCGTCCGTCTACGGATGATAAGCACTACTAAATTTGAGCTTTGTATTCACCAACTTCCAAAGACTGCGCCAAAAATGGGTAAGGAACCGCGTGTCCCTGTCAGAGAAAATAGACGGCGGCAATCCATGCAAGTGGTCTTCTTAGATGCAATAAAATTCACCACCTTGGAAATTCGATTGACGACGTCATAGATAGAGTCGTTACCCCGCTGAGTACGAGGCAAGCCGAGAACAAAGTCCATATTGACATCCTCCTAGGGCCCTAATAGAATGGGTAGAGGCATGTACAAGCCGGCACTGGTGGCAGTACCCTTGGACACCTGGCAGGTACGACATCATCGCACGAACCGCTGAACCTCCTGACACATGGTTAGCAAAAAACAACTAACCTGCACGAACTGCAAGGTGCAGTCCCACCCGACGTGATCCTGGCCATGTGACTCTTGAATGATCAAGGTGTGCAGGATGCAATCTGGAATAGATAGCTGATGTCCCTTAAATAAAAATCCATCATGCATAATGTATCTTGTCCTCCCACCTACCTGAATCCTTTCAAGCACTACCGAAAAAAAAGGGTCAGTCTTTAATAATTTAGGCAAAGTTTGAAAGCCGGGTACATCAACTGTCATGCGGCTCAAGAGACCTCTTTGCCCACTCAATGTGTCTGCAACTTGATTAGTGACCCCACTCGTGTGATTTTACGACGAACATGAAACGCCCCAAGTAAGCCACCCACACATAGAGAGACTAGGGTTCACAATACCTAAGTGAGTAGGTAGGCTATTCCATTGCTAAACAAGAGAAAACAACAAAAGGAAGAGAAATAACCATGAAGTGATGTCAATCTTTCCTCCTTGTTGCTTGAGACACCCTTGAGATGAAGAAATCTTCAATCATCTAGCTAGGAACAAGCCCAAAGCTCCTTCTTCCTCCTTTGATTTGCAGTTTCTCACTCTAGAAGAAACCCTAACCTCTCACTAGAATCCTCTTTCTTTATTCTGAAAAATGAAAACCTAACCTAAAAAATGAAGCTCCTTCTTCTTCTTCATTTCAACTCACATTTTATACCAGGATCGGGCTCAGTTCACGCCCGTGAACTCTTCAACGCGTCCGTGAACACAGAGTGTTGTGTCAAAACGCATCGCTTCACTTGCATGAGTTCACGGTTTGCACTCAATGTTCACGGTCTTGTTGACCGTTAACTCGCCTTGCGCTAGTAACTGCAGATTTCTCCCTAGACGCCTCGCGGTTCACGGTTTATGGCTTCAGTTCACGGCCTTAGGAGACCGTGAACTCCAATGGGAAACCGTGAACATGGCCTGAAACATGGTCCAAATAGTGACTTTTTACTTTTCTTTGGTTTTTGGGCTTTTGGACCTCCAATCGTCCCGAAACTCGTCCTCGACCCTTCCACACATGCTAGGACCTAAATTGTATCAAAACAAGCACAACCTAGTGTGAAATATTTCGAGGGATGATGAAATGCAAAGCCACACTATCAAGAAATGAGGGGTAAAATGTGTACAATTGGACCCGAATCACTCCCCCACACTTAGACGTTTGCTTGTCCCCAAGCAAACCATTTCACACAAGTTAATCTCTCAACCTATTAAAATTCTTTAGGGACAAATCAAAGGGCACAAGGTGGCTAATCTCAAATGGCTATTGGCAATTAACACAAGGACCATTGCAAGTAATACCGACATCCACCACAAACGACATTCGAGGTCACCAAAATAGGCAAACAAAAAGTTCTCACCTTGTTCATGAATCTATGAAAGTCTCAACAAAATCACTTATAAACAACAAATAACCATGCATAACATTCAAGTCCAAGGAATGAAAAAATGGGCAACAAAGGTCCTCACCAAAGTATGATATGACATGCAAAACATGAATGAATCACTCACTCTCTTGACCAGTGGGGTCGGGACCTTTTTGGTGCAAAGAATGTGCACAATCATCAACACTCGGCCCTATCGTCTCTTCACCACGACGGCAACCTCTAATGGTTAGAGTTCACGGGATGGTTGTCAACACTAGCTTGTCTGGAGGTCTTAGACACAGGTTCAAATGACTTCGATAGTCTTGGACATGGGGAAAAAAGCTTTTTGGGAGGTGGCAAACACATCATGAGGTCCTACATCTTTACCCAAAAACCGAAGGTTCTATGGTTTCGGCTAGGAACCTTCCTTACAAACAATGGCCACTAGCATCGACCAAAAACCTTGCTTCTCCCTTCCAAACTATCACCCATCATGAACTTCCCTTAAGCGCTCTTCCTCGGTCTACTCTTGCTATCACATTTAGATTTGGTAGTGAAGGATTTCTAAGACAGTGTGGAGGTTTCAATGGCTTGTGTGCCAAGAAACCTCACCTAGAGCATACTCTTTGATTCTTGTGGCACTCTCTACTTTATTGACCCCGTTTTATTACCTCTTTTTCTTTTCTCTTTCTTTCTACTTTCCTTCTCTTTTTTTTTCTTTTCTTTTTGAGAGGGGGTACTAGAGAGTTAAACACTTGCCACACTACATTTGATAACCAATGCTCTCCTTTAAGAACTCACTCCAACACTACTCTTTCATTCCTAGCAAGAACCGCCCACAATCCTACTATGTAGCACCTCAATGGAACTCAAGAGCGAGAGCTCCGGGACACAAGGCGACACACGTATAGACACGAAGAAGCACCATTAAGCTTACAATCAAAGAGCTCCAAACATGAGAATAACCCCCAAAGTCACAAGGCTCAAAGGGGTTGACTAGGGGATAAAGCATTTCGGGACAATCAACATTTGGGTGTGGAACTTGTGCCTCAATCATACTCACTAGTGACAACTGTGATGTTACTCGCCATGGTAAGAGGGATCTAAGCACACAAGAATAAAACGATCAGCTCAAAACTCACATGGCTACCTAGTCACCCAATCTTTCATTCTACTTTCACAAAACACAATGCATGGCAATTGTATCAACAAGTAATCGAGTCAAGACATCCATTCATTTTTGCATAAATGAAAACTAAACTTTTGCACTATCCTAATGCACCTCTCAGTCATCATCATGGGATACACACTATCACATGCAACAATTCGAGTTTAATGCCAATAAACACGAGATTCTCCCACAAACCGGTCACTTTTTTCATGAAAGCATTGCTTGGTGCCCTCAAAATTTTAAAATTTGGGCATACAGCTAGGCTCCAAGCATTCAAAATCACACCAAACATTCACACCCACACACACACACACATACATAATGGACTACCCCCCCCCCCCCCCACTTAAGCTCGACATTGCCCTTAATGGTGTAAAATAGGGAAGTAGAGCGATGTTACCGGGTAGTGGTGAATGTTGGTGTTCGGAAGCGGAGGCCGGGTGAGATATGAAAGAGCAAGGAAGCGGCAAAACAAAAGGTCGACTTATTGAACCCAAAATAAAACACACCGTTGATGGTTGGGTTGCCTTCTACTAAGCGCTTCTTTAACATCGTGAGCCGGACAATTGCACTTCAAGTTTTGGCCCACCCAAGAACCTCCTTGAAGTTGAGGTTCTCGTCGGTGTGATGAAATCTCAAGTCACGAGCATTGGACGAATCCATGAATGAGGGCTCGTAAACTTGATCAACTTTGAGGCTCCATCCACGAGACCTCTTCTTCTTACTTTCTTCACTTTTCTCTTTGCCCCCACACCATATTGTGCAACGTCGATCAAATTCCATCGCATCCATCAAGAGGGATCACCGATGGTTTGGCATTGGCTTCGAAAAGAGCCACAAACGGGTCCTTCTCCAAAAGTGCATCGAGGTTGGGTGGAAAGCATTGGTAGCTCTTGTAACTTGTGGATGCTTCTTCCACCTTGACCTCGTCCTCATCTTAGAGCCCATTTGCTCTTTCTTATTCATCCTCAAACTCCCTTCCTTTTTCTTCGATTTCCTCCTCTCGGGGATCCTCAAGAAATTTCTCTTTTTTTCTACTACCTCCTCCACAACTTCTTCTTTCCTCATCTTTCCTCGCTCTTCTGCAAACAAGCGTTGAATAGCGAGTCTCCAAGCTATGTCTTCGATTGACTTGGCACTCATCTCCTCATTGAGAACTTCCTCTTCAACGCTTTGGATGAAATGTGAAAGAGTGGTGGCTACCTCTGAGGACATTCCAAGTCTTGAGCATCACGGTGGCCATCCGTGACAACATTCGACCGTTCCAACTCATCCTCAAGGCTTTCCTCTTCATCATCCTTTTCTTCACCAACCGCCAAAAGTCGGTCTTGGGTGAAACGTGCACAAGCTTCCTCGACCATCGAGTTTAGCTTCTCCGCACGCTTGCATGTTTCCTCCGCTTCATAGAAGAAATCCGAGTGAGGTGGATCCATGGTTGGAAAGGTCAGTCCGGAATATGATCTCTCATTGTCCGATACGAACTTCTCCACCAATATCTCCAATTGGATCTTCCCTCGTGGTTGTCGAGGGTAACCTTCATGGTATGGATAGAACTCTTGAACATCCGGGGGATATGGTTGCTCATCATGGAAAAGATAGTTGGCCCGGATCCGTACTCATCTCCTTCTTGAAATCCCCTTGACGGCTTAGGGTAACACCATTCGGGTGTTTGGTGGATACCCCCACAGGTAGGAGAAGCTATCAGGATCCATGGCTCAACTCTGCATCACACAAAGATAAAACACAAAAACAAAACACAATACAATACAAGACAAGAAAAAAAATGCTAGAGGACCTTTTCAAAATTATGGATCGCGGTTCCCCGACAACGGCGCCAAAAATTTGACTCGCACGAAACCGTACCACGAATTAATCCCGACTAGAGCCCAAGTTTTTAAACTCTAGTCTAGTGTAGTATAGGGCAAGTATTTAAATTGTCAACCCGAGCTGGACCATGTACCTCTACTTCAATCGCTTAAGTTGTTATCTAGCAACACGGTTTTGGGTTTAAAACTAAGAAAACTACAAAGTGAATGAACAAGGAAAGTAAATAGAGGAGAATTCTACTTGAGGGGACTTCACCTGGGTATTGCTCCCCCTGGTCTCGTGCTAAGAAGTGACAAACATAGCTCTAGTGAGAAAGACGTGTTCATACACTGATAGGTGGAGCAACTAGCTAGGGACAAACTCCCTTAGTCGATCAATGAAGAAAAATCAACAAATATAAGCTAGGGGAACTAGCTATCTTAACCGTTTGGTGAAGAATTGTGATTCGTAAGTAGAGAGTCTAGCCCTCTTTATTGATCAACCAAGGAGATCCCTAACTCTCTCTTAGTTAGCTAATTGAGATTTGTTGCAAAAAGTTAGGAAGCAAACTCACTTAACCTTTCGGCTAAGGGTGACAATGATAGGCTAGGGAACCTAACCCTCTCAACTAGCCGGCTAAGGATTGCAAACCAAACCCTCGGAACTTAATCTGGTTGGCGGAGAGATCTATCCCAATGGAATCACTTCCCTACTCTGATATTTGAGATTTCGGTCTTAAATTGACCTAAAGGAGGTTATCCAAGTGGCTAAGGAGTCTAGCTCCTAATTGGACCAAGAGGGGATTTCCACCCTCTAGGTTAATTTAACCCAATATTGAGTGAAAGCTAGCACACTCAATCATTCATGAATAATACCTCAAATAACATATAAAACACTCAATCAACACAATAGGTTCATGTTCTTGCAACCTAACCCATAGAGAGACTATGGTTCACATGCAATACCCAAGTATGTAGGTAAGCTATTCCATAGCTAAACAAGAGAAAACAACAGAAAGGAGAGAAATAACCAAGAAGTGATGTCAATCTTTCCTCCTTGTTGCTTGAGACACCCTTGAGATGAAGAAATCTTCAATCCTCTAGCTAGGAACAAGCCCAAAGCTCCTTCTTCCTCCTTTAATTTGCACTTTCTCACTCTAGAAGAAACCCTAACCTCTCACTAGAATCCTCTTTCTTTATTCTGAAAAATGAAAACCTAACCTAAAAAATGAAGCTCCCTCTTCTTCCTTTCACCTCACATTTTATATCAAGATCGGGCTCAGTTCACGGCCGTGAACTCTTCAACGCGTCCGTGAACACAGAGTGTTGTGTCGAAATGCACCGCTTCATTTGCATGAGTTCACGGTTTGCACTTAATGTTCATGGTCTTGTTGACCGTGAACTCGCCTTGCGCTAGTAACTGCAGATTTCTCCCTAGACGCCTTGCGGTTCGCGGTTTATGGCTTCAGGTCACGGCCTTAGGAGACCGTTAAATCCAATGGGAAACCATGAACATGTCCTGAAACCTGGTCCAAATAGTAACTTTGGACATTTCTTCGGGTTTTGCGCTTTTTGACCTCCAACTGTCCCGAAACTCATCCTCGACCCTTCCACACATGCTAGGACCTGAAATGTATCAAAACAAGCACAACCTAGCATGAAATATGTCGATGGACGATGAAATTCAAATCCAAACTATCAAGAAACAAGGGGTAAAATGTGTACAATTGGACCCGAATCAAGCGTCTCATGGTCGGTATATAAAATGAATGCGAGATGGAATAGGTAGTGACGTCAATGCTTCACCGCTTGCACAACATCATAGAACTCTACATCATAGGTATTATACCTCAGCTTTGATCAAGTCAGTTTCTCACTAAATTAGGCAATGGGTCGGCAGTGATGCTGCTGAAGTGGGATATAAACCACCGATAGAAGGAGGCAAGACCATGGAAACTCCTTATGTCAGTCAATGTTCGGGGTCTCGACCACTGTTGTACGACCTGCACCTTGGATCTATCAACCTGCAAACCATCAACCGAAATAACATAACCCAAAAAGAGCACTTCTGATGTCATAAAGACACACTTCATCAATGCAACATAACACTTCTCACGCTGCAATACAGTCAAGACCTCTCTCAGGTGTTGGAGGTGTTGCTCCGGTTCAGCACTGTATATCAAAATATCATCAAAATAAAATACTACACACTTGCCCATGAACGACCGCGGCACCTTGGTCATCACACGCTCAAAGGTGTTGGGTGCATTGGATAAACCAAAAGGCATGACCAGCCACTCAAACAAGCTTTCTCGCATCTTGAACACGATTTTCCACTCATCCCCCTCCCGAATGCGGATCTGGTGGTAGCCACTCTTTAAGTCCACTTCGAAAACTCACGAGATCCACTCAACTAATCAAGTAAATCATCCAGTTTAGGAATAGGAAAATGATAACTGACTGTGATTTTGTTGATGGCTCGGCTGTCTATGCACATGCACCATGAGCCGTCTTTCTTCAGCGTCAGCAAATCGGACACCGTACACGGACTTAGGCTCTCTCGAACAAAGCCTTTAGACAACATTTCCTCCACCTTTCTCCTCGACTCTTCATTTTCAAATGGGATCATCTTGTAATGAGGCCAATTAGGAAGGGTCTCCCCCGGCTCAAGATCGATACGGTGTTGAATGTCCCGCAGGGGTGGCAGCCCGCTGGGAAGATCCACAAGGAATAGATCCTGAAACTCCTGCACGATCGCAACAGCGGTGTTAGGCACATGTGCCCCCGCAGCGATCTCTTTGCCGACTAGGGAGAACACCAGCTCTGTTTCCCAGGCATCTTCCTTGAAACGTGTCAAAGAAAGGACCTTTGGGTTCGAGACTAGCGATGCCCCTTTCGAGGGCGAGGTCTTCCTGTGGGGAACTAAGATGATATTCACTCCATTGTACAAGAAGCTATAATTGTTTGTCCTCCCATCATGAATCGCGCTTCTGCCAAACTGCCATGGCCTGCCTAATAACAAGTGACATGCCTCCACGGAGTCCTTGTAGTTGGAACTAACCAAGAATGAGATCAATGCCCTCTTGGGCACACTCACTTACCCCTCCCTTCTTCAACCAAGACAATTTATACGGCTTGGGGTGCCCCTCGTTTCGATTCCCAACTTTTGTATTGCTTAAGCGGACACAATATTCACACAGCTACCAGAGTCAATCATGAATCGACAAACCTTACCCCGAATTATGCAATTAGACTGGAAAATGTTACTCTTAACCAGTCCTCTTCGGCCACACAAGGAGTCATGCAAGCCCTTCTTACGACTAGGTTTACCTCACCATCTCCTATTACAAATTCCTCCTCTACCACTTCACGATCGAATATTTGCGTCCCATCACCAGCCGCTTGATTCATGCCTAAATGTACATGTTTTAGCCCCGTTTTCCTTAGGCGTTTATGGCAATTTTGCTCCTAAAAGGTTGGCTTTACGCTAGGTTTCTCGTTTTTTAGTGTGTTTCAGGATTTAACAGGTGAAACCAGCCTCGGAGTCGAAAGTTGGACGAAAAGGATAAAAAACCGGGAGAAGAGGTGAAAAAGGGCGAGATCAATGTTCTCCTGGGTTGTTCACTGTCTTACATGACCGTGAAGAGGTGTTGTTGACCGTGTAGGTCGAGGCGTCCAGAGCATTTCCAGAGGTTATTGACACAAGGCGAGTTCACGGTCACTAAGACCGTGAACGGAGGCTGTAGACCGTGAACATAAGTGAACGAAGTGGTGCGTTTTGGCGCACGCCTGCAGTTCAAGGACGCGTTTCATGGTTCACGGGCGTGAACTCAGGCTGTGCACTGAGCTTGTCTCTGGTTTAAAAGATGAGCTGAAAGGAGGAGAGAGGGGGAGAGCCCATTTGTGTGACAAGCCTTCTTCAGATTTCTAGAGAGAGAAACACGAACTAAAAGAGAAGGCTAGGGTTTTGCTTCAAGGTGGATTTTTGTAAGATTTCCTCCAAGGAAAGTTCAACACAAGGGCCAAGAAGATTGGGAGAATCCTCCAAGATGATTTCTACCTCTTCTCCTTGTGTTTTTCTCATTTCTAGCATGGAGTAGATTTCCTTTCACTTGGGTGTTGTGAAACCCTAACTCTACCATGTAGTTTCTTTTATGTGAATTGAATGATTGTCATTGGGTACTGATTAATTCAATGATTGAGGTATTATTCATGTTGATTGTGCATGCTTGTGCTTAGCAACCTAAGGGTTGTGCATGTTTTGTGCTTAGCATCCTTAGGTTTGTGCATTTTGGGGCTTAGCAACCTAATGATTGTGCATTATTGTGCTTAGCATCCTTAGGTTTGTGCATGTTGGTGCTAGCAATCTAATTAGCCACCTTAACCTAGCTTAGAGAGGAAAATTCCCCTTTCAAGGGAGACTCAATCGAGTTGGTTTTCCTTCAGCTTTTTAAGCCACCTAACTAGGTTAATTTAGGGCAACCCTCAATGTTGAATTAAGCAAATTGGTTAATCGCGATTAAGTCGTCCGACCCTTGATTTGAGTGAGGGAGCAAGTCAACTACCGATTTCCTAAACCAAGAGGGTCGAGTGACACGGCCTATAATGTTTACCTCGGCTTAGCAATTGAGATTGTGGTCTCCGACCATATATGCATCCATCTGCGGTTCGCGGTAACCTGGCCCAAAGCAATCGTTCCAATTCACATACCATGGTAGTAGTTAGGGGGAAGCGACACCCGAGTGATCTTTCCACAAAAGAGTTTTCAAAACCATTTACCTTTGCCTTATTTTATTTTAGGGCTAATACCACTGGGAAACCCTAACTATTAACTTTGTGCCATTTGTGTCCTAAAGTATCCGATATGACAATTGTGTCCCAACGTTTGGTAGTTTTGTGTCATTTACGTCCTAACAATTTTGTTGACCGTTATAGATAATGGTTGACTAAACGGTCAACCATAAAATGTTGACTGTTGGTTACATGGCACATATGTGGCAGCCATGTATGCGCCACATCAGCTGCCACATCAGGTTATTATTTTTAAATTAAAATTAACACTTAAAATAAAAAATACAAAGAAAACTTAAAATAGAAAATCTTCTCAGGCATAGCTCTAGCTCCAATCGACGTGAATTCCTTCCTTCTTGTCAACTTCTTCTTCTCCGGCAGAGCTCCCAGCTCCAATCGACGTGAGTCTTCTTCAGGAAATGGGGAGGACCAGAGTCGTTAAGTCCCTCCATCGACTTGGGCACAACCATTGAAGACGACGACGTCGCAGAGGAAGAAGACCCGTCGTTGTTGTTGTTCGGAACTTCTTCATCACCGCCGACGCCGCTCGGAGTCGAAGAATAAAATAGGTAAAATCAAACTTTCAATTCATGTCAATCGAGGCCAAAATTTCACAACTCAAATTCAATCTCTATTCTGATTCAATGAACTCTCGCAGACGAAATCAACAATCTCCCGACCCTTCAATTTGATTTGAAGCCCAGTGTCAATTCCGACTCTTCCACTACAGTACAAACCTCAGCGGAATAGCTGGGAGCGTAGATTTGGAGGCGGCGGGCGACTTTCCCTTTGTCACCGACCACAAGCGACTTCTGTCGCAATCCCCTGTTGCTCGGCGAGACTCAACGATGATGACGGAGATGTTGAGAGGTTTGGAGCAGATCTGGAGCAGCGAGAGATCTGGAGAACGACGACAACAATCAATCGCCAGCCACTGCAATGAGGGTGATGCAGAGGCGGAAGAGGAAAGTGGACGAGGAGTGTCGGAATCATTGCATCCCTTAGCTTCGTTGGATCCGCCATGGAAGTGGAGCTTGGAGACGAATCGGGGAGAGGAGTACAGGGAGACGGAAAAGCCAATTTGAGAAAGTGAACGAATTTTCCACTTTTTTAATTTTTCTTTTAATTTCCATTTTATGTTTTTTTTCCTTTTAATTTCCATTTTCTGTTTAAAGCTAACGGTCAATGCCAGTCAACCATAACGGAAAAATAGTTTGGGACACAATTTTCATATCGGATACTTTAGGACACAAATGGCACAAAGTTAATAGTTCGGGTTCTCTAGTGGTATTAGCCCTTTATTTTAATTAGCAAACTTTTAAACCAAAACTTTGTTGCTAGATAATGATTAAAATGACTGAAGTAGGGGTAGACAGACCGACCCGGGTTGATATTTAAACATACTTATCCTATACTACACCCGAATAAGGTTTATACTTGGACCTTAGGTGGGAATTTATTGTGGTATTCTGATTGAGACAAGTTTTTGGCGCCGTTGCCGCGGACAACAGTCTGTTATCTTGAAAAATTTGTTGGTTTTTAATCTAGCTTTTAATTTCCAGTTTGGCAAGTGTGTGTGCTTTGCTTGTGCTAGGCTTGGTGTGTTTTCCGATTGTGTGTAGGTGGTGCATGACCTGGAGTAACCCGACACCTTTGCTACCACTTGACGAGGACATAATCCGAACTCTCCGGCTCCTAGCATGGGAGAGAGAGCTAGCAGAGGCAAGGAGAAGGAGTGAAAGAGGGGGACAACATTTGGGTCCCGGTGTTGGTGGAAAAGAAGTTGAAGAAGTGGAAGTTGAACCCGTCGTTGTAGTGGAAATGACGGGTAACCAAAGGCAAGATGGAGTCGCTCAAGCTCGTCAGTTGAACGATGCGGCGGAGGAAGAGGATGCCCTGAGGATGATGGGTTACTATATGGCCCCAAGGTCGGCGGACATTCAATCGCAAATCCTACATCCTCCAGTGGCGGCAAATAATTTCGAGATCAAGCCGACTCTAGTGACTATGATACAAAGCAATGCTTTATTCCACGGCCTTAAGAGCGAGTCGCCAAGAGAGCACGTGCAGAGATTCTTGGAGCTCGCGGGTAGCTTGAAGATCAACGGTGTGCCGGCCGAAGCTTTACAACTAAGGCTTTTCCCATACTCACTCTCGGGGAAAGCACTTGGGTGGCTAAACAATCGCCCACCTCGGTCAATCACCTCATGTGACGACCTCCTCAACAAATTCATGGCTCGCTACTGCCCTCCTTTGAAGACGGCAGAGTGGAGAAAGAAGATTACCCATTTCGAGTACGAAGAGGACGAGATCTTGAGGGATGCTTGGGAGAGATACTTTGATTATTTTCTTCAGTTCCCTCACCACAGGTTTGAAGAACATTTCCGGATAGAAACCTTCTACGGAGGCTTAATGCAAGAAGACAAAATTCTCATTGACTCCTTGTGTCAAGGGAAATTGATGAATAAGGCTCCGCCCCAAATCACCGAGATACTTGAAGACATGGTCCTCAGGGGATATGGTTGGGGGCTGACTAGAAGTGGAAGGAGAAGCAATGAAAGGGGAGTGAGAAGCGGGGGAGCGAGTGCTCCGCTTGAGGCGAAGTTGGATAAGTTGCTTGAGGTTATGCTTGAAGATAAGAGGCAAGGGAAAACATCGGTGATGTCGTGCGACTGGTGCTCGAGCACTAGCCACGAGATGGCGGAGTTCCAAGCAATGAAGGAGGCAACCACTCAGGAGGAACAAGTCAACTTTGTGGCAAATGTTAGGGTCAACAACCCGTATAGCAATACTTATAACCCCGGATGGAGGAACCACCCCAACTTTGCTTGGTCATCACCGACTAATCCGAGGCCCCCGGGTTTTCAAGGCCCCACAGGAAATTTCCAACCTCGACCAACCTTTATCCAATAAAGACCTCATGTTCAAGGCTCAAGCTTCCAACAACCGAACCAAGCACAAGGTGGCCTAGGGTTTCAACAACAATAACAACCCGACAAGCTATCTAGGCTTGAAGACCTAGTGAACACCTTTGTGAGTACGAGTAGCCAAAAGTTCGACAAGATAGAGCAATTTACGGAAGTGGCGACTACCAAGTTTACCTTGGTTGAGGTGGGTCTCCAAAGCCATCAAGCGAACCTCCAAAATTTGGAGGTGCAAATCAACAACCTCACTGGTATCATCACCAAGAGGCTGAAGGAAGCCTTACCTTCCCAAACCGTGACAAACCCCAAGGACCATGCCGTGGTGAATGCACTTCAAGTGAGGAGTGTGAAGGTGGTTCCGGAAGTCGCCACGGAAGAAGCGATGGAGAAGGAATATACCAACTCGAAGAAGGGAGAGAATAAGCCCTCGAGGAACGAGAGGAAGGCGGCAAGGAAGGCTTCGCCGGTGGGGGAGTACATGCCACCTCTTCCTTATCCCACAATGATGTATAAAGAGAGGTTGGAGAACGAGTGTGGAGGTTTCATGGAAATGCTCCGCAACCTCCACCTCAACATCCCTTTCCTTGAAGCTATGGCTCAAATGCCAAGATATGCCAAGCACCTCAAGGGATTCCTCACCAAGAAGCCAAAGCTTTCGGGCCTCGCCAACGTGACTCTTAGCGAGGAGTGTTCGGATTACCTCCTCGACCGCTTGCCCAAAAAGTGGTCTGAACCAGGTAGCTTTACTATCCCCGAGAGTGTGGTGGATCTGCTCTCGATGGCATCACGTTTGAAGTCGTGATCGATCCCCAACCATCAAGCTAATGACGATAAATTAGCGCTTGTTGGGAGGTTTGTTTTCTTTTCCTTATATTTTTGTTTTAGTGTCTTGTGAAGAGTTCGAGTGGTGAAGTGGTGTCCCCGTGTCGAGTGTTGCGGTTTTGCGGTTTAAGGTTGTGTTGTGATCGATTAGGAGGCACGGTGGAATAGGTTGAGTCAACTTTTCTTCAGAAGTGCCCTATTTTCACTTGAGTTCACGGACGGATTGTTGTGTTCAAGGTCTTACAAGACCGTGAACATGCAAACGCGTCCGTTAACTGGGCACTCCTGCATGTTCACCACTTGTCGACTAACCGCAGTTCACGGACGCGCTTGAATGTTCACAGTCTCTAAGACCGTGAACTGGGCAACGCATCCGTGAACTCAGAGTCGTGCCTATAAACGGGGCGTGAACGGTGACTCTTCACTTCACGGCCAAATCTCGCCAGAAAATTTCAAATATTGGTTGGAAAACGCGAAACTCTGTTGGTTTTACAATTTTTCTCCCATTTCCGGTGAGCAAAACCCAAAACCAATGTCATACCCAGCCCCCGCCCCCCCCTCCTCAAAACCGGCTTGTGCTAAAATTTTGGGGAGATTTGGAGCACATTTTTTTCTGGCCAAGTCACTGGCGACGAGCTTCCGACGACCCCTCTCTGGTCAGTTTTCCGACCGTTTTTCACCGTCCTTGCCCGCACACCTCACTTCCTCCGTCCTACTTGCGTCCCTAGGTTTTTTTTTTTTACTTTACCTTAGTGATTTCTGGAGAATCGGATTAGGTAGTGAAGTGAGGTTGAATTTTTGTGTTTTGCATGATTGAATCTATATTTAGGGCGAGGAATTAGGTGAATTAGGTCGATTGAATGATGGATTGATTTTTGTATGAGCTTTTAGTGAATCTTGGTGGGCGTGTTTGAACCGAATTCTGTTTATTTTTAGAAATTTCACACCAAGTGCTATGTTATGAATGCAAGTGGAATTTATTCTTGTTTGCTGGATGGTAGCCACCGTGGTTTGGGTTGTGGTTAAACTTTTTGGGTGCTTGAACTGTGAATCACCCACAACCATGTCACGGTCAGTTTGAGCTTAAATGTTTTTATCCACGTATGGTGTGTGTTTGTATTTTTGCATGATGCTTAACTTGGAGCATGATTTCATCAGTTATCTGGTGAATCACCCGGACTTTGGCGACAAGTTTGCCTGCCAAAGTGGCAGCCCGATTGGGCCTCACTGGCGACTGGATCTGGACATGTTTAAATTGTTCAGGTGCCGAGCCGCGATGACTGGGGTGCTCGGCCACCCCCAGTGGCGCCAGCTCTTGACCATGCACGAGGAGATCTACCATGAGCTATGCGTGGAGTTTTACTCCACCTTCTCCCACATTGTCCCCGCCAGCAAGAAGAGTCGGTCGCGGGTGGAGTTTATGCTGGGAGGTCAGCCACTAGTGCTGACCTATAATGCCTTTGCGCAGGCCATTGGGCTCAACACCGATCATATAACGATGATGGAGCGGCAATACACCGTCGACTTCAACTATCAGGGCGCATTCCGAGCCCTCTGCCGCCAAGAGCACGAGCAGGACGAGTTCGAGGGGAGCCGCACCAATGCGGTGAGGCTGAAGACCCAATGGAGGATCCTCCACACTCTGCTCACCAGATCCGTCGTCCCCAACCTCCAGTCAGGCCACTTGATGACGAACAGAGGGCTCATTGCCCTCTACTCGATGAGGAGTTCAGCAGAGCTTATCCATCTGGGATCATTGATCGCGACTTCTTTCGCCCGGTGTTTGGGGCAGAACAGAGTGGACACTATGCATATGAGGGGCATCATCACGAGGATAGCTCGGCACTTCCGGGTGGATCTGGCCCGCTATACCAGACTCAAAAGGACGGAGTCATTCCCAGTGGAGACATTGTAAAACCAGAAGCTGCTACTCCAGGGCGAGAGAGGAGCGGAGTACCTTGACGGACTCCAACCTTCCGCAGTAATCTGAGCTGCAGTAGCACCGCCTCCAGTGGTGCCTGACCCCGAGATCCCAGAGCCAGCAAAGCAGCCACCTGCTCGTGCACCCGGCCGCCGCCGGCGTCCAGCCCTCCAGCGCCCTGCACAGTAGCCGCCACCACCACCAGCAGGCGATCCCCTCGTCCAGAGGGTGGATTTCCTAGAGACAAACTTCATGGGATTCTCATCCCGCCTCGACCGGCAGACCGACATCCTCGAGCTTATGGCTCGCCGCGAGGGTATCCTCCCAGATGCTGGAGATGGTCCTTCCACCGGAGAGAGGTAACCGACGAGTGAGACATGTGGCAGAGTGGAGTCCTTTCGCCCCACTTCTCCACTTGTAACCTGAACTTGTTGTTTGTTTTTTGTTATTTTTTTTTCATTTTGTGTGTGTGTGTGTGTGACATAAACTACTACTATCATATTGTGTTTGTAATAACCTCGCCTCGAGCGAGTCGTATTGTGTGTGTATATGTGTGTTTTTTGTCTCTCCTTGAAGCTCAAAATTTCCTACCCCGGATTCAAATCCAACTTTCACTCACCAAGCCCAAGCAGTAACATCATTCTACCCCTTTCTTACGCCATTGAGGGCAATGTCGAGTTTAAGTGTGGGAGGGGGGGTAGTTTACTAGTATGCTTGTGTGAGTGTGATTGATGCTTGGAGCCTTTTGTATGCCTAAATTTCAAAAAATTGAGGGCTCCAAGCAATGTTGGCATGATCACAGTGGCCGGATGGTGGGAAATTCTTGTGTTCATTGGCATTGATCTTGAATTGTTGCATGTGATCGAGTATATCCTATGATGATGACTAAGAAGTTCATTAGGATAGGGAAAAAATTTAGTTCTCAAGTGAGCATAAATGAATGGATGTCTTGACTTGATCACTTGTTGCTTACAATTGTCATGCATTGTGTTTGTGAATTGAAATAGATGGTTGGGTAGCTAGGTAGCCTGTGAGTTTTGAGCCGATCGTTTTCTTCTGGTGTGATAGTTCCCTCTTGCCACGGTGTGTAGCATCACATTGTCACTAGTAAGTATGATGGAGGCATAGGATTAGTCCACGCCCAAATGTTGATTATCTCGAAACGTGTCATCCTTTAGTTAACCCCTTTGAGCCTTGTGACTTTGAGGGTCGTTCTCGATTTAGGAGCTTCGTGTTTGTGAGCTTAATGGTATTAATAGAACGACGCCCAATCCTTTCTTCGTGTCTAAACATGAGTCGTCCGTGTGTCCCGTAGCTCTCGCTTTTGAGTTCCATAGAGGTTCTACATAGGAGGTTTGTGTGCGGTTCTTGCTAGGAATGAAAAATGAAGTGTAGTGTTGGAGTGAGTTCCTAAAAAAAAGAGCATTGGTCGTTAATTGCATAGGTGGCAAGTGTTTTTACTCTCTAGTACCCCCCTCAAAAAGAAAAGAAAAAGAAAGAAAAGAGAAATGAAAAAGAGGTAATAAAATGGGATAAATAAAGTAGAGAGAGTGCCACGAAAAACCAAAGTGTATGCTCTAGGAGGGGTTTCTTGGCACCCAAGCCATTGAAACCCCACATTGTTTTAGAACTCCTTCACTACCAAACCTTAATGTGCTAGTTTATAAGGGAGGGATAAGGTTTTCGGCCGATGCTAGTGGCCTTTGGTTGAAGAGAAGGGTTTTAGTCGAAACCATAGCACCTTCGGGTCTAGGTTGAAGATGTAGAACCTCACCTCATGATTGCCACCATCCAAAACCCCTTTTTCCCATGTCCAAGGCAATTGCCAGTCATCTGAACCCATGTCGAAGACCACCGGACGAGCTAGTGGTGACGACCATCCCATGAACTCTAGCATTTAGAGGTTAACGTCGTGGTATTGAGATGATAGGGTCGAGAGTTTATGATTGTGCACATCTTTTGCACCAAAAGGTCCTGACCCCACTGGTCTTGAGAGTGAGTGATTCATTCTTGCTTTGCATGTTATATCATACCCCGGTGAGGACCTTTGTTGCCTTTCCATTTGTTCCTCGGACTTGAATTCCATGCATGGTTGGTTGTGGTTGATAAGTGGTCTTGTTGAGACTTGCATTGATCCATGAACAAGGTGAGAACTTTTTGTTTGCCTAATTTGGTGGTTTAGAATGTCGTTTGTGGTGGATGTCGGTATTGCTTGCAACGTTCCGTGTGTTAATTGTCAATAGTCATTGAGAATTCCCACTTTGTTCCTTTTGAGTTGTCCCCAAAGCATTTCTGTGGGTTGAAATATTACCTTGTGTGAAATGGTTTGCTTGGGGACAAGCAAATGTCTAAGTGTGGGGGAGTGATTCGGGCCTAAATGTACCCCCGTTTTCCTTAGGCGTTTGTGGCAACTTTGCTCCTAAAAGGTTGGTTTTACGCTAGTTTTCTCGTTTCTTAGTGTTTTTCAGGATTTAACAGGTGAAACCAGCCTCGGAGTCGAAAGTTGGATGAAAAGGATCGAAAACCGGGAGAAGAGGTGAAAAAGGGCGAGATCACGGTTCTCTTAGGTTATTCACGGTCTTACATGATCGTGAAGAGGAGCTGTTGAACATGTGCGTCGAGGCGTCCAGAGCATTTCCAGAGGTTACTGACGCAAGGAGAGTTCACGGTCACTAAGACCGTGAATGGAGGCTGTCGACCGTGAACAGAAGTGAACGAAGCGGAGCGTTTTGGCGCAAGCCTGCAGTTCACGGACGCGTTTCATGATTCATGGCCATGAACTCAGGCCGTGAACTGAGCTCGTCTCTGGTTTAAAAGATGAGCTGAAAGGAGGAGAGAGGGGGAGAGCCAATTTGTGTGAAAAGCCTTCTTCAGATTTCTAGAGAGAAACACTAACTAAAGGAGAAGAAGGCTAGGGTTCTTCTTCAAGGTGGATTTTGGGAAGATTTCCTCCAGGGAAAGTTCAACACAAGGTCCAAGAAGATAGGGAGCATCCTCCAAGATGGTTTCTACCTCTTCTCCTTGTGTTTTTCCCATTTCTAGCATGGAGTAGATTTCCTTTCACTTGGGTGTTGTGAAACCCTAACTCTACCATGTAGTTTCTTTTGTGTGAATTGAATGTGTGTCATTGGGTATTGATTAATTCAATGATTGAGGTATTATTCATGTTGATTTTTCATGCTTGTGCTTAGCAACCTAAGGGTTGTGCATGTTTTGTGCTTAGCATCCTTAGGTTTGTGCATTTTGGTGCTTAGCAACCTAAGGATTGTGCATAATTGTGCTTAGCAACCTAAGGATTGTGCATAATTGTGCTTAGCATCCTTAGGTTTGTGCATGTTGGTGCTACCAATCTAATTAGCCAGCTTAACCTAACTTAGAGAGGAAAATCCCCCTTCCAAGGGAGACTCAATCGAGTTGGTTTTCCTTCAGCTTTTTAAGCCACCTAACTAGGTTAATTTCGGGCAACCCTCAATGTTGAATTAAGCAAATTGGTTAATCGCGGTTAAGCCGTCCAACCCTTGAGTTGAGTGAGGGAGTAAGACAACTACCGATTGCCTAAACCGAGAGGGTCGAGTGACACGGCCCATAATGTTTACCTCGGTTTAGCAATTGAGATTGTGGTCTCGACCATATATGCATCCCTCTGTGGTTCGCGGTTACCTTGCCCAAAGCAATCGTTCCAATTCACATACCATGGTAGTAGTTAGGGAAGCGACACCCGAGTGATCTTTCCACAAAAGAGTTTTCAAAACCATTTACATTTGCCTTATTTTATTTTTATTAGCAAACTATTAAACTAAAACTTTGTTGCTAGATAATGATTAAAATGACTGAAGTAGGGGTAGACAGACCGGCCCAGGTTGATATTTAAACATACTTGTCCTATACTACACATGACTAAGGTTTATACTTGGACCTTAGGTGGGAATTTATTTTGGTATTCAGATTGAGTCACCGCTTCAAACATTGTGTCGTCGTCCTTGAAATCCTCTGTGAACAACACCTTCTTTGTTGGTTTTCGGAAATCAGATTGACGATGACCAAACTCCCCTCATCGAAAGCACTCGAGGTTGCTACCACTACTACTGGACCCACCCGGACCTATCTTATTGATCCGCCCCGTGGTGTCGCTACTCGCAGGGGCACTGCCAGTGGCTCGGGGGAATCCGACGTTGCTTCCCAATTGGGTACCTCCACTAGCTGACCCACCCGTTCGCCTCATCTGTGTCTCGATGATTATGGCCCTTTGGTATGTAGCAGATACGCTCATAGGGTCGAACAAGTTAAATGTGTCATGTATTTAAACCCTCAAACCCCCAATATACCTCGCAACCAGCTGATCTTCCGTCTCTTGCACTTCGTTCCTGGCGACTAACTGGTAGAACTAATTAGTGTAATCTTCCACTGAACGAATCCATTGACGTAAATTCTGCAACCTTTGATACATCACCCGCTGAAAGTTATACGACAAGAACTAGGAACGCATTGCCTTCTTCATCTTCTCCCATGATGTGATCTTGGCTTTTCCCAGTCGCTAGCGGTTCAGCTTCGTCTGCTGCCACCAAGCTGTAGCCCTCCCCCGTAGTCGGTTCGCCACTAGCTTCACTCGCTTGTCCTCAGGGACCTCCTTAAAGTCCATTTCCACCATGGCTAACCAATCAAGAAACTCTTTCGGCTGAAATCCGCCTTGAAATTCAGGAATATCGACTCGCATACCCTACTCCCAACTCCGTTGATCTACCTCACGTTGCGGCCTATGTTGCTCATCATCGAAACCTTCTCCACTCCCTGGGAACTCACCATCTTCTTCTTCATCCCCGGCATGTAACTGGTCCCAGGCGACAACGTTCTGCTGGTACACGACCAACAGCTCCATCCATCCCATCCTCTGAACCATGTCATCACGTTCATATACCTCTTCCACACGACGACGATTCATCGGTCGGCGGGGCGGCATGATGAAAACCAGGCTCTGATACCAACTGACGCAGCAAATACCTGGGTAAAACCGATAAACCGGTGATCCCGCAGGATACCGGAAGATCGATCGTCACTAACCTATTGATTCACGAATAGCTAGGTTAATGGCATCAAACACGAGCTCACAAGGAACTCAGCTTGGGGAAAGAGCGGCGACGCTCTATTGTATTATTGTTCTCAAAACTACTAAAAAACCTTCTCTGCTGTTTAGGACAAGTATTTATAGGACAAGAAAAGAAACCAACCCAACAATAAGACTCCAATTCCGAAATCATAACTGTAAACCAATAATAGAAAATAAATAAACGACCAAACCAAATGCATGGCCTGCTCCGTCCCGCTAGCCCACACTCCGTCTCGCTCGATCGTGTTTCTCAATGAACTTATTCGCCACTATCTCTGTTGCATCAGTATCAGAGTTGGTTTGTATTTGTGATCACGTGTTACATGATGTATGCTCCCCATACCTGTTTTGTGTTCTAAAAACGGAGAGAATGAAACTAGAAGAAGAGGGTAGATTTCTACCTCTTGTTAGAGATTTATGAAGCTTAGAGGATTGAATGAAGAACTGAGCCTCCCACATAGGGGTGGGCGTTCGGACGGTTCGGTTCAAACCGAACCAAACTAGTATTTGCCGATTTTTCAAAATTACCAATACCCCAACCGAATTCGAACCGAGCTATATTTTAGTTCGGTTTGTCCGAACCGAAATACAACTATCGGTTCGGATTTTCCGTCAAACCTGAATTTATGGAAGAGTGAAGACTTCCCCTTTTATATGCGCTGCCTTCCCCCATTGTCTCCCTCTCTCTCCTCTTTTTTGCTCTTCTCCGCTTTTTCTCCCTCTCTCAAGCTATCTAACTCTCCCTCTTTCCCCTCTGCCTCTTTTCCATAATCAAATCTCCATTGCCAATAAGCAGAGCAACAAAATACTACGAAAGGCAAAGGTTGTTGCCTGAGGCTGGAGGTGGTGGTTGTCTCCTCCCACCTCTTATGGCCATTCGAAGTTACATGAAAGAGATCGACCAGCTCTACCACACCTAGTCTGGGACTTGGAGACCACATGCAAGAGAAGAAGCAAGGAGATTTGAAGACCAGCTCCAAGCACACCTGCTCGCAGTCCCTTTTCCTTATGAGTCATCCTCTTCCTCAATTTTCCCCAGCCTCGCCTTTGTTGACCCCGGCTCTTCTCTCCCAGCTTCGATGATGGCGACGACTAGGTTTGTGACCACCAACCACCAAGGGGAAAAGTTTTCTCCCCACTGAGAATCCGGGGCCCAGATCTACCTTCTCTTCCTCTCGATCTATTCCTTTTCTATTTTGATGCATGTGGGTTTTAATGTTTTATTTTCAATCTATGGCAGGCACTGGGTGAGGAGAAGAAAACGGGGAGGAGTGTGGCGGGATTCAGAGCGGCAGCGGGGAGAAGGGTTTTGTTGGGATGTGGAGCAACGACGGTGGGTGAGAGGTGGCTGGTGGATGAGAGCCGAGAGGGTTGGGAGAGTGGGAGATATGACTTGTCTCTTTTTTATTTTATTAGGGTTAGCATAGTGGTGAGTGATGGGCTGAGGAGTGGGTGAGAATATGGGCCGAGGCCCAGTTTTAGTTGGGATGAGGTATGGATATGTGGGCTGGATGTATTGATTCGATTTTTCAGTTCGGCAATCGGAATTTCGAGTTCGATCGAGAGACCCTGGTTTCCGAAATATGTCTATTGTGTTTCCAAATTCCGAACCGAATAATATTCTTTTGGTTTCAGTTCGATTTTAAATCGGTTCGACTCGGTTCGGATTTATCGAACCGAGTGCCCACCCTTACTCCCACAAGATGATATCTTCCTTTCCTCCTCTTATTTCTCTTTTCTCATCATCTAGGGGAAACCCTTTTACTTGGAGTAAGAACCACCCCAACTCTATGTACTAATATTTTAGGTGAACGAAATGCTGTAAATGAACCCTAGTTTTATTTTTGACTATTTGATGTTGCTTAATTCAATCTCTTGCCCTTAATTGTGTCTTTTGTTGTCTGTTCTTGACCAGAGAGCGTCCATCTAATTGGGTCAAGGTCATAACACATGAAATAGTATGAATGTGTGAAAGTGATACTACTAATCATTTGATTGTCAGAATTCAAGATACAAAGTAACCCTATTATGCATTCTGAAGGGCAAAATCAACCTCGACTCCCTCCGCTTACGGTTTAAAGGCCTGCCTTTGCTTTGAGGGTCCCTATTTTCCTTCACATCAGCCAACTTCCACACACAGCTCTCTGTTTCTGCTTCTACGGACTCCAGGAAGAATACTCCATTCTTTTCCCGTTGATTTGACTCCTCGCCTTCCCAGTACGACACGTTCATCGCCATATCTTTGAATCGGTTTAGATCTTCAGGCACCTTCAGCAGTCTATCTGCACCTGGAGAGGATACCTGAAAAGCAGGAACACTATCATACTGGCTGTAGAAACAATTAGGGCTGTGCATGGTCAGGTCCCATCCAAAACTGGCTTCACCTGATTTGATCAAGTTTGGGTTAGATTGTTCGTGATTGGATTGACTATGCTTTTATATGAAAGGAAGCTTTCTGGTGAATAGAATCATCTTAGATATAGTTCTCTTCTTGGCTAGTCCAACATAGCGAGTTGGCAATGCCAATGGCTATAACAGGTAGTTAATGGAGCAAGCCATCCACGATGTAGCTGCTTCTCTCAATCCTTTGCGAGTGGAGTTCGAGACGCTCTCCAGCTTCACCGACATAGTCTCCAGCTCCGCTTGCACAGGATTGAAAGACCAACTACCGTCGTGCCTCTCGTACTTATGTACTGTCTATAGCTACTGTTTACCCACGCTCTTGGATTAATCACGATAATTACATTTGGATGATTCTACCTACCAAAAATAAGAACTACCCCTCCGGCTAATCACAAGAACTTCAATTGAGAGAGACGATAAAAAAAGGGGAGAGTTAGTAAATTAAAGAACCATCCTTTAGCGTTTCTGGCTTACCTCAACAGCCAGTTTATCAGGTATTTCTCCGAGGGCTCCAACTTCCTCCAATCTCTTATTGTACTCTCGACAATAATCCTCAAGTTCCTCAAAACTGGGGCAACCATATCTAGCACAAGAAGGACCATTTTTTTAGGTGGGTTCCCCTTTTCTCAACCAAATACCAATCAACGTTCAACGTACAAACTATGCAAATTGGAAAATGACACAGCTTTTTGTTGTTAGTTGTCCAAATAAGGGAACTTACTGGTTTGACATTTTATCAAGTCTCACGTATACATATCCACGAGGGGTGGTCTTGAAAGAGAAGAGTTCAAGGTCCTCTACACCAAATTGCGCCAAGACCTTACGAGCAATGGCGAGAGTTCTTTCTCCCCATGGAACACCTTGAAACACAATGCCACCACCTGACCCGCCGTCCCCCACCTACAGTTCATGAAAATATGAACCGCTAAGAACCAATTCATAGATGAGCAACCAAGAAGAAAACTGATACGACAGGAAATGAGAATGTAAATGAAACATTTTTCACACCTTGGGTTCAGCTTCTTCTTCCTCCTCCCATCCATCATCCGATTCTCCCTCGTTGGCCGTTTCATCTGCAGAACGAGAGAATAACTGAATCATGACACGGGAATTTTGCTAATTCTGAAATTTCCTCTTCCTGGCACACAAACAAACTGACAAAAAATTCCGACCACTTGTTAAGTCAGGACTTTCATCGAACACTTGACCAGCAATGTATTACAGCAGAATAAAACAGACGCAAACATCTCAACTAAGTAACTAATGCCTCAAAAACCCGAAACCCAGAACGAAACAAATCATCCGAATTCCAGATAGATGAAGTAGAGATCCCGCATAATGAGAATGGAGACGAGCAGGGGAAGGATTACAGGAAATTGGGTCGTCGGAGTCTTCTCGTCCACCTCCCTCACTTCCTTCGCTCTCGGCGGAGCTGCTGGTGGTCAGGGACCGAGGAGGAAGGTGTACAGGAGGAAAATCAGAGCTCGCGGTGAGTCGTTTTATCAGAGAGCAAGGGGAGAGACAAGAAGAAGGGGAAAAGGGTTTAAGGAGGGTTTTGTTGGGGAGTGATGAAAGCGACGCGCTCTTCGTCATTGATCTGGGTTGGGTTTGGCTTGAGAAAGGGAGAGCTTTGATTCGAGAGAACTGGCGTTCAACCAGACACCGACTGCTTCTCATCATCATTGCTTTCATTTGCTGCCTGCGGCGACAGCAGAAGAGATGATTGAAGAGAAGGAACCAGGGGAAACGAAAGCAAAAATTGGTCCGTTGAGCAGGAAGATACGAGGGGAAGGCACATATGACGATACCCGCATCTCCACCTCTTGTAAGATTTTCCCCCAAAATACTAGACTTATTAAAAAAAAAGTTTGATAGTTTGTGCCCAGTACTATCGTAATCCAACTCCAGTTAACGGCCGCTTCACAGAATTTTTAACGGAAGGGTATTTTTGTTACGTTGTATTATTAGAAGGGTATGTTTGTGCAAAAGTATAGTATAGGGGCACATTTGTTAATTTACAATAGTAAAGGGGCATAAAATGCTATTAACCCTAAAGGTTAATAGTATTTTGTACCCCTCTACTTAGGGTTGTTAATGAGCCGAATCGAGCCGAGCTTTGTCATAGTTCGGCCTCGACTCGTTAATATATTTCCAGGCTCGAGCTCGGCTCGTGTTCGTCACGAGCTTTAATATGCAAGATCGAGTACGGCTCGTTTATGAAAATGAAAGCTCGAGCTCGCCTCGTCAAATAAGTTTAAAGAGCCCAAAATCGAGTTCAGCTCATAAAATGTTCATGATAGCTCAAGATTGACCTAGAACTGAGCACCAATTTGCATTCAAACCTGTAGCAAAGTCTATCAAAGTAAAACACAATATTTATCCTGATTTCAATACATAAAATCCATGAATTCTAATCCTTTGTTTTATGCCAAACCATTAAATGAGCTTGTTCGCGAGCTTTTGAGCTGAACATGATATGGCTCAAGTTCGGCTCGTTTAGTTAATGAGGTTGTTCGCGAGCCGGCTCGATTAAGACGAATTGAGTGTCGAACGAGTTTTTCTCGAGTCGGACACCGAGCCGTTCATGAGCGGCTTGGTTCATTAACCGCCCTACGGCTCTACTATGCTGAATTAACAAATGTACCCATTTACTAAATTTTGTACAAACATACTCTTCTAATATTAAAACGTAACGAGTCTACCCTTCCGTCCAATCTTAACATATATTATGGCCGTTCTAGAGAAAGATTTTAGGACAAAGAAAGCTCTACAGTTTTCCATGTCATTTACGATTTTAACATTTTAAGTTATTAATTACATTAAAATAAAACTTAAAACATGTGTATTAATAATCATGACCAAGATTTGAACATATGACCTCCAAGCTCAAACTATATTTGATGTTATTGATCACAACAAAACATGTATATCAATCACCATAACTAAGATTTAATCATGCAACCTAGGAGCTCAAACTAAAATCATTTAAGTTGTTTAACCAATAGAAAAAATATCTTTTATGGAATTAATCACAACAAGATTAATACTCATTTTATAAAAAAAAATATACAACACATCAAATTATATTTTTATTTAATGGTTGACTTATGTACATTACACAATAAAAACTATCACGGTTAAAATTTTGTATTCTATTTTTAAGAAACGATAGAAATCATTACCAACTAAAAATAAACTATTTTAATTTTTAGTTTATAATATGTTTGATAATTTTTATAATTTTTGAAAAATAATTAAAAATCCAAAAATCATGATTTTAGTTGGTACCCAATTATTAACTTTTACATAATTTGACATATGATTTTTTTAAAAATGAAAAACTAAAAAGCAAAGAATTACCTTCTTTCGTATTCTAACACGAAATATTTAACATTTTTTTGTACGAACTACTATAAATATGTGAACCAATACAGTTATGTTGCAATTTGTTAAAAAATAGCTACTATAAATATATGAGCTAATACACTCTTATCGCGTTGTACTAGAAAAAAAATATTTTTTGTGTGATTACTAGATTATTAAGAGATAATAGCTGAAGTAAAAATGATGGTTTTCTAAGTAAAAACTAGAGTCATAATAACTTATTCATGTGAGATATTCCTATATTTTAAGATTAATGAAATATATCAACATAATTCAATTTAGTGATACACAACAATTTCATCCAGACACCAATGGTCACCAAATTTTTTGTATCTTTTTTGAAACCGAATTATGGTTATAAGATATGTCTGTGCTCAATTGGTAAGAAGTTACAAGAAAATTAATGTACATATACATATGTATTTGTCATCTTTAGAGAATGAATTTTACATTTTTGCATATTAAATGATATCATTATCTTTTCTTTTATGCGATTCCAATTTCATTCTATTCTCAAATTTTCGTACGCCATTGAATTTTCTTCCATGCACAATTATAAAACACATTGTCTTTACTTTTTTTCCTTATGTAATTATAATTTTTTTTTATTGTTTGACATTAATTCTTTTCTTTTTCCTAGAGTGTAGATTTACAACTTAGTCTCTTCAGATGCATAGCATCTTAATTAAAAAAGATTTATAAACGAATCTTAATATATATAATGGGTGAGATGTAAATAACTATTTTAATCTTTACTTAATGTGACACGCTAATACATATATTACTATTCTATTTTTAGTAACCATTCATACTCGCCGGATAACCCAACTGATAAGATAATGATATAATTCTTCTCTGTTACCTTTAAAAGTACAACTCGAAAGGACTTATTGTCCCTTCTAGTAACCATGGCAAAATATGGAGTATTCAGTTTCCCGTCACCCAACTCTCAGTCCTTCTCGCTTAACTTAACTGTCAAGATACATCCGATATGATATATCTCATTCAGTCAAATAAACATCCATTCATCACCACATGTCATACCATATTCATCATCTCAAACTCAAATAATTCATACATTAAAAACATAAGGACCATCACCCAGCCTCTTGATAACTCACTGTATAAACATGTACGCATCAAGTATCACATCATATCGGCATTACCATTTAACCCCGTCCCAACATAGTGAAACATCACACCATCTAATGGTAAATCATTGTCTAAAACACCATAGAAAACCATCACATAACCATCATCATCGACATGCACATTTAATATATCACATCATAGGAAGTCATCACTTAACCACATCATAAGTAATCTTTACACAAGAATTCAATCACATGCATGGTTAGGTTGATTCAGTGCTTTTTACTTCTTAATTTGCCAAGTCATACACTCCCCCCGGATAGTACATTAGATGTAATGTACACCACCGTGGATCGTACCTAGACTGGTGTCCTGTAAATCCACTACGGGATCATACCCCGACCGATATCCTGTATAACAGCACGGGACATACACGAACCAGTGTCCTATAAAACCAACGCAAGATCATACCTTGACCAATGTCCTGTAAATTCATCTATTGTACTAATTGCACAACATGGCGCCTTTATGTTTGTATTAAGTTATCACACAATTCCAATTACAATCAGTAACACATTTAATATTGGATGATAATGTGAAGCGAAGAAAAAGTGTCTCTATAACTAACATTTCGATTTGATATCATTCATAAAATGCTGAAGGTAATATAGAAGCATAGCAAGTTTGGTTGTACTTTAATATAATGTTAGAAAAGGCTAGCGTACAATCCAGGTGTAATATACACACTACAACAAAACCGGCCTCTAGTGGCTAATAATTGAGGCAAAAGTTCCAGGAAAAAATCCCAAAGTACACTAGTTGTTAAAAAAAATTCCAAAATACATAAGTTATAAAAAAATTTCCAAAACTACACATGTTTGGCATTCACCGTTTTTGATAAACGCAGTGAAGACTATCACCGCGTTTGACAAAAACGGTGAATATTTCACCGTTTAAAAAAATGGTGAAGTATTCACCGTTTTCCTCTAAAACGGTGAAGTATTCACCGTTTTCCTCTAAAACGGTGAACCAATAGTGAGTCAATCACCGTTCTTCACCATTTTATTCAAAAGCGGTGAAGATTAAACCGCTGTTGTGGGCCACGATCAAGCGACGCGGATCGCTGACGTGGACAAACGCGGTGTATTCACCGCGTTAGACAAACACGGTGAATACCCAGTGTTTGTTTGCGTCAGCGATCTGCGTCGCTGACCCACTCACCGTGGCCGTTGGATGCGGTGAGGCGCGGATCGTGGTTTTCTTCCCAGATCCGACGCCTCACAGCACGCCACGTGGCTCGATCCGCGTTTGTCGCCGTTTTTGAGAAGGGCGATGCATTCACCGCCTTTGAGGGACGCGGTGAATGCTCCCCAATAATTTTCGCAGACCCCTCCCTCCTTCCCTATAAATAGAACCCTTCCCCCCTCTTCCAAATCACACCACCACTTTTACAATTCTTTCTCCCTCTATCTATCCGCTCTGTGGTTGCGGATAAATCCAACCTTCCACATCATAAAGAATTACTAGAGTTTGACCCTAAAAGACCCCCCCCCCCCCCCCGCCCGTCCCGCTAAGGTCCCGTCCCTTACAAACCTGAAGCCGTCGAACCTCTGTCCGGCTTCTGCCAAAAAATGGACGAAGAGGCTCTTCGTGTAGGGTTTTTTTTTGTGTTTTTTTTTAATCGTAACAATTTAATTTTGTGATTTTTTTTATCAAAATAATCTCTGATTTCATTACTTTTTTTTATAGATGGGTGCTGAGATATACGATCCTCGATTGTATATCCATTATGGGCCAAGAGATATGAGACTCTTAACCGATCAAGAAGCTTATCGCTCCCGTGCTATTTGGGATAACAATCCGGTAATTTGATGATTTATTTGCTTTGTTTTATTATTTTCTAAGGTTTTATTTTTCTTTATTTAAACTAACAAATTGATGTTTTTCCTATTTTTTTGAAGGAATCACTTATTCTCGTCGTTCATAAAGGGACCACAAACTTGCCCGCTTGGCATCCACGGTTGGCGCCCTATATAGAGAGGACCGGGTTGGGTATGTTGCGCCATTTCATGCAGATCGAAATAGACTACGATCTGCTTACGGCAATGGCGGAGCGATGGCGTCCCGAAACCCATACGTTCCACCTTCTGGAGGGGGAAATAACGATCACCCTTAAAGACGTGGCGATCCTCACCGGGCTGCCGATTTCTAGAGATGTCATCATTGGTTCCACTACCAAACCCGAAGGAGGTTGGGGGCCGCTCATTCTTGCTGAGTTGGGATTTGACATGCCGACCACCACACCAATTCAAGGACGGAGGCATCCACCGTTGAATGGGGGACAAGTGTTGGTTCCGTGGCTGGTAACTCACATCCAGAATGAGGTGGAAATTAATGACGAGACTCCGGAAGATCAAGTGGAGCGCTATGCATGCATCTACCTCATTGGTCTGGTGGGTGGATTTCTGTTCCCCGACAAGTCAAATCGGTGGATTCAAGGCATATGGTTGCCATTGCTCACTGGTGACTGGGACGCAATCGGGGGAAAGAGTTGGGGATCAGCCGTGTTAGCTGCCTTATTCAAGTTTTCCACTTGCATGTCCTCCTTCTATGTCTCCTCCCTCGCCAATCGTTGGATCTGCTACTTCACTCTGTTCTCCCCTCTGAATTGTTGGGTCTAGACTAAAGAATGGTGGGCATACTCTGTTTTTTGTCTTCTTATTGGATAACGATTTAGTGGTTTTTAATCTTTATCTGGGTTTCCGATGCTGTAGGTTTTGTCAATGCTTTTGGAGTGATCCGTGAATCTAGATTTTGTGAATCGCCACCAGCAGGTAAAAGGAAAGCTTTTTGTTGTATGAATGAGATAAGTTAAAAATGAAGGCAAAATACAGCTGTATATCCACAACTATCAGGTTTGTGACAAATATATCCATAACTATCGAAATACACGAAATATCCATTTCCGTCCACTCCGTTAACTCCGTCAGTTAACTTGATGACTGGACAGACGGTGGATTCTTAGTTGGCATGCTTTTGGCCCCACTAAATGATGTGGATTAAAAGATTAAAAAAAATTAGGCAAAATACAGTTGTATATCCACAACTATCAGGTTTGTGACAAATATATCCACGACTATCGAAATACACAAAATATTCAAAAATCGGAAAGTTATGTAACAATTCTATCCACTTTCGTCTGAAACTATAACGGCATGTCAGACGACGTTAAATTGACTAACAAAATGCTGAATCGATGCCATCTCGCCTGCCATAAGCGAAAAAGCCCTAAACGGCACTCGACCAAAAAAGCATACTCCCGTTTCCGTAGTAACGAACCGCACGCCGCAGACGAACGTGTAGTCGCCGGACTCGTTAAGCAAGCGGGAGAGGTCAAAGCCAGAGGGGGAAAAAATCAATTAGGCTGCGCTCGCTGCCGCCGAAGTCGAAATCCTCCACCACCTGGTAGTAAGTAGTAACTGGTCTCCTTGTAATCCTTGTTGAACGAGGGGTCGCTGCTGGATTTCGTCGACGGCGATCCTGGACTCCAGATTGGCGTCGAGGAGGCGGAACAGGAAGCTGGCGGAGCTCCTGGGAGTTCCATTTGGGGCACCAGAACTGGCCTTTGTAAATCTTTTTGTACATGGCCAATTGGCCATGAAGTTGGTATCCTTGAAATTAAAGGTAAGTAGCCGGCGATGAGGACGAACAACTGAACAAGATGACCCCACAAGGACTAGATGCCCACCTTGGCACCGTCGTAGCCTTCTTGGCGGGTCCTGGTCAGGATTCAAATGAGATGGTGGTAGCGACGAGGGTTTGGCGTGGATTGCATTATCCACCGCACTGAAATGGTTCTCTCAACTCCACCCGCCGGCGAGGAGATGCCGGGAGCATGCGCCCGCCGACGAGTCGAGGGAATAATTGCCAGAGAGACGAACGGTTTTTGCAAAGGGGGGATGTGAATTAGTTTAGTGTTTGATTTTGTCTAATTAATAAAATAATTAAAACCTAAAATTAGGAGTAGATGAGGGGCAATTGGATCATTTTACAATTTTTTTAACAATCACTTAACATATAATTGGATGGAAGGGTAAACTCGTTATATTCTAATATTAGAAGGATATGTTTGTGCAAAAATTTAGTAGATGGATACATTTGTTAATTCACCATAGCATAAGGTACAAAATGGTATTAAAAAAAACTCACAATTGCACTAAAAAAATTCAAAATACACGAATTTGAGATGATTCACGTTAGACACCATCGAATTAAGAAGCGATTCGCTGATTAGTGAAACTATTCACATAGTTCGCTTTTATATGAGGTGAACCGAAGTTTGTTCTCTTAAAGGTCATGTGATCCTAGTTAGTTTACGTTGGGATAACACGGTTGTACCTAGATCACGCACAGAACGCTTCAGTCAGCTGTAATACACATGCAGATCGTTGCCTATTACCTCGATCAAGCCCTAAACCCTACTAAAAATTTAAGGGCGGAACAAGACATAAGACTTTTTCGACTCGTAATCGTTATTTATAATGCATAAATTCAAGGAATCCTTCGTGCGTAAGTTCAAAATCAACATATTCATTACAACATAGAGGGATTTACAATGCTATATAGCATTGGTATCATAGGTTTTTGCTTTTATGGTATAACTTGAAGTTGTACCTTTAACGTTATGGTACAACTTCATATTGTACCTATACTCTTTGTACAAATTCTTTTATGGTACAATTTGAACTTGTACATTTATGTGATGGTACATTGGTATCATAGGTTTTTGCTTTTATGGTATAACTTGAAGTTGTACCTTTAACGTTATGGTACAACTTCATATTGTACCTATACTCTTTGTACAAATTCTTTTATGGTACAACTTGAACTTGTACATTTATGTGACGGTACAACTTCAAGTTGTAAAGTTGTATCATAACATAAATGTAAAAATTCCTTTGTGGTACAACCTGAACTTATACCTGTAACTTGTTATATAGTATAGTAGAATTGCTCTACAACATAAACATCAACTGTGTCTGTGATCTCCAGCTTCACTTGACGGTTGAACAGGTCCTGGACAGTTGCGCTAGTCATGCCCTTCACAACTCGTGGTATGGAGTACCGCTTCCGAACTCCTCGTGGTGGTTGTGCTGATCTATCCGTCTCATTCGTCATTAGGGATTATGTTCTCTCTAGATCGACATTAGGTACGCTTCCTGTGCTCAAAATACCTCATGTCCTTAATATTCGGGCCAATAAGTTTCACGAGCTAGAAGTTGTTCCCAAAGTCTTGATGACTGAAAACTATGTAGCTTCAGTAAAGAAAAAATAAATGATAAACCATTCCCTTGGCACAGAATATTCAAATGGACATCTTGGTTTATCTTCCTATCTCATCAGATTATAGTAAACAGAGAACTGTTTGCAAATGATAACCCCTGCAAATATTAGCTATCTCCCTCAAAACCCTTTACAACAAACACATTAGTTATACAAGTATAACGTGATCGGAAAAAATAAAGAAAGAGAACTCACAGCAAAAAGGAAATTCTCTCGTCACACAAAGTATAAACTGTGTCATCTAACTATTCGTATCTACAACCGGAGGATAGTTCGGAGAGTATCGGTGAGATTCTGAATGGTTTGTTGCTCTTGCGTCACCTGCAAATCTTGAAGCGGCATCTCCTCGTAGCACCTGCAACAGAAGTCGCATGAGAAGATATTCAGCAGAGACAGACAGATCAGGTGGATGGATGTATATCAAACAGAGTAATTAATTACATTTTGTGGTAAGCTAGAGCCTGTGCAAGATTCATAAGCGTCGGGCTTGATCCTAGTCTCTGGTGAACACTTGGTGGCAAGGGCATCTGTAGCATATGTCCAATGACAGATAAGACCATAGGCATGGCATGTAAGTGGGCAACCAAATATGAATGGAAGCATTAAGGGTCGTTTTGTTCCAGCCAAAAGACAACATTGTACGAAAAAAACTTTAATTAAAAGCTTAAACAACTATTTATGATAAACTTAACCAATTATTATAAGCTAAAAATCACTTCAGTAATAGAAATTCCTGTCCAGCTTTGCCCCTTTGGAAAATGATCTATTCTTAATGTTAATACTAGGATAGCCATTTTTCTAAAATCAACTAGTTTCTTTATTATTAAAGAAATTATTGACATCCCATCGATTTTTGTTATTCTGCATAAAATCTCATCAACTTCACTATTTTCTATGAATTCTTATTCAGCAAAAACTGGAACAAACACAACCTAAAATCCTTCTGTTTTCCAGCAAGGTAGGAATGAAGGGAGGATTACCTCATTTTGTGCTCTTCGACCCTTTCTGGACAAGCCATCGCCAGTAAAAAGCTCTTGCAGTGCTTCGGCTGCAGTGGCTCCACCATTATCATGGTTACTACTTCCTAGGACATTGTCTGTCAAAAGAGCAATAGGTGATATATCGGTTGCCCTTAAGAATGGAATAGGTACGGTATTGCCAGCTGCATATATGGACCAAAGCTGCAAAAGATGAGATCCAGATTAGTAGCTTTCCATCCCTAACCAAAGCACCTAATTTGTCCCCCCAGGAAGCAAGCTCAAGAGATTATGAAAAAAGGTCAGCATAAAAGTGTTCAGTGGTGAAAGAAGTTGGCCAGAAATAACAACCTTATCCTGCAATGCAAAGACTCGTTTGCTGGCAGTTTCACCTTTTAAAGTTTTGCTACTCATTCCTCCATCACCACCTCCAACAGTTCGAGATATGTTGCTCGGCTTTGGAGTCCCAGAGGATGTGGCAAAAGGATATGCGAACGCCTTAATTGTCTGGGATGCATCACCAGGCAAAATCTTGTTTGCAGCTACACCATTGGTACTGTCAATCCTGACAACCAAACAAATTGTTGCAGTTGAGACCCATATAAAGTTACAGCATAGGAATGATGCTTGAAAACTTGTTGCCAATAATTGGAAATGCTCTTTTGGCAACAAATCTCCGGGCTGTTTTGAGGTACCAGGATTCAGATAATTGGCCGCCTCCACTAACTGAAGCATCTTCTGTACGCCCAAGATCCAGAGGAGTTTCTCTGATGGAGTTGAATTGATTCTCCTTCATTGTCGTATTCCTCTCTTCTCCACCATGAACTATAAATGTGCCAAAATCACCTGCACATGGAGAAGATAAACTGGTCTTGATGTTGCACTCAATAGGACAAGAACAAATGGAAGAGCTCCGTAAAAAAAGAACCCACTTGTGTGGGTTCATGGAATCCTCAGTGCAACAAGAAGAAGAAGAAGGGAAAGGAGAAAGAACAATACCGCACTGGTCATTCCTTCAATCAACAATTGAGATGGTTTATTCGAGCAAAATTAAGTCATCAAACTGTATTAAACCTATAAACACTTCTCCTTCCTTTTCCGACGGAGAATGTTTCACAACTTCTCCCTAAATTTCAGAAGAACTTTAGCTCCATTCACTTGAAGCATCAGTTCCTTCTGATTGAAGTTTTTGTTCGGGAAAAATCTCTTTTCTGCTAAGGTTATAGCACAAAATAGAAAAGCCTTCCAATTCTGAATTCTTTTTTCCCGAAAATCCTTACTCCTATTTATAGTGCACAAGAGAAAATAAAATAAAAGAAGATGAACAAAATGGGGGTTACCTTCAACAGCCAATTGCCCAACATCTGACGAGCTGGGCAATTCACTTTCTTCCAGAGGTCTCCTTGCTGGAACTGTGCTCCCAAAATAATCAGGATTCAAATTTGATCCTTCTGGAGGCTGTTTTCCAAGTAAAGAACATGAGGAACAATTTAAAAGAAATTAAACATTGCACCAAAAAAAAAAAAAAAAAAATTAAACGTAGAAACATTTGGACTCATCAAGAAGAGACAAGGTGGTAAATGCTAACCTCTGAAACACCTGGATCGAGATTTTGAGGTTGCATAGCAATTGCTGCCCTTATTCTTCTAGCCTTTTCAATCTTAGGCAACATTGCATAGGCTCCAACTTTGCATCTTTCAATGAACTTGTGCTGTGTTTCAAATAAAGAAAAATCGAGTAAGGAAAAAGCTAACAGACAGAAAGATCACAACTTTGCATAGCTAAAACAAGATAAGTCTAGAAGAAATATGCACCATGGAGATAATCAGGCTTTAGTGGCTCAATCATGAGGTTTGGAATAACACATGCAAAACCGTTGGTTGTCTAGATCAACTATGCTAGATATTGAATGGTAATTTTGATATTTATAACCCACGATAAAACACAATTTTATGGCTGATAAAAGCATCATAACACACATGCAAAACCTGTGGTTGTCTAGATAAACTATGCTAAATATTCAATGATCGATGTAGATAAACTATGCTCATGAAAGCATCACCAGATCACCTGGTTGAGTAGTGTTGAGTTTGTAAATTGGATTTCCAAAAAGAATTGCAATTCGACTAAAACATCAACAGGTATGATCAACATTTGATGGTTCTTTCAGACACTTAAATAGTGAAATGTTCAACCAACAGCAAACATCACATTGCACGGTGATTAAGGCTAAACTATCAAGCAACATACACGCACTGATGTAGAGATGCATAAAGAAAGCTGCAAAAAGCATCCCTGCAAGAGCTCCAGGTTACAGAAAAATGAAAGATATAGTCCTCACAAAGAAGCAGCTTCAACAAGAGAATAACTAGAGCAGAAAAATGCAGAAGGAATTTACTCAAAATACTTCAGAGAACTTGTTTTATATATTGAGCTGTAGAACGGTGCAAACCTTCAACAATTCAAATGCAGGTGGACGAGAGCGTGGTTCCTTTGTGAGGCACTTCGCGACAAAATCGTGGAAGATTAGTGACCTAACACAGGACCACGTAGGCTTTAGACGCCATAGCATATGCAGTCACAAAGAGGATGTGATGTAGCTAACCACAGAAAAATTAATGTAGATAGGAGCATCATGATGAAAAAACCTACCATTTCTCTTTATCCTCAAGCATTGGAGCTGGTTCAATAGATATCATGAACAAAACCTACAAATGGGCAAAAGCAATCCAAAATCATTAACAAAAAATTATCATCCTAAAGGGCAAAAGCTGACAGTGTTAAAGTAAGCAGACCACAATTTGGTCACATGATCTACAAGCGTCTCATCAGTGCATGATACAATTCTACCCACGGACAGAAGACAATACCTATCACTTTCATTTAAACATAAACTTAAAATTGTTTTGACAATGGAGAAAAATTAAAGTATCTAAGACAGTGAGGGGGTGTGACTCCGTATACAAGTCAAGAGGATCGTGAAGTTGTTCTAATAATTTGAATAAACACAAACTAAGGTATCAATACCACCAGGGCAAACAAGTAATATAAATATGAGTGCCTAAGAAAGTCGACATGAGAATGCTAACTGAAATATACGCGAGTGAAGTTTGTGCACTAACCCTCATGGGATGTACGGCTGATCTTGGCGGAAGACCCTGAAGACAATAGAAAACCAGATATTAGAAAATGCACATTGGACGCAGGCACGCAGCACAGTTTGCAAATGACAACGATATGATTAAAGTCCACCAGAGCAGGAACTAATCAAAGAGTAATCTAATAACCAGGTTACTGAGAGATGGAAAATCTGAAAATTAAGTGTTTTATCTTTTTGGTCTCACGATACTTTTTATCTTATGCTTCTATTATACGAGGATGTCAAATACTTGGTACCTTCCTACCAACTCCTTTTAGTTTTGGTTGAACATACCGGGACTCATACCCACGAAAGACTAACCAAGTAGTAACAGGCTAACAGCTAGGCATAATTCTACCTTAGGAACAAAAGTGCACAATATGGTAAAGCTACAAAACATAAATCGTTTTTTATCTTAAGCCATAGGCGGACACACCTAGTTTAAGTAGAAATATAATCAACCCTAGGTATGCATATATAAGTGATAAAACACAGCACCTCAGAGTGAAAGACAAGAACATCTTGCCACTACGTTACAGCACATTCCTTATGACTCTATTGCCATAGAATCTATTTCTAAGATCATAAGCTAATCCCCTATTGCATCAAATCCCTAATCAGCTTCTCTTCTACTCACTTACTGGTATTCCCCCAACAACAACTAAACAGCAGTCAGCAACAGCAGTGCTCAGCTCTGCTGCTCTCCCTAGTTCCTAATACTTCGCCAAAGTACTAATCGTTAATTCCCTTTCCTCCTTCAGTCCTCCGTATTACTCGTATTAAATATTTATTTATATCTTTGTCTTCTGAAAAATGGACACCCCTAGTTCCAACTCCTGGCTCCACCACTGTCTTAAGCTTCTACTAGATGAGGATGTCAAACACTCAGTCCGAATCTACTGACTCTTTATAGTTTTGGCTAAACGTATCTGGTCTCGTACTCACGAGTCACGAGATAATAACCCTGTCATAATACCTAGAAGTCGCTCTACCTTAGTAACAAAAATCCAGAATGTGGTAAAGCTACAAAACGTAAATAGTCTTTGTACACTGGTGAGAATACCTCAGCCATCTCAATTGCAGAAACACCAAGTGCCCATACATCCACCTGCAATGTGTTAAAAAAAAAAAGAATGAAATAAAGCAATTGAAGCAAGGAGTTGACAACAGTGATAATGAAATCAGAATGCCAAAAGCTGGAGTTATTCAGTAGATCTTGATTCTCTAGATTGAACCGAAACTCACAACAAGAGGAATATTCACCACAGGAAAATACTCCGAAAAGAATCCATACTGAAGACCAAGACCAGCATAAAACTTCACTAAACAAATCTATACCAGTTTGATAAATGAGTTTTAAAGATCGAGACATCGGAAAAGGGTTTTCTTAAGGAGCATGACTATAGAAGCATCCAGAAAACTATCAACACCTGCCAGCAAGGGTAGCATTGCTTTTGTACGAATTACAAATATCCTGGAGGTTTGGTACTCACAGCCTACGAGAAGAATGCCTGCCAGTTTTCCTCAAAAAGAGAGCCACAACTACAGGAAACCCACTGAACAAGATCTAGACTTTGTGATACAGTTGCTACCTCTCACATTACATCACCACAGGGGTTTGTTGGTCGAACATATAACTAACTCTGCACTTAAAAATATTTAACATCTTTATATCCTAATCAAACAATATAACTAACACATGCATCAGTCAAGATACCAGCCAACTGAGCCATGCTGTAATTAGCATCTTCCCAAGTGAAAACTAAGTTATAACATGATAGATAATAATACAGACCACCCCTTTGAATAATTACAAATACAAAAATTTCATGGAAGTGCGAGCCACCAAACCACGTCAGTCGAGACATGCAACACAAATGTTTGCACATTCAATTTACTCCTGAATCCAGTGACTAACACTTTTAATGTATCCTGAATCTGAAGATAATAAAATCAAAGACTGTATAGTACCTTTCCGTCATAGCGGCTTTCCTGAATTACTTCAGGTGCCATCCAATGTGGGGTACCGATGAACTGTGATCATAAAGATATCATAATAAGTTAAACATGGAATAAAATGGTGACTGAAACAATACAATAGTAAGTACTGATGGAGCTGCTAAATCAATGTCTAAAATCGACAGAGACAAGACACTTTTTCTCATAAATTTACAGAGGATCAATGCAGAAAACACAAAAAAATATTCCAATTCTGAGAACAAATCAATAATCAAACATCAAAAGAAAGCTGACCCCATGAAGAATGAACTCTAGTGTATGAATAGGGACACAGTTCAAACCACAAGCCCAGCATAGCCATAATTACACGAGAAAGGTAGAGTTGAAGGTATGAAGCTGGTCTGGAGCTCAGTTACAGTAGTTCCAAGGCTTCCATTGCGTGGGGAAAAATATTGCTATAATTGCTAATTCAAATAAGATTTTAGAAATTTAACAAATTGGAGAAAGCCAAGTCACAAAAACAGCTGAAATGGTGCAGGAAAAGAAAGGGGTTGAGGCTGACAATCAACTTTTGACAACCAGACGATTGGACGAAAAAGATATTCATAAGGGGGTGAGAGAGCAGATAGACATCAAGATTTTCTTTATGTGCATGTTTATCCAAGAAACTTCAAATGATATTGAATTACTGACACAACACAAGGCTCGCATTTCTTGTCGACATAAGGAATTAAGCAGTATATATGTGATTACTGTACCGTGTTGCGCTTTGACATGGTCCTTGTAAGCTGTGCAGCAACCCCAAAATCACCTGTTCATAAAGTTGTTACAAGCAGGTCAATTGAAAGACACTCTGCGTTATATACTACGAAAGCATAAGAAATAGGAGAAGCTGAGCTAATTCCATAAAAGCTAGGACAAAAAAGTTTTTGCTGTGCAATGGCTTAAGTCTGATACTTCCTGAATATCATGAATCAAAACCCCATGTCTAGACTTTGAGCGAACGTATTATAGAGAACTGCAGGATGAAGTATACTCACCTAGCTTGACCTCTCCCTGTTCAGTAAGTAAAATATTCCCGCCTTTGATATCTCTATGTACTTTGAAAATTGAATGCAAATAAGCAAGGCCCTGGACATCAAAACGAATCAGGCATGACTGAGTATTGCCAGCACACTAACACAAGCACCACAAACTCTAAGAATAAACAAAGTCAAGTGTAAACTGGAAATGGTAAAGGTTAGTGTCAAGGTAGGGTTTTAACGATGTAAAATCTAACTGCTAGAACCCTGACAAGTACACATTCCAAGACCAGTTATAACTGAAAATAATACCTTTATAGCTTCTCTACATATGTATGCTATCTGATTCTCCTCCAACGCCTCCTCAGTAACATTCATTAAGTCAGCAACACTTCCACCTCCACAGTACTCCATAACTATCTGCAAGAGAAAATAATTCATAAATGATGGATCCGGGATAGGTGATATAAATAGAAGCATTGTGAACAGTACTCTCAGTGCCAACTCGGCCCGTAAAGAATTTCATACCCAGAGATACTCTTCACCTTGATAACTCCCTAAGTATCGCACAACATTTGGATGGCTACACTGCTGCAACATCTCAATTTCACCACGAATTTCTTCATAGCCCTCTTCCTGGACAATCAGCATCTCATTCACTCATCCCAAAACATCATCAGGTCATAATTATAGACAATCAAGAATGTACTCACTCCCTCAGATAGTGAAATGACTTTGATTGCGACAAGCTCTGAGGTTCTTAAATCCCTTGCTTTGTAAACAGCTCCATACGACCCCTTCCCTGGTACCCCAAGAAGTCAAATTCTTCAAATTGAATAGCACGAATTTAAGTGCTTAGACCCAACAGGGAATCGAGGAGAATGGAAATGGCATGTTGCATAACTGGTCTAAGCAGATGCAACAGGGAATCTAAGAGAATGGAACTGGCTCGGTGCTTCTATTTGCACCAATAAACTCAGAGAAAACAAAGGACAGTTCTCAGTCGAATAGATCTTCTGAATCTTATTGCTACAGAAGACTCAAAGCTCTCCGATCAAATCTTGAGAAAAGAAGGGGAAAGAAAATTCGACATTTTAGTTATCACACTCACCTAGTTCATTGAGCAATTCATACTTGGTCGTTGGGTCTTCTCTGGTCACGCTATCCGGAATCGAGCTTGCAGATACTTTAGTATGCTGATGGTGCCTGTACTCATCCCCCTGCGAAGACAAAGATCCACTCCTCCTCTTCTGTTTCCCAAACCCTAAATCCCCAACTGCCTGCATGCTCGCCACCGCTCTCCCCATAGTTGATCCACTCCCGCTTCCTCCACCATCCCCACTCTTTCTCACTACCGTCCCACTCAACGTCGATTTCACAACAAACGTCCCGAATCCCTCTCCATCACCATCATTATCATCTTCCTCCTCCTCGTCGCCGTAGTCTCTCTTACTGAAATTCCCAAACGGCGAGCTGCCCCAAGGAGGCTTCACCGTCGATGACGACGAAGAAGATGATTGATTCCGATGCCGGGCACCGCGATTCGTTTTCACAATCATCGTCCCAAAGTCGCCGTCGTAGTCGTCGTCGTCAGCTACCTCGTCATCCAGCGGGTCGCCACCTCCGAAGTCCTTGGGCAAGCGCTTGAGAAGCGGAGGCAGCGATTCGTCGTCTTCATCGTCCTCTTCTCCGTCGCTCTTCCCGAAATCGGCGGCTCCGCCCTTGTACACCGTCGTGGCGTAGATGTCGTCGGTCTCTGGTCGGCGAGAGGGTTTGGCTCTGGCTCTCGGCTCCGCCTCGGATTCCGACGAGGAATCGTGGACCACGACGGTGGAGTAGATGTCGGTTGTCGGAGCCGGCGGTTTCCATGACCGGCGAGAAGTGGGCAGGTGATCCATCTCCAACGCGAATGTGTCAGGTCCAGCGTGCCAAAATGTGACCGTTGTTCCGTTCCTTTTGCCTGGACGTCGAATTTGTCCCGGTGAACGAAAGATGCCAGTAAATTGTCAACGGACTAGCTTGTGGGCTTGTTTCTTTTATCTGGGCTAAGCCTAAGTTTCATTTGGGCCATAAAAAATTATGGGCCTGACTGTGGGGGTTCGGCCATTCTACTTTTTGGGCCTTCTGATGAAATTAATCGCTAAACTTGCTTTTTCTGATATGAAACGGCTCGGTCATCTCTTGAGTCGGAAATTGAGAAGGCGGAAGATCGGTTGTCGGACGTTCGATTGCGAAGGGGAAATTTCCTTCTTTGGCGATTTAGGGTTTTGAATTGCTGCAGAAATGATCGTCCAAGGTACTCGAGTGCCGTTAAAGCGGTGGCAGCAGGCGGCGGTTGCGGTTGGATCGGCGGTGGGTGCGTTGCTTGATCCGCGGAGAGCGGATTTGATCGGAGCTCTTGGTGAAACCACGGGGAAGGCCGCCTTCGAAAGCGTTCTTGAGAGGATGAAGAGGAGCCCAGAAGGGAGAGTGAGTTCATCTTCCTTGTTCAATATTGTTCTGAACGCACACTTATTGTGGCTGAGTTGATTTACCGTTATTTTTATGTATGAGCATGGTTATGAAGAATTGATGAATTGGTGAGAGGCTAGCATATAGAATTGATGAATTGGTGAGAGGCTATTCGATTCTCTGGAACCATTGCGCGGAGGAATGGTTAGTTAGAATGATAACCAAGCTTTTCTTTAGATACACATACAATGTTGGTTCAGTAGAAGTTGTTCGTGTGGCCTCTAGTTACCAGTAGATAATGTTGAAGAGATCATCTGATCCTTGATTATGCAGTCTAAGTGCAAGGTGAGATGATTTGCTAGGAAACGACTATGGGAGGGATATGGAGCTTGGCCACAGAATATGTTTGTATCTTTAGTTTTCAGGAAAGCAAAACCAATCTGTTATGTATTTGTTAAGTTCTCACCAGTAATTTTGGTGTATTTTTTATAGGAAGTGCTATCAGAGAGACCACGGGTAGTTTCGTCACAAGTAGGGCACGCGTGGGACCTACCAGAGAACACATTCGGAGCAGCCTATGCAAGATTCATGGGATCAAGAAACTTCTTGCCAGATGATCGTCCGCCAGTGAGGTTCATGGAGACAGATGAACTGGCATACGTAGCAACACGGGCTCGTGAGGTGCACGACTTTTGGCATACCCTTTTCGGTCTGCACACAAACTTGATTGGCGAATCAGCGCTCAAGGTGATAGAGTTCCGGCAGATGTACCTGCCAATGTGCCTGATGTCTGTCGTGGGTGGAACAGTGAGGTTCAACGAGAAACAGAGGAGGCTGTTCTTTCAACACTACTTTCCTTGGGCCAACACTGCTGGAACGAAGTGCACGGATCTCATGTGTATATACTACGAGAAACACTTCAACGAAGACTTGGAGGATGTGAGAAGGAAATGGGGTATAATTCCTGCCCCTGCTGCTCCCTAATTAGAAAAGCATTTGGTGTTTGCTTTTGCTAGGTTTTAGACAGAGCATGATGATAGTTGAATGGAGATTGTGAATGTAGTGCTGTGTTTGTTTTTCGGCATGTACTGAGGGATACAATCTCTATAGAGGAGGAAAAGTTTTCAAGTTTTTTGCTTGATGTGTTGAGTAATTTACACCTCAAATCGGACATAGAAAATGTCCTGTAGGTTTATGCACAGTTAAGAAAGAAGTGTTTCAGGATGGAAATTGTAATACACGGGTCCGGATCCTATCAGTAACCGACCTATCAGTAACGGTCAGTAACCGTCCATCTGACCGTCCATCGCGCCATCTTTCCAGCCGCCAGATCATGCCAATTAAATACACGCGGGGGCAAAAAGATAATCACGTCTCTGACAATTTGAATTGCATACGTGACAGCGACAACCGTCTCGCCTTCTCTCCTTCTTTCTCTCACCTTTCAAGCGACAGTTCCACTTCCCTCTGCTCTCTAACTCTCCATTCTTCCTCCCGATAATCAATTCTATCACCAAAATCGCAGCAAAAACTTCCAGAAAAAAACTTCAAATCGAACGATTTTCGCAAAGCTTTTCGAAGAATCATTCAACGATACACTGTTCTCGCTTCTTCGTCGAAAAACGAAGGGTTTCCAACTTCAACGAGGCTCAAAAATCGTTTTCGCACAAAATATCAAGGTAAAACCTCACTTCTTTCTTCGAAATCCATCCATAGAACAATAGAAACAGTATTTCAGTCACTCTTCATGTGAAAATTGTAGTAAAACTCGCTACATTACCGAATCGTTAGCATGCATTGTTGAACTGGTGTAGAATCTGTTGTGTTTTGCTTCGTTACCACATGGTATGGCGTGGTAAGCTATGATTGCACGTTATAAAAAGGCAAGAAACCGTAACTCCTTCTGTGTTTTAGTTTGTTACCATATGGTAATGTGTAGTAAGCTATAGTTTCATGTTGTAAAATAGCAAAAAACCATAAGTTCTTCTGTGTTTTAGTTTGTTACCATATGGTAATGTGTGGTAACCTATGGTTTCATGTTGTAAAATAGCAAAAAACATAAGTCCTGCTGTGTTTTAGTTTGTTACCATATGGTAATGTGTGGTAAGCTATGGTTTCATGTTGTAAAAAAGCAAAAAACCATAAGTCCTTCTGTGTTTTAGTTTGTTACCATATGGTAATGTGTGGTAAGCTATGGTTTCATGTTGTAAAAAAACAAAAAACCATAAGTCCTGCTGTGTTTTAGTTTGTTACCATATGGTAATGTGTGGTAAGCTATGGTTTCATGTTGTAAAAAAGCAAAAAACCATAAGTCTTTCTGTGTTTTAGTTTGTTACCATATGGTAATGTGTGGTAAGCTATGGTTTCATGTTGTAAAAAAGCAAAAAACCATAAGTCCTGCTGTGTTTTAGTTTGTTACCATATGGTAATGTGTGGTAAGCTATGGTTTCATGTTGTAAAAAAGCAAAAAACCATAAGTCCTGCTGTGTTTTAGTTTATTACCATATGGTAATGTGTGGTAAGCTATGGTTTCATGTTGTAAAAAAGCAAAAAACCATAAGTCCTGCTGTGTTTTAGTTTGTTACCATATGGTAATGTGTGGTAAGCTATGGTTTCATGTTGTAAAAAAGCAAAAAACCATAAGTCCTGCTGTGTTTTAGTTTGTTACCATATGGTAATGTGTGGTAAGCTATGGTTTCATGTTGTAAAAAAGCAAAAAACCATAAGTCCTGCTGTGTTTTAGTTTGTTACCATATGATAATGTGTGGTAAGCTATGGTTTCATGTTGTAAAAAAGCAAAAAACCATAACTCCTGTTGTGTTTTAGTTTGTTACCATATGGTAATGTGTGGTAAGCTATGGTTTCATTTTGTAAAATAGCAAAAAAACCATAAGTCCTGCTGTGTTTTAGTTTATTACCATATGGTAATGTGTGGTAAGCTATGGTTTCATGCTATAAAAATGGAGGAAAACATACGTCCTGTTGTGTTTTACTTCGTTACCATATGGTAATATGTTATAAGACATGGTTTGATGTAATTATCATATGGTAAAATGAGATAAATATATGGTTTGATTTGGTATGGTAGGAAACCATTATGGTACCATATGGTATATTATGGTAAAAAGCATACTAACAGACTATTACTAATTTCTACATTCAGGTACACTATGGTAAAACCAAGACACAGTTTTCGCACAAGGTGCAGCCCAACAAGAATTTCTGCAATTGCAAGGTCAATAACAGATGAGCGGAAACAGCAACTTGAGATATTAGGCCTAGCAGGCTTAATATCAATCAAGCAGACAAAGATAAACAACCATTTTGCACTGTTCGTAATGAACAAATACAATCCACAGAAAGAATCGTTCAAGTTACCTGACGGGACACACATCAAGATATCACCAATCGACTTTCATAGAGTATATGGTCTACCGATGGGGAATAGGGAAGTTGTACCTCCCACGATTTCTTGGGATGACGCAGCAGATTATGCAATAGAAACCCTACTCGAAGTAGATGGAACATCCACTCCAAGGGTAAAGCTAAGTCAGGTAGAAAAAGATCTTCCTACAACCACACTGACTAAGAGATGGATGCAATTGTTCTTTCTGCTGGTCACCGGAGGCTTGCTGTGTCCAACTTCAGCACCTATGGCTGAACTCAACATGCTTGAGTACTTGAAGACTGAAGAACTGAAACATTTCACCAGCTACAACTGGTGCAAATACTTCTTCAAACACATGAATGAAGGATTGAAATCACCAAAGCTCTATGTCAGTGCAGATCTTCACTTCCTTACAGTAAGTCTCCATTCCCTTGGCCATTTCAACCTTGTTACTCATATATTTTATATATAAATGATACTCTTTGAAAAAACTAATACAACTATCTGCATAAAAAGGTATGCTTCATGTACAAACTGGACGAAATGGCATTCTCAACCCAGCTTCGAACACCAACAGTAAGCTACTATGATGATAACAATGTTGATAGCAACTTTGAGAACATTAAGAGCTACTACAATGGAAAAGAGTTGAACGAGATCGAAAAGCTTGCCAACATTAGTGACGATGAGGCTGATGGTGCAGCTGATGAGGAAGAGGAGAATGAGCCAGTCTATGAATCACCGAAAAGACAAAGAAACAAAAGTCCAGACCAGTCATCATCACTGAACTTTGATTTGAAGAATATCAGAACAGTCAACCAAGTAAGTACAAATTATCTATATTACAGTTGTCCAATTCATACTAAGCGTAAGTCCTTCTGTGTTTTAGTTTGTTACCATATGGTAAGGTGTGGTAAGCTATGGTTTCATGTTATAAAAATGGAGCAAAACATAAGCCCCTGTTGTGGTTTACTTCGTTACCATATGGTAATGTGTGGTAAGCAAATGGTTTCATGTTATAAAAATGGAGGAAACCATAATTCTTGTTCTGTTTTACTTTGTTACCATATGGTAATGTGTGGTAAGCTATGCTTTCATGTTTTAAAAATAGCAAAAAACAACAAGTCCTTCTGTGTTTTAGTTTGTTACCATATGGTAAGGTGTGGTAAGCTATGGTTTCATGTTATAAAAATGGAGGAAAACATAAGTCCTGTTGTGTTTTAATACGTTACCATATAGTAATGTGTAGTAAGCAATGGTTTCATGTTATAAAAATGGAGGAAACCATAATTCTTGTTCTGTTTTACTTTGTTACCATATGGTAAGGTGTGGTAAGATATAGTTTCATGTTATAAAAATGCAGAATAGTGATAATAATTGCCAATACCATGTATTACCACCATGGTAACTAACCATACACCATACACACATTACCACCATGGTATCTTACAAAAGCTCCCATTATGCAGGCTGAGAATGCAATCAAACTGCTTGAAGCATCAATGAAGGCAATGATGAAAGCAATCAAAGACCAGTACAAAAGCCAAATTGACAATCTGATCAGACACAAGGAGAATCTTGCGAAAGAAAGCTGTGATGAAAATGTTCAGCCAACAGAAGGAGAAAAATTTCAGTGTGAAGATGATGAAGAAGAGAATGATGAAGAAATGAATGCCAGTTTGAATAAAACACTCAATGAAATATTCAAACAGGCAAAGATAGACCAGAACAAAGAGGAGAACGAGGAGCAAACACAGAAAGAAGATGATTCACAACCATCTACAGTCGATCTTGCTGCATCTACACCGAAGCCAAAAGAAAAAGAGCAAGATGATTCTGATCCAGGAGCTGTGAATAGGGAAAGCATCCCAAAAGAAGGAGGTCCACTGGGGGAAGTTGCAACAGAACCACCAGAACAATCTGTTCAAGAAGGTCTGAATCAGGGAACACCACAACAAGAGGACACCCCGAAAGCAGTTCCAGAACATACATCTGCAAAAGAAACAGGAGAAAAAGGAGCTACCAAAACAGCAGATCCAATGGAAGTTGATAAGGAAACAACAGAAGAAGGGAATACAGGGCAAGCTGCGCAAAAGACTCCAGAAACTGACAGCGAGAAAACGGTGTCAGATGATGTTGTTCGAGAAGAGGCTCCAAAACTGACAACCGAAGCTGCTGAGAAGCCTAAAGTGACAAGGGAAGACGACATTCCATCCTTTGATCTCAGCCCTCTCAACCGTCAAACACCAACAACACCAACGAAGTTGACTACCAACACGGCAACCGATCAACCAGGACAGCCTCGCAAAAGAAGAATCGTGGTGAAGAATTTGAATGTATATGAAAAGAAGGCAAGAACAACACCACCACCAGCACAGCCACAAAGCACCCAGTCACAGACGGCGTCATATGCTATATGGTCAAATCTGTACACAAACAGCCAAGAGAAGCTCAAGGAAGTCCGTGAATGCATAGATGCTTACCTAGAGGACCTGAATTCTCCAACTGTCGAACCAGTTGCTCCACAATCACAAAAATCACCAGTTGAATGGTCAACACCAACACAAACAACACCTGATGATATGTTCAGCAACATCCTGGAGTACATAAGATGCAAAAACAAGAAATTTGTCAAGAGGTAAGTCATCATCTTAAAACTTCTACTGTTATATGATTTTACTGTAGTGATCTAGTTTGTTACCATATGGTAAAATTAGATAAATCTATGGTTTAATGTTACAAAATGTAGTAATGCACAAGTCATGTTTTGTTTCAGTTTAATACCATATGGTATGATGTGGTAAGCTAAGGTTTGTTGTTAAAGAATGGATTAAAC